AGGCAGCCATTTTGCACATAGCAATGTCCCACAAACAGCCACAAAGTTAATGACTAATTTTATCTTGGAGATTTTGAAAAGTGCCATAGCATCTTTAATATCTACCTGAACAGGCAGACACGATCTTGCTTTACTATCTGATATAAAGAATGGCACCTCTGGCAATACAGATTTCCTTCAGCATTACACTGCAGTATTCGACTTTAAGAGCTCAAAGTCCCGATGTGGGGCTTGATCCTGCAATCTTCTGCTTCAGAGGAGAGAGTCCTACCAACTGAACCAGGCTGACACCTCTAGATGAAAAGCACGGGCTAATACATTATTTAAACCTTTCTTCATCCAATCAGTTTACTAAGGATGTTCAGATAATCATTTTTTTTGGAAAAGGTGATGTATTATCAACTGACTGAAATGATGTGCCAATATTATACATTAGTAATGAGTTACAGCACAGGAATTACTTTCAAGAAATTGTGACATCTTGTGGCAAATATTAGCTTCTGCACCAGCTAATTACTGTTTTCTCAGTAAATAAAATATAGGGACTCTGTCAAGATATTGCTTTAACCTGAAAGTGAGTGTGTACTTTTAAAGTAAAGATTAAGATTTAAATAATATCCTCATCCTTGCGTTTAAACCCCAACATGTCACCAACCCACCTATGCGACCTGTTACACCCTTACCAAGCTTGCAAGTCTGTCTGTTTAGTGAACACCGGCCCTTCGCAAGCTGGCACTTCCTTATCTCTCCACCTTGCCCTCTCCCTACATCACTACCCTTGCCCAATCTACTCCACTATCAATGGGTGAGCTTTCAGCCATTTTGCCCCTACTATCTAGGACTCCACCAGCGTCCCTCCACCTCATCCCATCCCTCCTCACTCTTAAAACGTACCTTAAGACGTTTCTTTTCAACCATGATGTTGATCACATTTCCCCCTACCTTCCTCAGCTATGTCCTCCCTCCCCCCCGAAACCCCAGTGCTGTGTTGCAATTGGCCCTGTTCAGCACTTTGAGAGTCCTCCTGATGTGAAAGGTGTTATGTAACTGCTATTGAAAAGCAATTCCTTCATCGCTTCAAATGAACACAACATTAAAAATCCACATCTAATCAGAGATATTTAATATTCTGCATTTTACTCCATTGTGTGCACCTGTCTATCTCTGAGACGATGGCTCCCTCTTCTTATATTCCTGGACCTCTCCACTGCATTCGACCCAGTCGACCATACCATCCTCTTCTACTGCCTCTACTCCTTCATCCATCCTAGTGGGACCGCACTCGCATGGTTCGATTCCTACTTAACCAATAGCCAGCACTTCATCTCAGCAAATATTTTTTCTTCTGTGTGGATCCCTTAGGCTCCATTCTTGCCACCCTCCTCCCTCTTATCTATATGCTCCCTCTTGGCGATGTCATCCGCAGACATGAGGTAAACTTCCGTATGTATGCAGACGATACACACATCTACTTCGCTTCCTCCAGCTGTGACTCCTAGTCCACCGATATTCTGTCAGCTTGTCTAACAGACATCCACGCCTTCGTCACCTCCTGCCTCGACTATTCAAACGCCCTGCTCACCAGTCTCCCCTACTCCTCTATTCACAAAATTCAACTCATTCAAAACTCCGCTGCCTGAATTCTCACACGCACTAAACTCCATTATCCCAGTCCTTCTCAAACTTCATTGGCTCCCTGTCACAAAATGGATCGATTTCAAGATCCTCATTCTTGTATTTAAATCCCTTCACAAGCTGGCACTCCCCTATCTCTCCACCTTGCCCTCTCCCTACATCACTACCCGTTGCCTCTGCTCAACTGGCTCCGGCCTCCTCCTTGTCCCTCGGATGCTCCACCTCAGCATCGTTGGCCAAGCTTTCCGCTACTATGCCCTGAAGCTGTGGAACTCTCTCTCTCTCAATCCCTTCACCTTGTCCCCTCTCTCCCCATTTTCAGGATGCGCTTGATGACCTTCCTCTTCGACCGTGCCTACAGTCACCTTCCCCCGGCTCGGCATCAGGCTCTGCCACTGTTAAGCGCTCCAAGATGTTGTCCGGTGTGAAGGGCACTATATAAATGCAAGCTGTTTTTGTTGTAAAGTCATAGGTGATATGGATTATCGGCTTTCAAATCACGACTGAATTTAGGGCTGTACTCAAAATTCTACACAATCTTAAAATTTAAAACAATGTCTGAACCAAGTGAACATGAGAAATGCTGTTCTCCTGACAGGAGATATCATCCTCTTGCTGTTTCTGTAACTGGTGTTAAAATCTGGTGTCTTGTTGCCCTGCATTGGCTCCAGTTCCTCTCGTTGAAAGCGTCATCCCCTGTGCATCATCCTCAGAAACAAAATAAGTTTAGAAACTGTGATGGGATGAGCATAAACCTAATGTTCAATTTTTTTAATACATATATATGTATATAAACATACAACTACTTTATTTGTTGTTACAATGATTTATTGTTTCTAACTTATAGATGTCAGTCTTAGCTCATATGGTAGCACTCCCATTTACAGGTCAGTACATTGTAGGTTCAAGCCACACATGAAACTCAAAGTCTAGGCTGATGTTCCAATGTAGGCCTGGGAGAAGCACTTAATTTCAGTTGAGATAAACCAAGATCCTATTTGCTTATTCAGTTGGTCCTTGGAGATAGTGAAACTCTACTTTAAAAAAAGTGAGGTTTTAATGGTGTATGACAAATAATTACAAGAATAACTGGTCATTCACCTCATGCAATTGTCTATTAACTGGTCATTCACCTGCTTCTGAGGAAAAAAATGACAATTCAATCAGTAGCTCTTAGCATCATAAAATATCTGGAACTATCTGGGGACCTAGCAAGTCTGGTCCATGTGCATTAAGTCATTATCTTTGACCCATTTCAGCATGAGAAGTCATCCTAAAACCCAAGTTCCTTACTCATTTATTTACTCAACGTTAAGAACAAAGTATTTCCTTGATTGAAAATAAAAGAGTGGAATGCAACAGATGCCTCAATCTGGCCTACCACAAAAACTCCTGCCAAAATTGTTTTGTTTTACCCAGGAATCTTTTTAAAGAAATCTGTATATCATATTAACTGATGAGTTGAACCAGTTCCCAATATTGGCAAAATGAACATTGAATTACCAGCTCTTAGCATCATTGAAGATCTGAACTTACCTTGGGGGAATTTGAGGGACCCTGCAATTAGTTTTCAATCTGATAAAACGAGCCCCAGATGTAGACCAAGGATTTTACTGACAATGATGCCTCTCAATGCCATTACACAGTCCTTTGTAATTGGGACAATAGAAAACTGTCCCAAAGGAAGGCACATAGATCATCAATAATCAAGTGTTCAGCTTTTGAAATAGAAAAGGGTTAAATAAAACTATAATCATAGCAATCAAGATTTGTATTGCAGGAAGGACAGTACAGGCTTCTTCTTGATTTAGTAGCTGGTAAATGTGGGTTGAGTGTGATGTTCTAAAATATATCATCTTGGGTCTTCCAGATCAGTGAAACAGTAACTCATGAGCTGATGAGTAAGTAGGTTATTTGTGCAGAATGGTTTCAAGTTTAATATTCATTTTTAGTACTGCTATATTCTATCGCATTGGAAGAAATGTGTTAGCATTAGTTTTAACAAATGTTCTCCTCATATTAAGTTCGGCCTTGTAATTCTACAATGTGCTGTTAGAAACTAATGTGTTTCAAATGCTCCTCGCAGTGAGGAATCGCCTCCACTGCTGCAGAACTCACTCCAATACAATTATCCTGACCCATTGCATTGTGATGTTAGATTCAATTACTTTCCCATTTAGAATACAGCTACCTGGGGCAACCTGATATTGCAGTGTGTGCTCAATAGAGAGTGGAGCATGACAACTACTGGCGGTCTACGCAGCATAGACCAACCCAAATAAATCACTGCCTTTTTGTGCAGCACAGGCCAAAGCAGGTAATTCACTGCTTGTGTGTGTACCATAGACATACGAAAGTTTTTGTGACCCATTGTGTCTTTGTCTCTTTTTCGAAGTAGTTCCTTAATTTTTAAAAAAATACGCAGTCACTGCTTTGCAGTATATCCTGCGAAGCACTTTGAAAGATCCTCCAACCTGAAAAAAGTTATATCAAATGCAAGGATTTTTATTATCATTATTTCCAGCTCTTTTCCCTTACACCTTAATATTTCTACTGGATGCTGGAGGAGCATAGTAGGATAGATATGCTCCTCCAGGTTAGAATAGAATTGAAGGTATTAGCGGAAGACTAACGAGAATGGAAACGAGACATTTGGTATAACGGAACCAAGTAAATCTCTGCATACCTGTACAAACAGGACAGATCATGTCAGCCAGTGCATCTTGAAGAACAGCTGAAATGATACATTGCTGCACAGCTATTTTTGAGTATCAACATCTTTAATTCAGTAGAGATTTCAGAGTCGTGTTTTTTCTTAAGTTTGGATTTTTGAATGACTAGTTGAAGTAACCTCCGACTTGTATTACTTGGCTTGGCCCTATTTGAGGGCACTATACCCAGGTTGTTTTTCAAGTGTGTGTTTGTACTATTGGATAGCAAAACTGTTTCAGTACCAAGAGTGGCGTGATGTAGATCTGTAAACCTGGTATATGGAGTCCTGCAGCTCAGTGGTTAGAGCACTCGTCTTGCAAGCGAGACACTTGGGTTTAATTCCAGGCAGGGCAAAACCTTGGGCGAGTTTCCTTACTCCACACGCCTAATAATAATCCCTCCAAAACAAAAAAACAATAATAAATTGGTCATTTTCAGTCCATGACTGTTTGTGGGACACTGCTGTGCGCAATTGTCTGCCATGATTCACCCACAAATATACAGCAATTCACTTCAAAGGATATTCTGTGAAGCGCTTTGAGGCATGTAGAAGATGTGAATTTAACACATCATTTAGCCATCAAATTGTTCATATTTGGAGTAACATTTTTCAGTTATGATTAATATTTGCAAAACACAAATGTCTTTTTCAGCTCCATGTGGAAGCCGATCTACAGGTTCTGATGGTACCGTGTTGTCACCAAATTACCCCAGAAACTACAGCATTGGGCACAATTGCATTTACTCTATCTCTGTCCCGAGAGAGTTTGGTAAGTTTCACTACGTTTTACTATTTGCTGAATTGCATATAATGCATGTTCTGGTTAGATGCCAACACATTGCGGTTTAGGTTGAACACAAAAAAAATCATTTTATTACAAATAATAATGATCCTTTTTATACAGCGTCTTTTACATCTCCAGTAAATCAAAACATAATGACCCATTAAACATTTCGACTGCTACTGAATGAAATAAAACACATTGGTTTGAAAAGTAATAATATGCTTAATGTGATTAAAAAGATATAGAGGAATTTTTCAAACACAGATTAGATAGTTTTCTTTTAGGAAATAACATTATGGGAAATAGTGCATAGGTCGTGCAGGACATATATGCCTGCAACCACTAGGAAGGTGGCAGGCGAACTAGATGGACCTTGGTATTTTTTGGTCTAGCATTTCTTATGTTCTTATGTTATGTAGAAGAAGGGATACAGATAATAATAATAATAATAATAATAATAATAATCCTTCCATTTGATAAAGCGCTTTTCACGTCTTCTAGACGTCCCAAAGCGCTTCACAGAACATACTGTAAAGTGAATTTACTGTATATTTGTGGGCAAACGCGGCAGCCAATTGCACACAGCAATGTCCGACAAACAGTCGTAGATTGAAAATGACCAATTTGTTATTGTTTTTTGTTTTGGAGGGATTATTATTAGGCGTGTGGAGTAAGGAAACTTGCCCAAGGTTTCACCCTGCCTGGAATTGAACTCAGGTCTCTCGCTTGCAAAGCGAGTGCGCTGAACACTGAGCTACAGGACTCTAGATACGGGCTTAAGAATAAGGAAACTGAATAGAGAATTCAGATTCAGTTAGGTTACAGAGAATGGCGAATATGCAGAATAGACTTCCCAGGCTGGTGATGCTAGAGGCAATTTGTCTCAGCAAATTCAAGAGGGAATTGGATAACTCTTTGGTGAAGATACTGATTGAGGGATCTAAGAGATACATTGGATAGGTTAGTTTATTAATTTTTACTGTAATGGGTTTTGTGCGTTCCTGTAGTTAACTATAGTCCTGAAGGACTTGGGAAACTACTCAATTTAGTGTGTATTAACTCACTGAAGGAACCAAACCTGAACAACCTCAAACAATTCACCATTCACTTGTAAGAAACAGCCTATCTTACGCCACTTTAACACTACTATCCACCAAACTATTACCGGGCGATCTGTTAGCTGTTCTGTTCCTGCTCTTGAAACTTGGTCCCTGAGTCCCTCTGACTCACTGCCATCATCCCCTCATTTAAGGACCATCTCAGAATGTATCTCTTTGACCTTTGGCTCTTGGTCATCGTTCTCCTCCCCATCCTCTGCAGATCCCACTCCCAGTGCGGGTATCCAGCTAGCACTGAGAGATAACCTGCCAACATGAAAGTTGCTATATAAGCATAAATTGTGTTGTATTGTGTTGATTGTTTTTATTTTTCAAGGGATAACTATTATTGTGAAATGTTGGTTTTATCAGCTCTATGTTGGACATCCTCTTGTGTACTGGACATAGGATAATTTGGGGGATCATAGCTGCACAGCTAAAAGTAATGGAGTCCCCCAAAAATCTGGAAATGATTTTTTCTGCTAAAAATATTTGCATAGAGGGGCAAACCTTAAAAATCCAATAGATATATACAAAAGTCTTGGTGGTATCGTGACACTTATCGCAATGATGAAAAGATGTTCAAAGGTATGCAGAACATTTGCCATATCCTGCTCATTATATCTCTCCATCCCTTCTCTCTCTCCCAAAACATAGAATTGTTTCAGCGTCCTCCCAACAGTCAATTGTCCATCTTGTTCCTTGATATTGACATGCTAATTAATTTGGCTTTAAAGGCTTAAAACAGAGTACAACAACAACAACAACAACAAGATTGCATTTATAGAGCGCCTTTCACGTCAGGAGGATGTCACAAGGCGCTGGACAGTTGGGTCAGGACCCGAGCAGGGGGAAATGGTCAGGGTGAGGGGAGGGAAGGGAGGGAGCGAGGATGGGGTAGAGAGTCGAGAGGGGAGCTGAAGGCAGATAATGAAACCCTTTTATTAGACTGAACTGACATTCATTCCTGATCTATCGCTGATAGTTGGAAGCAAGCTTGCTTCTTCCTGCCACCCCTTCCTGCAATATAGCAGGAGAAATTTGATGGATGCACCACATTTCTACTTCACTGAGGTCACCTCACATTTATGTGAATGTGACTCGTGCTTTAAAATCCCATTTTATTTTTTGGGGACGAAAATGCGAAAGCTGTGAAGTGAGGTTATTTCTCTCTTCCGCTTAAATTATTTGTTAAAAATGTGCTGTTCTTTGCCTTTTTTTTAATGTTTCATTACTCTGCTCTATAGAATAATGGCAATACTATTTCACAAAATGACAACTTCAGCACCAAAGATAAATGATTCACATGAGCCTGGTAGCTGCCCGAGGCAGCAGTCTTTTGTAAACACATGCTTAACTCATAATTTCTTGTAACCTTGCGCTGACATTTAAATGACTGATAACTGTTAAGGATTAGAGAGTGGAATTATTAGCATATGATTAGCATATACGTTGATATGTTCCTCATTTTTAAGTTCTCTAAATGAATGATTTTTAAACATGTGACTACTAACGAGAAAGTAAATTATCAATTGCAGGCAGGAATATAGATGTGTATATATTATCACCCATGTTTGAAATACACGTACTCAGGGGGAGTCATTTTCATCAAAGCTTGGGCATTAGATTTCTGGGAGAGGACACGGTGAAACTGCAGGCCTCCTTTAAGAGCTTGGTGAGTCTGTAATCAATATAAGATAGTGACTACGGGATTTAAAAGGGAATTTAGGAGTAACTTCATTGCATGGAGTATAGTGAGAATGTGAAACTCGCTGCCCGAAGCGGTGGATGAAACAGATAGTATAGATGCATTTAAGAGAAAGCTACATATACAGATGAGGGAGAAGCATATGGGAGGCAGCAGAGTGGGGAATGTAAACACCAGTACAAGCTAGGTAGACCAAATGGCCTGTTTCAGTGCTGCATGGTTTGTCAATCTACATAAATTACCAATATACTGTAGTTAGAACATTGTTGAAATAACATAAAATTCCATCGTGCCTCATTACGGGGTGTTGTACCAGCTCAGGGTTTTCACAATGTGAAGTCACCAAATGACAGGTATGTCACTGTGTATTCCCCCAGAAAGCCGATAGCTTCCACCGCTACATAATGGCCGATATCTCCATAGCACACTGGAAATGATGCCTGGACTATTTTATAGCACTCGGGATGCTGGTTACAACAACAACAACCTGCACTTATACAGCACCCTCCATGCCGGGCCGCATCTCAGAGTGGTTAATAAGGATGGAACCCAAGGCAGAGCCGAGGGAAGGGGAGGGGGAAGTTGACAGTAGGCGCAGTTGAAAAGTAAGGTCTTCAGGTGTGACTTGAAGATGGGGAAGGAGGGGGCAAGGCGAAGGAGTTGAGGGAGGGAGTTCCAAACTTTCAGGGTTGGTGGCTGAAGGCACGGCCGTCGATGGTGGAGCGGAGAATTCAGGGATGCGGAGGAGGCCGGACCCAGTAGAGCGGAGGCAGCGGGTACTGCTGTGGGGAGTGAGGAGGTTAGAGAGATAAGGGGGTGCCAAGGAATGGAGGGATTTAAACACTAGAGTGAGGATCTTGAAGTCGATCTGCTCTGTGACAGGGAGTCAGTGGAGTTTGGCAAGGACTGGAGTAATCAGGGTACGGAGTTTGGTGCGGATGCGAATGTGGGCAGCAGAGTTTTGAATGCGCTGAATTGTGTGAATAGTGGAGGAGACAAGACCGGTGAGGAGAGCATTAGAGTAGCCCAGCCGAGAGGTGAAAAAGGCATGGACAAGGGTTTCAGCAGCTTTGGGGTGAGATATTGTCGGAGACGGGCAATGTGGTGGAGGTAGAAGTCAGGGACCGGATCTGGGGGAAGAAAGATAACTGGGGATCGAACCTGATGCCTAAGTTGCGCATGGGTTCAGAGAGTTTTAAGGACAGGTCGGGTAGGTTGAGGAGTTCAGAACCATGGGACAGAAGACATTGACGGGAGCGAAAGAGTATGGCTTCCGTCTTTTGATGTTTAACTGCAGGAAATTTGCACTCATCCAGCTCTTGATGTCTGACAGACAAGCTGACAGGACATCAGGGGACTGGGCGTCGCAGCTAGAGGTGGAAAGTAGAGTGGAATGTCATCCACGTACATGTGGAAGTTAACTCTGTGCCTGTGGATGACATCACCGAGAGGGAGCATATAGATGAAGAAGTGAAGGGGGCCAAGGATGGATCCTTGGGGTACCCCGCAGGTGACCGGAAGCGCGAAGAAAAGCCATTTGCAGAAATGTAGCTCTGATGATTTCTAAGTTAGGACTCAAACCAAGTGAGTGCAGTCCCACTGAGGTGGATGATGGATGACAAGTGGTGTAGGAGGATGGCATGATCGACTGTGTCGAATGAGGTGGAGAGGTCCAGGCTGACGAGGAGGCAGAGGGAGCCCTGGTCACAGATAGAGAGGATATCGTTAGTGACCTTCACGAGCGCTGTCTCTGTACTGTGGGCAGGGCGGCAACCAGACTGGAGGGGTTCGAGTAAGGTGTGGAGGGAGATGCATGCGCGAAGTTGGTTGGCAACAATGTGTTCCAGAGCTTTGGCAAGGAAGGGCAGGTTTGAGATAGGGCGGTAGTGGCCGAGGTTGGAGGGATCAAGGGTAGGTTTTTTAAACAGTGGGGTGATGGCCGCGGTTTTGAGGGCGAGTGGGACTGATCCTGAGGAGAGAGACTTGATAATAGTGTCTGCCGCTAGTGGACAGAGGAGGGAGAGCTGGGTGATCAGCAGTTGGCTGGGGAGGGGGTGTGAGGCAGCAGGTGGTGGGTTTCATTGTAGTGATGGTAGATGAGTGGGAGGAAGGAGAGATGGGGGCAAATGAATGTAAAATGGGGGCCGTGGTAGAAGCTAAGTATGGGGTGGGTATGGGAGATGGAATGGGGGTGATGGTAGGCAACATGGGGCAGAGGTTAGATGTGATGATTGAGGGTGCTTGAGGGGGTGCATGGAGGAAGTGGTGGCCAGTGGAGAATAGGATTTTGGAATTATTGTTGGCTTCCAGTAAGATGGTTGAGTAGTGCGCAGTTTTTGCTTGCGACAGGTAGCGGCGGTAGGTGTGCAGCTGCTCGAGCCACAACTGGTGGTGAACCATGAGGCTGGTCTTCTGCCATCAGGGCATGAGCAACCAGGTTTGGGATTTTAGGGAGCGGAGATCGCTGTTGTACCGGGGGAATGGGTGGGTGTGGACACAGTCCTGGATTTCAAGGGGACGAGGGAGTTGAAGGTGGAGGTGGTGGGTGGTGGAGAATAGAATTTTGGAGTAATTGACGGCTGCGTCATGGTCACTGAAGGTGGCAGGCCAGAGTGATAGGAGGTCTGAGGATGAGAGGGCCTTTATGAGGGTCTCGGGGGGGAAGCCTTTTCAATGGGCGGTCTTGATGGACGTGAGAGAGATGCGAGAGGAGAAGTAGATGAGGAAATTATCTGAAATGGTCTTGTCCGTGATGCACTGGCTGGAAATGTTGAGGGCATGTGTGATGATGAGGTTGAGGGGTGGCCACGGTTGTGGGTCGGCGAGTTGATGTGGAGGGTGAGGTTTAGGGAGGAGGGAAGGGCAGTGAAATCTGAGGATGTGGTGCAAGGGGAGTTTAGGTGAGGTTGAAGTGGCCCATTATGAGCAGGCATTCTGAGCAGAAGGACAGTGAGGAGAGGAAAGCGGAGCACACAGGTGCACACATGCCTGTCTTATAAATAAAGCATCAATATAGCAGGACTTCTACTGTATTAGGGTATAGGTTTAAGTTAGTGTTTCTGCATTCCTGACTGGCTCTGATAATGGTTTATCTTTTGTTAAGGAGCACTGTGCAGGTTGTCTGGTTGTCATGGCTTTAATACCCACCAGTCCATCATTCTTCGTTGAGTGCTTGCACGTACAAGATTAATATCTCTTTGCTTATTATCCCCGAAGGCCAAGCCTTACAAATGTGTCATTTGCAGGAATTCATCAATCCTTCTCATCTGAGATTGCACCACTCTTCGTGAACAATAAAAACTGTTGTAAATTTGCAAAGCGAAGAGGAGTTAACTCTTGTTCTTCCTTTTGTGTTAATGTGGAACAATTTGCTGTCAGTCTTTAAATAACTGGAACATTTTTTTCAACAAATATCTTGACATACCAAGGCAGGCCGTGCAAATCCAGGAAGAACCGTGAAATATTAGAGAATAATTGATTAATACAGAAGCCACTGAACAAGGAGAACGTGTCACTGAAGTATTAATTGAATTCTTTGATCTACTCAACTGTCCGTAAAGCCACTGCTTACTGTGAAAATGATGTATGTGTAACGCAAGGTCTGAGAGGAATCCATAGTCCATGTTGAAAAGACTGATCTAAATTGGGGCAACAGTAGGGGCACTGCAATTACACTTGGGATCTGCGATTGGAGGTGTGTTGGTCAGAAATAGGTCACGGGAGACAGGAGCTGATAACCATCTAGTATTTCACTGAAGCAATCATTATCCACGTGTGTGCTTGGCAGTGAGTACTGGCAAGCTGTTTGATCTGAAGGCCATCATATCAAAGCCCCATTGTGCCTTTGCTGACTGATGTTACACCTTCCATCAGAAAATGATCATGATTAGGAACTCTGGGCAATTTGCCTCATCTCTATCCCAAGGTTTCGAGAGCAGTTACAGCACCAAACCATTTTTTTAAAACATTGGTTCTAAAAGTGAGGGTTCCTTGCAATTGTCTTTCTCCTGTATGTTTGACTGTTTCTCCCATACATTTGAGTTTTAAACTGTTGAAATTTTTAACTTGGGTTTTATGTGCATTGTTTTCTCATCATTGGTGTGCCAATAGTTCCTGTGAGCAGATTTCCTCATACTCTGATTGCCTACAGTAGTCTTATCCTGCTCTGTTGTCTGGGCTCAAGAGTTACTTACCAATTACTTGCTTGTAACGGTGTGTTACTGGCTCAGAATGCCTTACGTGAGCTTACAGTCTGTTGAAAAGATACAGCAAACACAAACCAGCAGGTTTTCAGATTTAACCAACTATTCATTTTATTTTCAAAAGACCAAATACAAAGCAAGAGAAAAAGAACAACCAGAGGCTAAAATACCAGAGTTTTCACACTTGACAAGAAAAACAACAAACAGTTTGTGATGGATAACTTTACCCTTTTGTAAATCAGGCGCATGCTTTTGATCTCTGAGTTCAATTAAGTAAAAACCCTTTCTTGTAAATTGCTGGATTTTCTCTTCTCTTGGGCTTGATGAAATTATGATTTTTTNGCTGTCAAGTACAGTGTAATAAGACAATGTGGAATCTTAAACATATTCCTCACACATCATCTTATGAAACAAGCTACCAACTTGTAGGACGGTACCAGCTATGTACTCTAATATAGCAAATTGAGCTCTTCCAGTGTGTCTTTGAAGTTTAGATATTGGAACATCAAAGTGCAGGAAATTATTCTCCACTAAAGTGAGATTGCTGGCTTTCCTCAAATAATGGAAAAAAAAACATTGCATATTCCAAATGTGACATTCCAGTCAGGCTTGACATCAAATAAATAACAACGTTCCTTGCAGTTGATTTAACATGTATAATGTTGTCAAAATGTCCCACAGGGCTTCACAGGATTGCACTTTTAAGTTTGGTCACTATTTGTCAACACGGTGGTTTGTTCAAGAGGCAGCCTTGACAACCTTATGCAATGATGCTCCACTTCAGTCGTTGGCTAATTTGGGAAAGCAGGTGGCACAGAAAAATATTATTTTAACCTCTGATAGCCCTTCAAGCAGCCAGTTGTCCAATTGACCCTCATGCAAAGTTTGTATTGTGAAAAGGATTCAAAGAAGGTTCAAACTGTCAGGCAACACCTGCCACTTCCAATGCAATTGGATTAGATTAAGCTTCCTGTCATAATGAAATCTCAGCAATTCCTGACCTATTTTTAAAGTGAATTCTTAAAGTGACAGTTGCCCTCAATTTGTCTGACTTTCAGCCTGCTGTACATTTTAATCCTTCTGAGCCTTCCAACTTGTGACAGGTAACATTATTTTTTTTGGCACAAACATGGGACGATTAAATCATAGCCTGGGTTACCTGAAGTTTTCCTGCAGATAAAAGAAGTGTGGAAAAGTTGAAGTTCAGCTTTCAACCTGACAACTTTCCAAGTGTCAATTTAACCTGGAAACCAGTGCCAGGGAATGGAGCAGAATCACAGTACACCAATATAGATGCATATGTCGGATCTCAGATTGTATGACCCTCTTTTGTACGAGTCCACACCACCCCGTGCAGACTCCCTTCACTCCTTTTCTAATATACAAATGTATAGTTGTCCCTTTTCCAGCCCCAGTCACTGCACGTCAGTTACGTGTGGCTGCACACTTGTAATAATATAATAATTCTTATGTTTTCAAGTGCCTTATCATGTCTTCGAGACATCATACAGCATTATGTGATACCAATGGGTCCAATTTGCAGTATATTTTTAAAACAGAAATGTCTAGCTTCCCAATTTGCATGATTTGGATTACTTATTAAGAAATCCCATTTGGAATTGTTGTTAATTGTTATATATAAATTAGACCTCATTGTTCCTGTTAAGTGGTACTATATTTATGGAATTCTGTTTTATGACTAACTGTTTTATGAAGCAGTTAGCTTTGCTTGGCAATAGCAGTCCTTTTCAGGAGAGCAACATGAGGGGGATTTAAGTTGTACATACCTGTTAACATTTAAATTGAATCTCTGACTGTACTATTTCTAACTCTCTCTTTCTCCTCTCCTCTGATACCTGCTGGCTTTGTCAAAGTGGTGTTTGGCCAGTTTGTCTTTTTCCAGACGTCCCTCCATGATGTAGTTGACATATATGATGGACCCACCCAGCAGGCACCTCTCTTGACCTCACTTTCAGGGTCACATTCAGGTGGGGACCGTTGCCATGCTTAATGTTTTGAAATGTTTTTCTTCTTCAATAGAAATGCCAATCTCTTCCAGTTTATCGGGCTTACATTACAGCTGTTTATTCGCCTTACATTACAGCTGTGATTCCAGCTTAGGATCCATTGGCATCATTTTTAATTTGAATCCCCTAATCTCTGCTCTGAGCTACTCCAACAGATTTACATTAAAGACCTTGAAGAAATAATCATAATAATAATCCTTGCATTTGACATAAGCATCCTTTTAGGTCAGAAGAACGTCTCAAAATACTTCATGGGATATACTGTCAAACCTGTTCAAGCAGCCACCTCCATTCAGCAACCACTCTCTGTTATCAACCACCCTCTAACAGCCCAAACAGTCTGAACCCTTACTCAGAGGCCATATACAAAGGCCACTTTGGCCCAATCCCCGGAATGATTGTTGAAGACAGGTTTAAATACTATAAAGTGTAATGACTGTGTATTTAGTAGGTAGATGCAGCAGTCATAAAGTGAATAATTAATTTATCTGGGGGATTGTTGTCCAGGACACCAGAATAAACTTCCTTTTCAATTTAATTCAGTGGGTTTCCTTATCTGTGGCATTGAAATAATTCTACTCAGCACAGAAACAGAATTATAGAGCAGCGGTTGCCCCAGATGGAAGCAGCAGTGCAACAGAGGGACTGTAAAAAAGGAATCATAATGCTGGGGTCTATTATATTTTGTATGTAAATTCTGTGTATTGTGAGCCACTAGCAACCATGTATAAACACGCGAATAGAGGGAATTAATGGTGCCGTTAATTGTATAACTCACAACCAATAAAAAATGAGAAAATATTTTTCATTGGTTATTAACTACATATTTAAGGAAGGGCACTGATGGTACAAGCCTTCAGTACACATAATCCTTGCCTGGTTTATATGGAACACATATTATATATACTGTTTATACGCAATGAACAATACACCCCACTATGTAGGAAGGTTTTGGCTCTGCTTGTGTTCCAAAATCTCTGGCTCAAATTCACTTTGCGAGGAGAAAACAAAAACACATTTTGGAAATCTCAAACATTCACACTGTTTAAAAAAAGCAGAGCCTTGAAAATCATTATTTTAGAAGTCTGACCTTTGAGGGGTGTGCTGAGGTAATTCTGGAACATAGAATCAATGATCAGTTATTTAACGCTAGACTAAACCTTTTTGTACAGTTTAGGATTGGAATTCAGTATATGATGGTGGAGAAATGGAAAGTAGGTTTACAGACAAAATAACCCAATTCTCTGACTTTGTCTAAAGCCTCACTGACAATAAAAATAAGATTGTCTGTCTAGTTTGGAACTCCCTCCTTGAACATCTCCACCATTCCCCCTCCTTTGGCCATCTTCAGATTGCACTAAATGCTTTCCTCTTTGACCGTGCCTAGGATCACTGCCACTTTCTCCCCTACACAGTGTTAACTTTTTAATATCTCATCTGAAGAATGGCACTTCCAACAATACAGCACACCGCCAGCACTGCACTGTCCTGACATGGGGCTTGAGGTGAGAGTGTTACCAACTGAACAAGGTTAACACAAATTTCATTTATCAGTCCTCATCACTGATCAATTGTCAGCTTGGCTCAGCTCACCTCTGAGTCAGAATGTTGTGTGTTCAAGCCCAACTTCAAAACTTTGAACTCACGTAATCTAGACTGCCACTCCAGTTCTGGGAAAGCATTGCGTTGTTAGATAAACTGTCCTTTGTTTGAGACAGTCAATTGAGGCCCCATCTGCCTATTCAAGTGGAAAATAAAGATTCTATGACACTATTTGATGAAAAAGAGTTCCTCTCAGCTAAAATTGTGGAATGAACCATGGCCCGTCTGCTTGTCCACGTGGATATTAAAATCTCGTAAAATCTTGTGTGCAATTTGGCTGCCGTGTTTGTCTGCAAAATAAGGCAACATAGTCACTCATTACATTTTTCAGTAAATCCTGTAAAGTACTTTGAGATGTTTTTGCATATGTAAAATGCTTTATCAAATCTCAGCATTATAATGATTATGAAAGAACTCAGATTAATAAAATGTATACGTGTTAAGGAACGATAAAAATACATAGAAAGAAGTAATATTTCTATATTCTACTTTTCTAGGAGAGTCTCTCCCTTTAAGTTCCAGTAACCAGATCACTATCAAGTTTATCTCAGTTGGTCCAGAAACAGCCAAAGGGTTTCATTTTGTTTATCAAGGTAAGTGACATTTCGGAAGGTTGGCACTGTTTAAGTATATATGAGAAAGGAAGTAAGGCAACATTAGAGCTGACGGAAAGGATGATTTACTCTACAAACTGTGTCATCGGAATGCAATGTTTAATGTGATAAGTGAACATAATGAAGTTATTATTTGAAATGCTGCCGCTGTTGATGTCTCAATTGAAGATTGATTATGAGTTTTGCTGTGCTTAGTTAAATGAATGCCAGAGAACACTAAATCAGAATGAAGCAAGGATTGGATCTGGGATCTTGTTGGATTGTGTGTCTCACAATTTGATTTGAAACTACTAACGCCCATTTTAGGTAGACAACAACAACAACAACAAGATTTAATTTATAGAGCGCCTTTCACGTCGGGAGGACGTCCCAAGGCGCTGGACAGTTGGGTCGGGACCCGAGCAGGGGGGAAATGGTCAGTATGAGGGGAGGGAAGGGAGGGAGCGAGGAGGGGTAGAGAGTCGAGAGGGAAGCTGAAGGCCGGTCAAAGAGAAAGGTCTTGAGACCGGCCTTGAAGGAGGAAAGGGAGGAAGCAAGGCGAAGGCACTGGGGGATGGAGTTCCAGAGCCAATTAGAGCCAAAAGACAATTAGAGCCAAAAGACAATTAGAGCCAACATATACCTCATCCAATGAGTCCAGACATGATTCCCATTTCTGTCCCATAGGTGAAAGTCATTGTTTATTGTTTACTGGTAAATTCTTTCAGAGTTTAAAATGTCAACTTAATGTTTCTTCACTATCTATTGACGTGTAACCATTCTGTTGGAATGTATTCAGCTGTTCCAAGGACCAGTGCAACCCAGTGCAGCTCCGTACCTGAACCAAGGTTTGGGAAAAGAATTGGAAACAGTTTTGCAGTTGGTTCAATGATTTTATTTGAATGCAATCCTGGTTACGTTCTGCATGGTTCACCAGGAATTAGATGCGAATCCGTCCCAAATGCCTTAGCTCAATGGAACGACTCTCTGCCCAACTGTATTGGTGAGTATGGGCACACTCTTTCAACAGAATGAGCAGATTACAAAGAAAAGGCAGTTTAGTAAAACTGGGTGAATTTGTCAATATTTTGTCAATATATGCATCTGTTATAAAGAGATAAATATAATTAAAGATTTATGTGCTAGTTTCATATTCACGTAAATTTTTTTTAAGATTGAGATTGGATTCAACAATTTCTTGGACACTTTAAAATTCTATATAAATGGAGTAAATCTACATCCAGTAGGATTTCTATTCAAAAGAATTAAGCTTCAGGAAAGGGGAAAAGAGAAGAGATAAAATTGAAGCAAACCATTGACAGAGTAAGAAATAACTGCATTTTCTTGAGTAATTTGCGGTTCGCAATTTTTGTTTTGTGTGGTGTATTTTGTTAAAAAGTGCAAATCTATTTTTATTAAGGAATATCACATGCAAGATACACACTACACCTTATAGTAAATTATTTGAGATGTCCTCCTGACATGAAAGGTGCTGTTTCAAATGCTTAGATTAGTATTATTATTTAACGTGGTATCAATTTGGCAGCATTTATGATGAAACTTACAGGAAGTAATTTACTAACATAGATAAAATACAAAACAAATGGAATATACACTCCAAAATAATGTGACTCTCAGGATAATAATTGTGCACAGCCAACATTCTGCTCTTATTTCATTTCCTACACTTTAAGGAGACAATACCCGACGAGAGTTGTTTTGCTCAGTTCAGTAGTTCTATCAAAAGATTAATTAATGTTTTCAAGAGTGAGATTTTTTTTTCTGATTCATTGTACTGAAGTTTATAATACACCAACTGAAAACTGGGTTATGTGTGGATGTGGTCGAAATTCCAGTAGTTGAGGGTAAAGGACAAGGGTGTGTTAGCCTTTTTATGTAGCCTGACTTAGACTGAGATTGTGGGTTAAAGCCCCATTTCAGGATATTGAACTCATTTAGTTCAATATCTGTGGCAGAGGAAAGCAGTCCTGATTACTGAATGTCCATTGAATGGCTGACACTCCATTGCAGTTTCGAGTGTGCAGTTTCGAGTGTCTAATAAAAGTTTCTCCCTTCTCTTATTAGACTTCAGGATCACTATTTTTGTTTTTAATGGTGGTACTTTTTTAGATATGAAATTATGGCATAAAATGACACTTCCAGCAGCTTTGTTGTTATCAATCTCAAAGTAAACAACATTGCAGGTCTCAGTCTCCAGACTACTTTCACTGTAGCACCTGATTTCATCATTATTGATTTCAAGAGGCCTTTAACTGTGTTGTCAACACCATCTGTTTATATGAGAACTCACTCTGCTTCCCAAGTTACCTAATAAAATAGAGATTAAATGGATATTCCACAATTATAAGTAGAGTGGGAACTGGTGTAAAAGGTAAATTAGCGCAAATGTCACAAGCCAATCACACCCACAGTACTCAGAGTCAGTCCATACACTACAACATTTGTTTTCATCCATTACTGCTGTCAGATGACACAGCCTATGTGTTATGACAAAGTGCATGTCCCAGACTATTAGAAGCCTTAGCAATGTCATATTATTGCACTGGCTTCACTCTTGAGCATGTTACTTGTTTCCAATTGTCAAAATGCTTTTTTCTTTACCTCACTTTAAAAGTCACCAACAATATGACCCATATCAGAGCCTAAATACAACTAGATGGCATATTCACTTTATTTTACACTACAGCTGGTGCTTGATCAGAATTGTAAATCAAAGCAACAAACTAGAATAGAATAATAAAATAATTGCCTAAGGCAATAAGTGCCTAAGGCAATTATTATTCATGGCTTTCCAGACATGGAATCCTATTCCCAATAAGAGAAAATAATTAGAGTTCTGGTTTAAGTAATGCACTTAAGCATTTATTGAAGAATTTGATTTCCTTTGAACAAAATGTAAAATGGAAATGAATAATCCAATGACTTATTTGCCATTCCTGTTTTAGGAACATTCACAAATATGGTCAGCAATAGATATTAACTATTTAGGGCAACCTTGGCATCAGATTTAATCCCCAGCTGTTCTTTCTACTCCACATCCAGTTGCTAATCAGGACCGCTTTCCTCTGCCACATTGCTCACTTTGGACCATTCCTGACACCCAACCAACTGAAACCTTTATCCATACATTCATCAACTTCCACCTCAATTATTCCAATACCCTCCTCACCAGTATCCCCAGCTCCACTATTCATAAAATCTAATGAATTAAAAATTCCACCGCATGTATCCTCACCCACACCAAACTCTGTACCCCGATAACCCCAATCCATGCTAGGCTCCATTGGCTCCCTATTGCACAATGGATCAATTTCAAGATGCTCACACTCGTTGCCCAAATCACATCATGCCCAAACACATCTCTACATCTTCACCCTGCTTACACCCCACTCAACTACCCACAGCCTTCACTCAGCTGGATCTGAGTGTGGAGATCAAATTGTGCCAAATGAACTTTAATATCCACCTGAACATCTGAAGAACAACACCTCCAAAAATGCAGCACCCCCCAGTATTGCATTTGAGTGTCAGCTCAGACTTTACGAGTTCCAAGCCGTGAGGAGGAGCTCGAACCCACAACCCTCTGCCATATATTTTACCATTTAGAGCAAGCAACAGCAACAAAGAGAGGAACTTCTCTACCCACTAGTCCATCTACTCAGTTATAGGCAAACATCATTAAATATGGAAGAGCAGAAACATTTCTGTTCAGTTTCTCTGAAACCATTGACACATTCTTGGAACATTGATTGCACTTAGTATTTCCTATAGCCAATGGTCTGATACTCATGGGGACATAGTTCAGATTCTTCCAAAGCAATTATGAAAGTAACACAATACAATATTAATTTGGAAATCAACCAGAAATAATTTTGGTTTGCCAGATAGGATCCAGCTTGGATTACTCAAACGCACTCCTCGCCAATCTCCCCAGCTCCACTATTCAAAAGATCCAGCTCATTCAGAACTCTGCCACCCGCAAACTTACCCGGACTCCATACCAGTTCTCACCAGTTCTGGCCAGGCTCCACTGCCTCCCCATCACCAAACGGATCAACTTTAAGATCCTCACACTTGTGTTCAAATCATTCTCTGGTATATCCCTACCTCTCCGACCACCTCACTCCCCAATCCACCACCCGGCGCCTCCACTTGACTGGCATCGGCCTCCTACTCGTCCCTCACACCCTGCACCCTACCATCGGAGGTCATGCTTTCAGCCACTACACCCCAAAACTCTGCAACACTCTCCCTCAATCCCTCTGGTTTGCCCCGGAGGAATCTATCTATTATATGCATGCAATATACAGATGCTAGATGCTAATATATAGATGCTATACAGGTTTAAATAGTTGTTTGTTGCTGTTAGGCATAAAAGATTGTCATGGCGGGGGGGAAGCGGGAATCCCACCATAGTTACCTCCATTAGTTAGTGTGACACAGATATGCGTTTGCCCACAAAATACACAGTCACTAAACTTCATACCAATTGGGGGTCTTCTACATCAAAAACAAAATGTTTACAGATTTTCCAGTGGATATATTTAGCTACATTATTATATCGATTCAGGTACGCCATTGGTGCTAGGGTTGGACATGATGACAATATGTGATGTACTATTTCTTGTGCTTGATAGCATATTTGATGGCTCCCTGTTTTTATGCTTTCGATCTGTTCCAGTGATATTTCCAGTTATATTATTTTTGACTGTAAGTGTTATCATCAGTTTCTGTGGGTACTTCCTCTTTATTTTGGGTACTATTCTTGATATTTATTATTATTATTATTATTATTATTATTATTATTTATATCTACCTATCATGATCTAAGCCCTTTTCTACTAAATCCCTTCAGGTGAGATGTTAAACCATGGTCCTGTCTACCTGTTCAGGTGGATGTTAACGATCCCATGGCATGATTCAAAAAGAGAAGGGAGTTTTTTTCCATGTCTTGGCCAACGATTCCTCAAATTAAAAATTGATTATTCACTCCATGGCTCTTTATGGTTTATTGCTGTGCACAAACTGGCCACAGTATTTCCTCCACAAAATACACAGACAATCCACTTTACAGTATATCCTGTGAAGCGCTTTGGGAAGTCTGAATGACATGATAAGGCACTACATCAAATGCAAGGATTATTATTATTAAAGAAATCACTTACTTTTAGAGGAGGATATAACTAATGCCTGGAACTAAATTCGACTTCCTCTCGGAACAATTGAACAATTGAGTTCAGGTTTAGGTTTATATTCAATGTGGATGTCCCCAAGAAGATATCATCTCGCATCTCAAAAATAGGGTTTCCGGGAGCAGAGAAAAGTATTACTGTATATATTAAATACCTTTTTTCCTATTTCACAACATTACTGTACATCAATTTCTCATAATCTGCCCTAATTATCTGCTGTCTATGATTGAAATGAAAGCTGTAAAAGCAGCTTAAAAATACATCTGAAAATAACTGCTACAATGCTGAAGGCTGGCAGATTACTAACAGTCAGAGTGAAACATAGTGTTATTATCTGTTCACTCTGAACCTCTTGTTCAGTCCGTGTGAAATGAATTCTAAACGTTGTCCCAGCTCGTGTAGAGGTATTCATATTATGTATATAATATTTTTTATATATATAATTGCAGAAAGTTGGATTGATTTTCTGCCGGTAATAATCCCTTCAAAAATAAATAAATAATAATAATAATTTGGTCATTCAGTCCACGACTGTTTATGGGCCACTGCTGTTTGCATTGAGCCAGCGAGCGGCAGAGACATTCGCGAGCTAGCGAGGCGTAGGATCTCGGAAACCCAAGTCACTGAACAGGGAAATTCCTCATCCATACCTTTGTCACTTACAGCACACTTATCCAGTGTCCTGACCAACAACCTCCCCAAAATAAAATGATTCACTCATTCCATGACTGTTTGTGGGACATTGTTGCATGCAAACTGGTTGCCACATTTTACCCATAAAATACAACAACTGCAACTTGCATTTATATAACAACCCTCATGCTGGGTAGTATCCCAGAGCATTTAAATACACAGTCAATCCACCTACAATATATCCTATGAAGCGCTTTGAGACGTCTTAATGAGGCAGTGTATCAAATGCAAGGATTTTTGTTATTAACAACAATGTGATAATTCAAGTCACAATTTTTACTCCATTATCCTCATGGTGATAGAATTTGCCAGTGATCCCTGGTCGACGAGGGTGGATTGAATCCAGAACAAAAGGCTTGCTTCTTTCTTTCACTTAAACAATTTATAGCAAAAACTCCCAAACGTATCTTTTTAGCAACCAACAGTAATTGTTTCTGTTGATGTGTGATGCACATCCAATATTAATTTACCAGAAGGATAACATTGAGGTTGACATTACATGTAGTGACTGACAACTGAGGATTATTAATGCTCTGAGAGAGGCCAATATCATCTATGTTGCTACACATAACGCTGACCAGAATTTAAACTCTGCAATTTAAAAGAAAACAAGACTTTTTATTAAAACAAAGACATTTAAAGTGGGAAAAAATATTGCTGCACTTCATGGACATATTTGGTACCCAGCTGATCCTACATTTCTAGGTCTGCAGGGTGTAAGGTTTCAAATTAGCTGCTACTTTCCAATAGGGGATAGACCTAAAATTTTACTGGTGATGTATAACTTACCTGGAACATTTTGCACATTTTATTAAATAGTGCACAAAACACATCAATAACTTTGTATTTCCCTGAAGCAAAAACTGTAGAGATTAATTTGGAATTTTCCATGAGAATTTTAGTTCATTTGTAACACAGATGCATTACTTTGATTTAGCCAAAATGTTTGTGTCTTTATATTCTCATTAGCAGGAATTGTTAAAGGTACTAAAGGTTGTGCTGGTCTGATCTAAATATAATAGTCTATCTTACTGCATCAACATGTAGACATAGTTATGGTTGATATCTAAACTGAAGATTGTATCCAACATTACTGTGTTTTAAAATATATTTTCCACCTGGCTGATTTCTAACAGAATAAGCAAACTGATAATGCCATTCCTCTATCCGTCTGAATGTTCAGAGTGAGTAAAGAGCAAAGGAAGGTTTTGAATGTCTTTCACGTCTCTCGGATTTAGAAATTGCACTGTAATTTATTGTATTTTTACTAAATCTTTAGCCAGTTTAAAAATTACACCAACCATAATTGTGCCTCCTGCTCAAATGCACACCAATATTATGTCAGGAATTCTTAGTTTCTCCATTTGTGTTGCCTTCCAGTGCCCTGTGGTGGAATTTTAACTAGGCGCAGAGGATCCATCCTGTCTCCAGGTTATCCTGAACCGTATAACAACAATTTGAATTGTGTCTGGAAAATCATAGTACCAGAAGGTGCAGGCATACAAGTAAGAAGGCTATTTTTGTGTTCCTTATTCTGATCAATTTCATCTAAGTTCTTTTAATCCAGAATCTGCTTTACACCAATGCCATCACATTATTTCAGTGCAGATTTGTAGATATTATTCTGTGTAATTTTACGGAGTCAATCTGAAGAGTTTAAGAAAAAATTAAACAACTCTTTTGTTTGGTCTGATACTGTCTCCCTTTGTACTTTAGAGTAGGGTTACAATGTAGAGTTGAGGCCGTAAACTGTAAATGATGATCTACTGTAACATTTAGCTTAACACTGGTCATAATTGACTATACATAGGTTGCTGTTTTTGGCTAATCATGATGGAACAACTCCCACAAGGGAGTTTCTTTCTATTTTCCTGGCTAACAATTCCCCAGAACAATTAATCATTTACTTCAAGCCATTGCTGTGTGTCTATTGACTGCCACATTCTCCTTCAAAATACACAGTCACTACACTTTGCAGTAAATCCTATGAAGTGCCTTGAAACATTTTGACAACAGAAGGTACTTTATCAAATGCAAGGTTTTTTTAAAATTATTTTTCCCTTGCCACGGGGTATTTTTTTNCATTAACTCTTTAGAAGAGAAGGTCCAATTATTTGCAATAAAACTTTCTGATAAGTGTATACCAGTCTGATTGAAGCACATACTTTCAAAGTGGCAATCATTGTTTATTTAAAAATCATGCATGTATGTTTTTCAGATTCATGTAATAAGCTTTGCAACTGAGCACAATTGGGATTCTTTAGACCTCCATGATGGGGTTGATACTAATGCTCCAAGACTTGGAAGCTATTCAGGTAAGAAGAACAAAGTACCATCCTGGATAAAGTAAATGCATTAAAAAAAATGCTGTAATTTTAACTCCATAGGTCCAGGGAGAAGATTCTCCTTTCTGGTTAGTTTTTCACTTTACAAGACACCATTGTTACTTTAATGAAAAAATTAAAAAAGTTATTTGAACTGTACCTTCTTTTTTGTCTGGCTAAGCTTTTAATTTTAATATGTTCCTTTTGTTTTGTTTTTAATTCAAAGTAATTTACTTTCCAGCTTTTTTCATTCATCCATTTTAAAGATGGGAACAACTTTTACATAGGGCACTTGACTGGCTTATAAGATTGTAAAGATGTGTAAAATAATATGTTTAGAGTGAGGAGAAAAATGTTGATCGGGGGCAAGGGAGAGGGGAGGGGGTAACCTAGCAACATTTGGTAAGCAAAATTAAGAATCTGGAAGCTCTAGTTTTCTTTTCTTCCCATCTTCTCCTTAGGCACTACAATACCAGCACTGATAAACAGCACGTCTAATAATCTCTACCTGAACTTTCAGTCGGACATCAGTGTATCTGCTGCTGGCTTTCACCTCGAGTACACAGGTATTGTAATGTTATGTAACTGAATATACAGACATTTATGTAGCGCCTTTCATGTCAGGATGATGCCCTGATATGTACTAAGGCATGAAAGGCACTATATCAAATTATTATTGTAGATATCAAATCAGATTATTGTTGGTATTCACTTACAGATCAGTCAGGATTAAAAAAAATGGTAAAGCAGACTCAACTGGCCAAATAGCCAATGTTTGTTTCTAGAACAAGTGTAATAATTCATACTCCTTAGTTATTACATATCTTTTCAATTTTGGTTTATTTACCAGCATTGAAGTATTTGTTGCCTGTTGTCATTAATTCCAATTAGGTATGCTCCAATTTAAAAATTGACAAAGTCTTCTATCATATCAGACAAAAAAATAGGCTGAGAAAGATATGTTTCAGACAGTAATTCTTGTCAATAGTCAAGTGTCTAAACTGCAGTACAACACAAATCATTATCCATGTCAGTGGTTAATGGGAATTAATGTTTTGCAGCCATTGGATTGGATTCCTGTCCAGAACCACTTACTCCCAGCTATGGAATCAAAACTGGAGACAGATACTTAGTAGGAGATGTGGTATCATTTCAGTGTGACCAGGGATACTCTCTTCAGGTAAGCAATTTAGTGCCGTATTAAACAGCCCATAAATGTACACAAGCCTCTCTGTTAAGAGTCAACTATATTACACATTGTTTATGTGCATTCCCCAAACTGGTCAAAGATTTGATATTCAAAGTGAATGCCCAATTTTCAGGGATTGATGCTTCCTTGTGAATCATATGCAATGTTGCTGAACATTTTCCAAACATTGTTATAGAAGTCCCAATGTCTCAGAAACAAAATCATACAGCAGTCTGTTGCTGCCAGAAGCTATCCTTAGTGTAACAGACAGTGAGAACTGGCAGTATGGAAGTCTTTAAGATGGATTCTTGTAGTATTTCTGACAGGAGGGCAGTGCCTGTGTGACTAAACGCTATGAAAGGATTTTCTGCCCAATCTCTGTATTTTGGACTGAAAAAAGGAGTCCCTAGACTGAAAGAAGCCTGAATCCTTGTCGTTTGGCCAGGCCGTAAAGGTCAGGTGCCTTCACCCCTGTTAGAGGTAACGGACCAATTCTGTTTCCCTGTGCCTAGCTAAAGCTGCACACATTATGTGGAGTCCTGTAGTTCAATGGTTTCGAGCACTCGCCTCGCAAGTGAGAGACCTGGGATCGATTCCCGGCAGGACGAAATGTTGGGCAAGTAGGAACCTGGTAGTTAGATGATTGGTGGATCACTTTCCTGGGGTAATAATTCCTTAAAAAAATAATAAATGGGTCACTCAATCCACGACTGATTGTGGCACACTTCTGTGCGCAATTGGCTGCCACATTTCGCCCACAAAATGTACAGTCAATTCACTTTACAGTATATTCTGTGAAGCGCTTTGAGACGTCTCGAAGATATGATAAGGCGTTATATCAAGTGCACGGATTATTATTGTATTGTTTTATCCCATAATACTGTGCATTTTTGTGTTTCCTTGTCATGTATACTTTTTCCTTTAAAAGTCATGCTTATAGGATCTTTTCCAGTTAATGTTTCTACATTTAAAATAATTGGGCTAAGATTGCTCTATGTGATGTGCTAATTCTCAGTCTGCTGCAATATGAGGCTTATAATTCAAATCAGTCATAATTTAAGGCTGGTTCCTTTGGCACCCTCTTCCCCCCCACACACACCATATGTACACATGCTTTCATTTTCTCTCTCTGTTGGATACACTTAAGCATGGTGATGGTTTGTTGTGTGTGTCATACACTTAGTTGAGCAAAACAAGATTACAGGATCACAAATTTGGTTAGGACAAAGAAGATCCTGTAACCCATCCAATCTCATCCATGTAACCTAGACTCCCATCCTCCCATCACAACATCAAGCAATTTTTTAAATGAATCCAATGTCCTGCCCTAAACTACCCTTCCAGGAAACCTGTTCTAGTTGTCACTTACCCTCTAAGTAAAGAAAAACCTCTTGGTATTTTCCCTGAAATTGCTCTCTGTACTTTAAGCCTATGTCCTATGTTCTCTTATTTTACTATGTTGGTGCTTCCTAAGGTATTGTTCTGGGTTTACTCTTTCAATCCCGTTTAAAATTTTATACAACAAGAATTTGTTGTTGTTATACACCTCTATAAGATTCCATCTGTTAAAGCTGCAATTAACAGCTATGTGAGAGCTAATTATCTGAAGTGTTAATAAACATACAACAGATCACAATTTTTACGTGAATGATTTATGGATTTTGAGGAGACTTTGGAATAAAATGTTTTGTTTCCTCAGGGGCATTCTCATATAACATGTATGCCAGGACCAGTGAGGAGGTGGAATTATCCTATTCCCATGTGTATAGGTAAGTGTGTCTGTAGCTTGCAAAAGTGGATCATTTCATTTCTGGTTTATATTATTTATGTAAATGACAGTACTTGAGATAATAATTTTCATGTGAGGCATAACACTGAATGGGGAAATTTACTCTTCATTTAAATAAATAACCCTTGTCAGTCCATATGAGCACTCTCAGCTCTGCATCAGAAGATTCGAAGTTCAAGCAGTTTGAGGTATTTCAATGACATGACAAGGCACTGCATCAAATGCAAGGATTATTATTTTATAACAAGCAAAATTTGTGACATGATACACAATGCCAGCAATGCCTATCATTAGATGGCAGTACCCCTCTCCAGTTTGTGGTCTCACACTCCCAATTCCCTCGACTAACACTAACAGGATTTTTTAGAAATGTAAATTCTAACCATTAGGGTAGTTTCTAATTTTAGTTTTGTTTGTGGGCTTGATCTGCAAAGAGCTGCAGGTCATCCACTCCCTTTCCATGTCACTATTGTTGACTGAATCTTCAATTCCTACATCTCTAAACTCTGGAACTCCCTCTCTCTAACCCTCTGCCTTGCCCCTCTCCCACTATATCTTGAGCTCCCACCTTAAAACCTACTGTTTTGAATATTCCTATGGCTATCTACCCCCTAACCCTTTCTTTCCCTATCCTTGCTTGGCGTGTGAACCCTGATCTGGTAAAACGCTGCAAAACATTATCCTAAAATGATGGAAGCTATTGTTTTTGATGTTGAGGGATGAAAATTGTGCTCTCCCCACTTCAAAATTCTTATTTACCCATCATTGAATACACTTTGTTATGCTGAATTGCAGAAAGGTCTTTTCCAATACACATCTGTTGTTTTGCAGCCCAGTGCGGTGGTGCTCTGACTGATTTCAGCGGAGTTGTTCTTAGCCCTGGTTTTCCTGGAAACTACCCAAGCAGTTTAGACTGCACTTGGACCGTAAAGCTTCCTATTGGATTTGGTAAGTCTCGGGACAATCATTGGTTGGCACGTCATTATTACCCCACACAGCAGTTGCCCGAATGGTGAGTTGTCTACATGACCAAGAGGTTCACACATTGATGTTTAATTGCCATTGCTTTTTTTGGTCAAACTATGAAGTTCATAAACAGATTATGCACATTTGCTTGACAATTCTCTATATCTTGTAATAACATTTATTAGAGTATTGGTAGAGTCCAGGGAACAACCCCTTTGTAGTGGTTGAGTCCTGGGGGCTATTTAAGGTTTTTACACATGCTCAATAGAGAGTATCTGACCAGAAGCAATGTGTGAGCCCCACATGCTTTTTTCTGTCTGAGGTAAAATAAGCATTTTATAATTTTACTTACATAAATAGGGTCATTCACGAGAACCCTTCTCTAACTTGGGAGAAACGGTATTTTGGCACCCTGGATTAAAAAAGCCACATGTGAGGAAAAAAAGTGAGCTGCGATTTGTTTATTATTTTCTCTCTATCCCTCCTGGACTATTTAGCAATGAGAAATCATTAGTCTACATCCAGCGAAGCCAGGAAATATCCATAGGCAGAAACATAGTTCATAAGAATGTCATCCTTATTTTGCCGACAAATACACAGTCACAAACACTTTACAGTAAATTCTGTGAAGCACGTTGAGAGGTGATAAGGCACAATATAAAATGCAAGGGATTATTATATTGTTTATTCAGTATGCCATAAATAATGTATTGTTTCCGTTCACATACTGCAAAGAAGGTACTTCATTTCTTCTTTCCTTTGCTCTCGTTGCAATTCTTAGGTGTGCATTTGCACTTTGTCAACTTTTCCACGGAAATGATCCACGATTACATGGAAGTCCGGAGTGGATCTGCAACCACTGGGACAGTGATCGGTAGATTTAGTGGTCCCCAGCTGCCAGCACCGCTGTTCAGCACGACTCACGAAACCACCCTGTATTTTTGTAGTGACTATTCGCAGAACAAGCAGGGCTTCCGCGTCATCTATCAAGGTAAGGAATTAAAAGGAGAAATAAAGAGGAATCATCTTCCTCTTTCCCTTGCCCCTCCTTCCTCAATTATGCCCAATGATTGCTCCTACCCACACTGTGCTCTACAAAAATACACAGTCATTATATTTTCTAGGGAATCCTGTGAAGTGCTTTGAGACATGTTCCCTATGTGCAGCGCATTATATAAAGGATTATTTATTATTTTTATTATCACAGAGGTTGGTGGTTGAGTGAGGCTAATGTGGGATATTGGCTCACTCCACCTGGTATGCTGTTTAGCTGCACTCACACTCTGACTCCAGGATTTAGAAACAGGACACACCAATCTCTTGATATCCAAGACGGCACCAATTATTTTTAAAATTGGCAACAGGAGCAAACCAAAGTGAAGCTGTTGGGGTGAATGTTTAGTTTCACAGCCTTTGAATATGAATATAAGAATGAATGGAAATAAACAGTGTTTCTGATAGGATGTGATATCACATTGAATCTGTTATGACTTGCCACAGATTTTACCCCAAAACCCTATTAAATATTTCCATATTCTATCAGATATCTGGTAGTTTATACTGAATGCTTGTTGTATTTCATCAATGAGTTTGTGAAATAATCACAAGAGAATTTCAGTGACTGTAAGTGATGCTGCACTTATATAGAACATGCAATTATGCCCGTTCAGAAAGGAAACACAAGTTAGAGATGAGCAAGGAATGGATCAACCACTTTCATCATAAAGTCAATGGGTTATATGGTGATTTGCATAAGATAATGGCAGGGTTTGAATTGTGGTATTTACAAACTGGACTTGTTGCATTAACTGCAATTTCCAATTTGTGACTTTTACTTCCTGAAATGTGTGGCAGGCATATCACACATTCCACATCAGCAATATCAAAACAAGTAAAACATTTGATGGTACCATTTTACTTGCTGAATTGGGAATTGTGAGCTGTGTCTGCCTAAAAATACACAGTTACTACACGTTATACAAAAAACTGTGAACTTTTACACATTTCAACAACATAATGACATGTGACATGTGAGCACTATTAATAGTATTTTCAGTAAGCTTGTTTACCTTTTACCTCTGCCAGTTTTTCTCCTCCTATTTCCTTCCTTCATCATAAGGGGAACTAAAGTTTTCAATCAACATCATTGTAGCTCCTAACTGACTTAACACATTAGAGCATAAGAAATGCTAGATGAAGAAAAGTCCAAGGTCCATCTAGTTCGCCTTCCACCTTCCTGCAGTCACATGCACATATGTCCCAAACTACCTATGTATTCCCTCTGACGCATTATGAGGTGCATGTGTCAGACACCCGGCTGACCAAAACAAACCTTAATTTGGAAGCCTTAAAACGAAGACTGAGAATTTTCAGAATGCCAAGGAGCTTGCTGAGCTAGTGAAGGGAGATGAATTAAAATGCATGGTTAAAATGACACAACTACTGAACATTGTCATGATTTAATTCCCTCACACAATTGAGACTGGTAATTCCTCCAAAGCAATTCCACTGATATGTCATCAGTACTCATTTTGCAAATCAAGGGATGCCAAGGGGGAAAGAAAACCATCAGAATCAGTGATAATTTGTGACTGTTTTAGGGGGAAGAGCTGATTGTGGCACTTTGAATGTATAGGTTGTTAATGAATTGTTTGCTAATCTACATTCTGAAATAAGACAGATTTTGGCTGGTTCAGTTGGTGACATTCAACTTTGAGTAAGAAGGTCATAGATTTAAGTACATCAGGACTGTTTAAGTGTGCATTGTCAAGGGTATCATTCAGCAGATGAGACATTAAACTGAGTTCCCATCAGTTCAGGTGGATGTTCAAGATTCAAGATGTTCAAGATTCCACAACATTATTCAAAGAGAAATAAGTCTACAGATGTCCTGACCAAGATTCCCCCAGATAAAATTGGTCATTCACCTCATGGCTGTTTGTGGGACATTATTGTGCACAAATTGGCTGTTGTGATAGCCTACAAATACACAGCCATTACACTTCACACAAAAGCTATATCTGAATTGAATCTATAAAACATGGGAGATAACATGACATCATGCGACACAGGATGAGCCCAACTCCACCAAGTGAGATTCAGGCAAAATTAACAAGATATGTTTGTATACATTTCTTTAACTACCATCTGTGGGGTTCTATTAAATTAATTCACTGCATATCCCTGCAGTGAGAGGATTGCTCTATTTGTGTATATGCTCCTCATTAAGCAAACATTAATGAATATACATGGAGTGAATAAGTGACTGAGCAGATGTTTCCTTGAACAAATATTCTCACTTTCAGATTCTGAAAGTACAGTGCAGAAGTGTGGAAATGTCTCCCATTTGAATAGTATATAGCAAGGTCAACCTGACTCAGTTGAATGGTACATATAGAAGGTCAACCTGACTCACCTCCGAGTCAGACGTTTGTGGGTTCAAGCCCGATTTGATCACAATCTAGCTGACACTCCAGGTACCATCCTTCCAATACGATGTTAAAATGAAGTCCTGTATGTCTGTTCAGATGGCCACTAAAGATCCCATGGAACTATTCGAAAAGAGAAAGGAGTTTCTCCTGGTGTTCTGGCTAGCAATCTCCAAAATAAATTGATCATTCACTTGTGGCTGTCTGTGAACATTACTGTCTACATATTTGCTTGTTCAACTACAAAATACACTTTACATTATATTCCATGGAGTGTTTTGAGACATCTTCCTGGTGTGAGAGATACTGTACTAAATGTAAGGAATATTACTATTATTTTTATTATTATTATTGTTTGCTGATCTGAATGCTAGTCATATGAAGAGCCAGCCTCCTTCCAGAGCAAATGCAGACACATCTGAAAAGTTGCTGAGACACTTTTTTTATGAATGGTCTGAGCCCTGGTTGTGACTGAGAATAATGAATTCCTCTGAGACAAAATGCAGTCAGAATGTAATATGTTGACTGACAAGCAATGCTTCAGGGAACAAAAAGCTGTCAAGCAAGAAAGTAAGAGTTGAATTAAAATCAATCTTTATCTTGCATTACTTTAAAATTAATTTATTTCCCCTCCACCTCACAGCTCAGAAAAGAACAGACTAACTGTTGAACAGAATGAGGAATTCCCCTCTTTTTGATGCTGAATGAGTCAAATGATGAGCTAGAGTTGGCTAAGCATAGGAAGTTCCCTTGCTCCAGACCAAGCTTCTTGCTGAGTGTGTGAAAAAGAAGACAGAACTGGCCATGAGAGATTCATTGAATGGGATACAATTTAAGAGCCAATGACATGGAACTCAAGAGGTTTCTATATCTGGTCAGAACTAAAAGAATATGGCTGTAGTCAGTGATGAGACTTACTATTAAACTGGCCTACATATTACAGAATTGCGCTTTAAAGTATTGTAGGCCTGTATATTACAGTATTGCAGGTCGACATATTATAGTATTTAGCTTAACTGCAATATGGAAGGTCTGACAATCAGTTTTCACAAGATATGGCATCTTCCAAGTTTCAGAGCTTTCAGCCATACAGTACACATTGCCATCTCAACACAGTCATCTCAGTGGACATACACTCTTTTATATTGTACATTCTTGGCAGTGGAATGTCTGAATCAAGCCAGCCCTCTATAATGTTCACAGTTGTCCGATTCCTGAGCCAGGTGGGCTTGTGGTACTCCAGGGCACTCCTGATGACAGACCAGAATATCCATGTGTAGGTGGGATGCCTGGAACTCTTCGTCTGGTTTGGATGTTTTAAGTGGGGTGATGGGTTTCCGCACATGTTAGACATCTGGATGACCAAACATATGTTTCAGAATCAGTCTCTGAGCTCCCAGCTGATGACTAATGTTCTTTTTCTTTCACAAAAGCACAAAATCCTATCAGTCCACAGCAGGTCAACCAGCACCTTCTAGAGAGTGATATGTTAATGCCTGAAAATTGCAATTGAGTAACATTTGCAGTATTCCTTATTTAACTCTGGTGTAAACATTCAATGGCAGCACATACTTATTCAGGTATTTTTCTTCATTTCTAGGGCCAAATGTCAATATCAGGTATCCAAAATATCAGGGTCCAAAATTTGCACAACTGTAAATCACACACCAATAATGTCTGAAACATTCACCGGTGAGCAAAAAATTCCATCAATTGCACATTGGAAATTTTCTACATTTTTGCATTTTGCTGGTTCATGATACAAATTTCGCAAGTAGCATCGAGAATTTATTGTGTCTTTCGCCCACCACCCCCACAAGGAGGATCAAGTAATCAGACCGAGTTAACGAGGAACAGCACATTGTGAATAGCTGCAAGGGAGTTGGTAATGAATGCTATGAATCTATTAATTGAAGTGCAAATTTTTAAATTAGGTTTGTGTTGGGTACAGTTTTGATGTGCACAAATTAATGGAGTTAGAAAGCACTTTGGCAAATAAAGTTAATAGAGCCAAAGGAAATGGAGGAAATTATATCAAAACTTCTATCTGATCTTATTAACTATGTGTATTCTTCAGGAAAAATCAGGAAGCAAATGGAAATTTAGCTTTTTTTTCTTTATCTAACACATGGGGAAACCCATCATCATGCTTAAGAGGTTTGGGTACTCTTGAGCATGGTGATGGGTTTCCGCATGTGTCTGATTCTCGTCTGATCAAAATAATAATAACAATAATAATCCTTGCATTTGATTCAGTGCCTTATCATGTCTTCAAGACATTTCAAAGCACTTCACAAAATGTACTGTAAAGTGAATTGACTGTACATTTTGTGGGCGAAACTCGGCAGCCAATTTCACACAGCAGTGTCCCAGAAACAGTCGTGGATTGAGTGACCAAATTATTATTTTTTTTAACATTTTTTTTGAAGATATTATTACTCCTGGAAAAGTGATTTGCCAATCGCATAACAATAGGGTTCCTACTTACTGCTAGGTAAACAGAGATGCATGGAGTAAGGAAACTTGCCCAATGTTTTGTCCTACCTATGAATCAAATCCAGACCCTCTCATTTGTGAGGTGAGTGCTCTAACCACTAAGCCACAGGACTGTAGCAGTTTACACATAGCCTCTGCAAAGAGTCATGAAATGAATGACCAATTTATCTGGATGATTGTTGACAAGGACACCGGGAGAAACTCTTTTCCCTTTCAAATTGTGCAATAAGGAGACTGTATTTGTTGTAGGTGCTGTCCTTCAGATGAGACAGTACCAGTATCCTGGCTTCCAATGGATTCATTGAGAAAGGAATACAAAATTGTGCAAATAACCCTCTGAAATAGCATTTAAAAAGGCCAAATGGAAACACTTCACTTCACTTCTACTCAAATGGAATCACATTTTGAGGACTTATCCTTCTTGGTAGACTGTGACATAGTCCATATGAACAACAACAAAACATTCTTATGTAGGTTATTTATTGTGTAGCTGAAGTGATCAGCTTTGCAAATATTACTTTGCCAGCTATGTATCATGTGAAACCCAAATTATTTGGTGTGCCCATCCAAATAACGCGATTTCTGTGTTTTGTGTTGCAGCGTACCAACTTCAGAGCTGCCCTGACCCTCGTCCATTTCGAAATGGTTTTGTGATTGGGTATGACTTGTCTGTGGGGCGCACCATCTCGTTTGAGTGCTTGCCCGGTTACACTTTAAACGGAGAGGCAGCACTCACTTGCCTTCACGGTGTCAGTCGCAACTGGAACCATCCGGTGCCGAGATGCGAGGGTAAGAAATGAAACAAGAATTGCTAACCTTCCCTGCATGCATGTTTGAAGTCTGTCCATGTGGTCACTAGTCCACTGATGTCATCCACTAATTTCTGAAGGATTTAAAGCACCTCTTCTGTGAGTGCAGTATCTAGGATGCTTTCTGCACTGCATGGTTAACTATCTATCTTTTACATTTTTTTCTTGAAGAACTGCAGAAAGCCAGCTTCCAAATTCATGATGAATTTAAACAATGTTTGCAAAATGTTACATTTTAATTATATTAAGTTAAGAGATAAGAAGTTTAGTGCCCTGGATTGGTAATAGTTGCGTGTTATTTTTATTTATTGAAGAATACAAATGTGAAGAGGAAGGTTAAAAATTGTTCATGAAAAATGAATCTTCCAGAAATGTTTGCAAGTGTCATCCTTTTTTATGTCTTTTACCTTGTTGACTTGAATGCATACCCGCTGAAATCGGAATGTAGTGAATGTAATTGATGTTATGTTTTCTTGCAGCACTCTGTGGAGGCAATATTACTGCACTAAACGGCACTATTTACTCCCCTGGGTATCCCGACGAGTACCCACACTTCCAAGATTGCTTTTGGATTGTCAAAGTCCCCCCTGGCAATGGAATCTACATCAACTTTACTGTCTTGCAAACAGAACCTATATATGACTTCATTACAGTATGGTAGGCCAATAAGTATTCTCTATGGATTCAATGTTAACTGTGGTGAAATGAAACACAGTACTGATATAATGTTATTGTGCCATTACTTTCCCAGTACAAATCTTGATGAGTAGCTACATCCCGAAGCGAGTAAGCAGTGAACAAAAATAAATGCAGAATTTACAGCAGCTGGCTGTTTGTCAGAAAACAATGCCATCTATAATAATAATAATAATAATAATAATAATAATCCTTGCATTTGTTATAGCGCTTTTCACGTCAGGAGGACGTCCCAAAGCGCTTCACAGAACACACTGTAAAGTGAATTGACTGTATATTTGTGGGTGAACACTATGTTCTTTTCTCATTCATAGCATCAATTATTGTATCACACAACAAGAAATGAACTAGCGGGGTAATATTAGTTAAGCAGGATCAAATAGTAAAATAATTTACTGGACACCCAGCCTGACCTACAATTACTGGAAATAGACAGATTGGAAGCTTTTGTAGTCAGGCCTATAGCAGTCAATAACAATTTAGCTTTAAATAGTGCCTTTTACATAGGGAGGACGTTTCAAAGCCCTTCAACTAGTTTCCAGGGAGCTTGATTGGTGCAGCGGGGGGAAGCTAAGGAGGGAGGGAAAGGTTACCAAAAACATGGCTGAAGAGAGAGATGTTTTGAAGGTTAGCAGGGTGGTGACAGGGCAGAAGGATACCAGTAGGAAGATTGAGAGAGTGGGCAGAAGAGTTGAAGGTTTACCGAGAGATGATGGCGTGGAGAAAGTAGGGGTGTGAAGGATGGCAGTGTTTGCTGAGCGAAGCGAATGGCCCCAGGCAGTAGAGTTGAATGAGGCCGTGGAACCCTTAGATCAATCAACTTAAATTTATTCTGTTTATTTTAATGTCTTATCTGTGCAAACTATCATACTACACAAATGTTGAATTTCTGGTCATTCCTATTGTTGGTTAAATAAGGTTTTTTGGCAGCTTGAGGTATTAAATATAACCCTGATCTAATTTAAACCTGAAAGGTGTAAATAAAAAGAGAGAATCTTTATAGCCCACAGTACTTTTTTCTATTACCTTTTATTATACATGCAAAATACAATGTAGTTTTAACTTTTTTGCATTTTACTTGTGTTTCATTTTATGTTTTCGCTGTGTTTTAATTCCGTTTTCTGACCCAGACGTTCAGGCTGCTGTAACTTCTCTCAGTACAGCTCTTGACGGGAGCTTATCCTCTGTTTTCTTGGAAGGCCTGAGTAACCCACTTGGAATTTATTTTGGTCATCCAGGTGACTGACTCACTTGGATTAGAACTCTGTCCACATGTTAAAGGAACAACAACAACTTGCAATAGCGCCCTTCATGCGGGGTAGCGGCCTAGAGTGCTTGACAATGGTGAAGTCGAATGCTGAGCCATGGGGCAGGGGAGGGGGAAGTGAGCATAAGCATGATCAAAAAGGAAGAATCTTTAGGCTAGATTTGAAGGTGGGGAGAGAGGGGGCAAGGCAGAGGGACTGAGGGAGACAGTTTCAGAGTTTTAAGCTGTAGTGGCTGAAGGCACGGCCACCGATGGTAGAGCGGAAGAGGGACAAACAGGAGGCCAGAGCCAGCCAAGCGAAGGCAGTGGGTGGTGGAGCAGGGCGTAAGCAGATTGGATAGGTAGAGTGGTGCCAGGTCATGAAGGGATTTGAAAACAAGTGAGAGGATCTTGAAATTGATCCATTCGGTAACTGGGAGCCAGTGGAGCCTGGTAAGGACTGGTGTGATGGGGGTACAGAATTGTATGCGGCTGAGTATCCGGGTGGCGGAGTTTGGGATTAATTGAATTTTGTGTATGGTGGAGCTGGGGAACCAGGGAGGAGGGTATTGGAATATACCAGCTGGGAAGTGACAATGGCATGGACTATGGTTTTGGCTGCTTTGATTGTGATGTACGGATGGAGGTGGAAAAAAACGGTCCTGGTCAGGAAATCTCCAAGGAAACAGACTAGAAAAGAAATGCCCTTGATAAAATCGTTCATTCACTTCATGGGCAGGCTCCCAAAGTGAAAGGGGCTATATCAAATACAAGGGTTGGCATTAGAATACAGATGGGAGAACCTTTTTTTTGGGAGTATCAGCCAAGACTATGTGAGTTCAAAGTCCTGACATGGAGGCTTGAACCCACAAACATCGGATACATAAAAAGGGAATGAGCATTGAGAAAGCTCTGTTGTGTTGTGTTTCTGCAGATATTTTGGAAACAAATAGCTCAAAGATGGGAAAAACCCAGCTGCTCAGATTGAATCCCAGATACTCACCTGCAAAAATCTCTGTATCCCCATCACATCAGTCCTTGCCAGGTTCCACTGGCTCCCATTTACTTGTCAATTCATTCAATATTTATTCAATAATCATTGGAATGAAATATAGCAATTATTGTACAAATATTGAATGCATTGAACAATCCTTTGTTTTGTCATGTAAGCAAGCTAATTCTGAATATGTACTTTAAGAGTCTGCTGAGGAACAAGCAGAGTTCACACAGATTCTGCCCACTTTGCAAAAAGTTCTTAGTCAGAAAGCTGAAACAAATGATGGTCTGTAGCTACTTTAAGAATTATAAAAATAATCATCCTTACATTTGATATTGTGCCTTTTACGTCGGGAGGAGATCTCAAAGCTGTTTGCAGGATTTACTATAAATTGTGGGGACTTTATTTTGTAGGTAAACAAAACACTAATCAAAAAGAGAGAAGGGGCATAACAGTAGGTTGGTGTGTTTATCAATTACATGAATTCTATGACTTACACATGAAAGTGGAGTCTAAGATTGGCTTCTGGCAACAGTTGCTAAGAAAGGGAAGAGAACCACCAAATCTGAATGTAGTTGGGAAATGAAGTGACATGAAGATATTTAGCAAGAGTAGATATTTACCACAGAGAAAATTGATCAAGTGAACAAAATATATATTTACTTAGGATCAAATAAGAATGAGGATGGTAAATGGACTCCACAGATAAAGGAGATAATAGACTTAATAAATACTAAGACAGCCAAGCTGAATGTTACTTAGAAATATGTGCACGTTAGTAATGCCACTAAAATAAAACTGATGAGGGTGTTAGCTCAGTATGTTGGTACGAATGTAAGAACAAAGGTTTTAGAAGAAAGCAGATACTGTATGAATAGTTCTTTGTCATTTGAAATATGGATTACACTGGAACTGAACTAAGCACAAGTGTTAGAAAGTTGTACATCAAAAGATGACAGGCTGAAAGAATGTGCAGGGCACAGCGAGAAGATTACTATCTAGAGAGAGGAAACACTGATGTATATACTGGGGAGAAATTGGTGGTGTACAACACCTACACAGCAGAAGTCAAAGAAAGACATGCAAAAAGGTAAGGTAGAGGAAGGGTGAGTACAAGGTGAGTCACAAAGCACTGCAGGAATGAGCAGGGCAGAGGAAAGGAAGTGTTATCAGAAGAGAAAGGACATGAAGGTCCCCAAAGTGTACTGCAGGGGCTAAGGAGAGAAACTTGTATTGTCCGAGTATTTAAACGCATATTAAATGTTTAGATGAATGCCGTAGCATTATAAAGCTGCTTCTGAAGTTGAGCGGACAGATGGATGAGTCCTGTAACCACACCCTTGTTTCTATCCTTCAGAAAGCTCAGAGGTAAAGTGGATGAGCACACAAATGGAGTTTGCATTGTGCTAAAACATAACTGGTGCTATTCAAGCCTACTAGGTAGCATTCACACAAGCCATAGATAGCACCAAACCAGCCCATTTCTATCACTTACGTGAATATCATCAAGATGTTCAATCCTGATGAAAGTCCACAAATCAAAAGGCTATGAACTCGTGGCCTGGCAGATCATGACAGAGGAGAGAGATTTGGGTGTCATTTTAGCTTTAAATGTTTGTCTAATACTTTCTCTAATACACTTTTTGGAAGTGAACCATGAGACGATGCTTGTGGAGGCCTCACAAGAGACCAAAGCCATTCGTGCTTTGTCACAACCAGACTAAGAGAGTGTGAGTTGGCCAGGTCCTCGCATCCTTGCTTTGGAGTCCCATCTAATAATAATCCCTCCAAAACAAAAAACAATAATAAATTGGTCATTTTCAATCCACGACTGTTTGTGGGACACTGCTGTGCGCAATTGGCTGCCACGTTTCGCCCACAAATATATGGTCAATTCACTTTACAGTCTATTCTGTGAAGCGCTTTGAGACGTTGAGAAAACATGAAAAGCGCTCTATCAAATACAAGGATTATTTATCATTTATTTATTTATCTTCCATCTAAGGTTGCCAACCTTAGCTTGGATGATTTTGATTCAGACTGAGATGGCACTAAGGGAAAATGCTCATGAACCATGCCCACGGCCACATTCACAACCATTCACAAAAGCCTACTGCACATACATGGCCCTGGAAGGTGTTGAGATGCCAAGATGCCAGTAGGCAAGGCTATTCTTCAAAATCCATTCCCATCCCTTCCAACTACCATACCCTTGGGTAACCACAATAATGAACAATGTTAATCTCACTTTACCGTGGCCAGTAGTGCACAGTGCTTCTATGGACATTACTATCAATTGGTGAATGTGTTGTTGATCAGTCCTGTTAGACAATTCTGTCCATCTAATATATAATATCATTTATATTTACTCCAGCATCTTTCACATCGGGAGGATGTCTCAAAAGTGCTTTAAATGGATAGCTAAGCATCCCAAGTTCATCTCGCTGTGTATGATCAACACCTTAATTCACCTCAACAACAATAACAACTTGCATTTAACAACAACTTGCATTTATATAGGACCCTTATTAGGGAAGCATATTATTCGTACATAATTAGTGTTTAATATGTAATTTGAAGTTCCATGTGTTTTTAGCTCAAATTCTGTTTTCGATAAGTTGATGATGAGGGTGTGAATAATTTTCAGTTATAGGTGAGTTTACAGTTTTATACTTGGAATTGCTGGATGAGGAATTGGGAATTCAGAATCTCCCATTGAAGAATTACTACTTTCAGGCTTTGAGTCAGTTTCAGAAGAGCAGCCCATTTTTCATCTTAGTCTATCTTTCAGCTAAGAAATCGCTGATTTTTTTGTTTCTTGCAAATGTGACTTATTTTGCCAAATACGTCACTTTGGGCAAATAATGCAATTCATTGAAAAATGTCATTCAAGTCGAGTTCAGCCTGAAAATCGAGAAGCCAATAAATAAAAGTCTGATACTTTTACATCTTATTTAACACAAGCTGTATACGTTGCAGCTACGTTTGCAACCAAAGGATCCAGTATGGAATGTAGATTTCAGTGATACCACTAACAAACAGTTCAACGTGCCATAACCACTCTGCGTACACCTTAAGCAAAACTGCCATATGTGTGCGATGAGATTGTTTGAGTCATAGCTCGTGAAAGAAGTAAGATCCTGTCAAAGGGTCACAGATCATGAACAATAGAAGATCTTATCAAAGCTATGTCTAACCAAAGAGGTTTACTGTGTAATCAGGCAGGTCCTCGAATTATTGCAATGGAGCCTTGCTGTTCTTTTTTCTTCAGTTTCTTTTGATCGGCCTTCTTTCTTTTGTGTGGCATCTTTATTTGTACTTGAAAGGCTTGATGTTCGTTTAGGCATCTTTATCTTATTCGCGCCACTTGGCTTCGTTGAGTGTGTGCTGCGTGCATGGCGTGTGACGCACGATGCAGCAGCGTCACTGCGAGTTGGCACGGCCACCAGGTATAACTGTAGCACAAAACGCAAGACTGCCATACATGTTTGACGAGCTTGTTTAGGTCATAACTCATCAACAATAGGAGAACCCCAAAAATATTTCCATGACAATCCCAAATGCAAGGCCTTTCCAATGAGATATAAATCATGTCTCTACGTCAATCGGTTAATGAGATCTTGGCTGACACACAGGCAGATATGTCGTTATAGTGGTGTATAGAAAGAGGAGGAGGAGGAGCAGAAGAAGGAGGAGCAGAAGAAGAAGAAGAAGGACCACCTTATTATCCATGATAATTGGGATTTTTATCTATGAGTGTATGTCTAGTCCTCCACTTACCCAGATTGGAGCTCTGCACTTCCTGTTCCCTAAAATTACCTTTCCCATTATGACTTGCATCATAGCCTTAGGTGGATTGTGGCCCACACAGATGCATGGTATCCTATAAAACAATGTTGTTAACAGTATTCATTTTATGCAAATGCCTGCAAACCATGAACACATTGCCCAAGCGATGTTAGAGAAATAAAATATAAGAATTATGAAAAGTCTGTAGTGTAATTGGAGTGTAATGCAATACATCACTACAATTATTGTGAGTAATATATTGCATTGCACCGCAACTACTGTCAATTTTTGCAGCAGTACAAACATTGTAATAAATGATGCTTCTATTTCCCCAAGGTGGAGTTGTACCAATTGATGAGTTCAAAACTTGCAAAAATCATGATAATGACTATTTCTTTCATTCAGGGATGGACCAGATCAGACTGCGCCACAGATTGGACAATTTAGCGGAAATACAGCTCTGGAATCTGTCTACAGTACATCTAACCAGATCCTGATCAAATTCCACAGTGACTTTACAACAAGTGGTTTTTTTGTTCTCAGTTACCATGGTTAGTTTCTATTGCAGTGAATTCATGCATCTCTTTCACATAAATTGAACCAAGTCCTGATTAATGCTTTACCTTACAGTTGAATGAGCTGTTAGTTCCTACAATTTTCTGTAGCTTTATTCCAACCCATTATGTAATTACAGGGTAAAATATGCAGTATATGATGTGATAATTATCCAGTGACTGAATATGCAGTTGTTTTTGTTCTGCTCTAAGTAATTGTGGCCTGACACCTCTTCCTCCTCAAATTCTGGAGAATGGTTTCTTTCTCAGCTTTTTCACAACTGAATTCATGCCATGTTGTATTTTAACCAGGTGTCAAGCTATGAAAACACGTTTTTAAACTTTTTTTATTGTTAAAATTGTATTTAGGCGACTATCTCCCTGGCAAAGGTGCACAAGATCTGTGTTCACCGCTGCAGGAAATTAAAGATTTTTGCAATCGGTCTATTATTCATTTTAGCATTTCAATTAGGGACGGTCAATGAACATTTCTTCTCCTACCCCTCAACAACAAAAAAGTACCTTCTGATTTATCCAAGTTTCCATAAGGCTATAAAATCAACTGAAGGAAATTGTGGATGGATCCAGATGTGGCAATAGATTGAGATGGAAAAATGCTGTGTGTGATTTGATAATTTTCACATTGCAGCACATTCTGTTCATGGAGTTGCCCCAGGCATTGGCTGCCACTTTGTTCAATTATCTGCAGCTATTGAGCTTGGCTGTATTGACCTAACTTGCTGAAATCAGCATTACAGTGTTAGATCAGGGAATACCAGCCCCAGTCAACTTTTAAACTTGCTGTGAAGGGAGAAGTTGGTAGAACATGATGTTTACCATATGGATGTTATTTGTAGCAACCACACTTTTAGATGCCAATTATTACAGTATCGAAGTATGATCAGTTTCAGCATGCTTCTCGATTTCTGGAAAATATTTTCACTTTTCTTTGTTTGCTTACCCTGGTTAAGCAGCCTTGGAGTCATGTGAATTCCTCCACTCCCTGGGCTTCCTCCCGTAATGACCTGTCCTCCTCCACCACTCTCGATGTTTTTGCTCCCCTCAATTCCTGAATCGCCTCCTACTCACAGAAGTTACGCTGGTAAATAGCCACCTCTGCTCCCTCAAGAGACAGGTGCCTGCTGCTGAACACACCTGGCTCAAATCTAATTTAATGGTCCATCGGCAGATATGGCCAACGATGCCGTTGACCACTTTATCTTCCTCCACCGCCTCTCCTCTCACCTCACGCTTCACAGTTGTGTCATTGAATGGTTCAGATTCCACCTCTCACACCGTCTCCACTTCATCTTCACAAATGGTTTCAGCTCTAGCCAACGCACCGTCTCGTGCGGCATTCCTCAGGGCTCTGTCCTTGGTCCCCTCCTTTTCAATATCTGTATGCTCCCTCTTGCTAACATCATCCCCAAACATGGGATCAATTTCCATGTGTATGCAGTTGATACCTAACTGTATCTCTCTTCCTCCACACTCGACTCCAGGACCATTGCTGTCCTGACAGAATGTCTGTCAGACATCAAGTCCTGAATGAGAGCTAACTTTCTATAGTTCAATGTCAACAAGATCGAGGCTCTCCTGATTGGCTCCCGTCACAGCCTGCACACCTTAAGCGCTGACAGTATCACCAACCAAGGATGCACACTCCATCTCACTGAGCCGGTCTAGAATCTTGGCATCTTGTTTGACTCTCAACTATCCTTTCTACCCCATATCTGTGCCATGACCCGCTCTGCCTTTCCCCACCTCTGCAACATCGCTCGGCTCCGCCACTGTCTCACACTGCAGGCTGCCGAGACCCTCATACATAACATCCAGGCTCGGCTATGAAAACACCCATTGATAGGTGGGCCTTTAGCCACTCTGCCCCCACCCTCTGGAACTCCATCCCGCTGTCCCTTTGCCTCACCACCTCCCTTATCTCCTTCAATTCCCTTTTCAAGACCCACCTCTTCGACTGTGCCTTTGATCACCCTGCATCCCCCCCTGCCTTCCACCCTCCCGATACTGAGCCCCAGTTCAAGTCCAAAACACTGATTTTCCAGCACCTTGTGATGTCCTCCCAACGTGAAAGGTGCTATACTAATGTAATTTGGTTGCTGTTGTTGTTAATCTGTGTGCAATTGGCTCCCGCATTTCACCCACAAAATATAGAGTCAATTCACTTTACAGTATATTCTGTGAAGTGCTTTGAGACATCTCAAAGACGTGATAAGGTGCTTTATCAAATTGAAGGATTTTTATTATCATTAAGCTGGTGGGTTGTGAAGCAACAGCCAAATGCCACATATTTCGCCGTTAACACTGACAGTCACTTCCACTGGAGTCTGGCCAAACTATTATGCTGAAGTCAGGAGGTGATCCCCCTGGAACCATTCAATAATTAGACTGATTTTAGACTGCAGTTTTCAGTAGTGGGATAATTACCACTGATGCTAATTGTCACCATTGATCACACATTGGTTTTCACACCCTATAATTTCTAATTGTGGGGGATTGTGTTATTGCTTACATTTTGTTTTCTGTTTGTCCAGCATGAGAGCACATTTGCACTGGAAATGAGACCCAGAGGTCTCTTAATTAAGCTATCCTGCAGTTCCTCTGGTTCAATTAATGGTGACATGGGGTACACTTATAGCGCACAAGAAAGAGTGGGCATCTTCATTTTTGTTCACAAGTCCTTCAATAGAACAGGGCTTCCTGAGAATCTGAAATGCATGGTTATAGTATGCAAAGGATAATTTTGTTTAAAAAATGAGGGTTATTACATCTAAAAGTCAGTAATTTACCTTCCTATATGGCTCAGAGGGATTGATATAGAGCTTCCACAGCATGCCTAATTGTTTACTCAACTGGTAAACAGTTTTAGTTATTTTCAAAATAAAGCATTGAGAATATCTGCGACTGATGGAACATTGAAAATGAAGCATTTGAATTAAAGGATGCTCTGCCAAACAAGCATTCATTGTAAATTGTTTTGTTTGAAAACCCAGTACTAAACGTTTCCAAACTGTTTTAAATTTCAAGGAAATTCCTTCTCAAGTAGTGAAAATCTGTAACCCGTGATCTGTTAATAAAACACTGGTGATAATTAACATTAACTATCAGTTAGTGTCAGTATAGATGGGTAACTTTTATGACATTGATCTTTGAATTTTGTTCCTTAAATTCTCACAGCGTATCAGCTACGTGTCTGCCAACCTCCAACAGAGGTGATCAATGTTCAGAGTCTGACTGAAGATGAGGAATTTGAAATAGGTACGTTTCCATTCTTGTTGTCCTTTGTCTATGTGTTCCCTGTTTTTATCACCATCCCCGATTTATAATTGGAAGAAATGTTTCCAAATTTATGTATCGCAAAAAGCGAATGAATTTAAAATATCTCTGTTTTAATATTTTATAAACATTGTAAGTTTTTTTAAAAAAGCAGACAGGTAGAAATTGATGCTCTATTAGGAATAATTAGCAATCAAAATAGGAAGGAGTTTCTCCTAAGCCAAAATGTCACCATATAAAATTAATTAACTTCATTGCTGTTTGTGGGACATGCCTACGTGGAAATTGGCTGCCGCATTCACCTACAAAAATACATTGCAGCACAACAGATTGCATTGAATCCTGTGAAGCACTTTGAGATGTCCTCCAAGGATGAAAGGCACCATCTCAAATGCAAGGATTACATTTGTTGTTCAGTTATTCAACACATAGGTAATGTATTTATTGTCAAACTCTTAGGCAATTCATCAGGAATCTGTCATCATCATTAGCCTCCCTGTAGTTGATGTTTTTAAACCAGACAATGAATGTGATAACTGAAAAAACATTGCAACAATTGGAACTCCTATGAGATAGTGGCACTGTTCAAGTTTACCTTCAAGCTAGTTTGCTTCATATTCCAAAATACAAATCACTGCCAGTGAAACATATTACCACTGACAGGTCCAAATTATGCAAGGAACCATTTGGAAGTTGTTTTCAACGTGAATAATATTTTTTAAACATGGCTTCTGTGAACCTTGAAGCAATTAACTTTGTAATATTTAGAATTTTTAAAACTAGTTATTCAAATTACCATAACTATTTGCCTATATTAGAAGCACAGCGACATTTGAAAACAGGAAAATATGATGCCCGAAGCTTATTACTTTTGAAGTAGTCTCTGTAACTCCTCCAGCAGGTCTGATTTTATGGGAATTCTGCAGCACTGATTGATGTTGGTTGCCAGAGGTGTGGTGTCTATTGTAGAACATGTATAAATCATATGTACTTTTAAAGTAGTTAGATTCAAATTTTAAATGTCATTATGATGGCAGCATACCTTCACCATGTGGCAGATCGGGAATAAGATTTGTTTAAAGCCTGTTGAAAAAGGAAATATTTAAAAATGTATTGAAATTGGAACCATTACCATGGAAGAGAAATTGAATCTACAAAATCATTTCCTTTCAAGTTCAGGCTTTGTCTCTGACAGTGTAAAATTATGGGAGCCAAATGCTGAAAGTTATTATTAGTTTATGAGATGGGGGGGTGCTGCTTCAGAAATTGGCGGATCGATAATACAATTTTTTATTTGAGGTGCTGTTGCTGAGTTCGAGACAGATAGACATAGGAATGGGAATGAAACATGAGAATGTTCAGGATAGGAAAAGACCACTCCTTTCTATCAAATCAGTCCCAGTTTTAACAAACTATTCTCTCCATCACCAATCCTCCATCATCAACAATAGATTAGATTCTGTCTTGAAGCTGAACATATTGTCCAGTGATTTCTCCCCCTTGCTCCATAGCCATGCCCAATTCTTAACCCTACTCCAATGCTGCTGTCCATGTTGGAGATCAACAACAACAACTTGCATTTATATAGAGCCCCTCATGCAGTGTAATGTACCAGCTTAAATCTGATCAGCATTTGACTGAGGCTAAAACTAGGATATTGATTTAATTCAGTCAGTGCCTCCAGGATTTAAAAAAACACATGTGATCAGGAGTCCTAAATTCCAAAACTGTGGTGATTTTAAAAGAAATAGATTAAGAAAAGGAGCAAGGAATCTTAACACACAGAAGTCGGGGTGTTGGTATTACCACAACAAAACTTGTACTGCCAAATCTCAGATTATCGCTTCTTTCATAGAATTACCTTTCAGTTGTGAATGATGATCCATTTTATATTTAATACGTTCAGAAGTATCGACTTGATGCAGTCATTTCCGGACACACAATCTTTTTTTTCAGTTAAAGATACAAGTCTAATCTATCATAATCTGTATCTTCAATTACAATTTAGCAATAATAATAATAATAATCCATGCTTTTGATGTAGCATCACCATGTCGTCAATGTCTCAAAGCGCATCACAAAATCTACTGCAAGTGTGCAATTCCAGACTCACAGTTATGAGGGTGCAAAGAAGCAGTATAGTTCTGCTTTGGATACATGCAAGTTTCCAAAGCAGTGTTCAAGCTAAATTACTCATCATTTTGTTTGAAGATAGATGTTCAGGGTAGAATCAGTATTGGCCTTGTTCCTTATCCATATAATTATCACAGCTTGCCTTTCTTGAGAACAAAGCAATTGAAATGCTTTTACCTATGGTTTTTGTTGTTTTACTTTCTCCTTGCACACAGCAGTACCACACTTCACAAACCAGAATTCATCAGTGACAAGGATGTCCTGCAGGCACATCCACTTGTCTGATTTCATATGGTTGTTCTGCAGCCTCGTCAACCTCTATGTCAGAAACAAATTCATAATTGCTTCCTGCAGAGAAAATAGTGGATTGAAAAGGTGCTCTTCAGGAAAGCAATAACGCAGGCACCTTTATTGCTGGATAAAATGTCTTGCAACATAAACTGTCTTATGTAGGAACTCTATGTACTCCAACCCCAACTAATGAGACCACCTATCTCAAACCTGCCACTGTACAACACTGTGTGACACTATCCTGCGTGAAGGGCGCTATATAAATACAAGTTTTTCCTTTTGTTGAGATCAGCTCAAAGCCAAGATGTCATGAGTCCATGTGATCTATCTGAATTGCCCATTTGTCACAGTTTACACTTCTCCCAGCAGATGTTTTCCAGTAATCCTACAGATTCCTGGAGAAGCACATTTTCAACCTCAGTGAATATATGTCTATTCTCTTGCCGCTAAGTCCAGCAAATTTGACGACCTGCATTTATAGCTATAACTTGTCATTCATTCTACTTAAGAGTCGAAAAAGTAATTGAAATCCTGCCAAGCTTTTTATGTCTGATGATATTAGGACTGAGAAGCAGGAATCTGAACAGGATAATGAATGATGATTTTCTATTCAATTTATCTGAAAAACTACTTGTAGGATTTTGTTTATTTGGGGACGATTTATTGTTGGTGAGATTTCAACAAATTGTGTGCTACAAAAACGTTTATTGAGCAACGTTTGAAACATGAGAATAAAATCGTCAAATCCTTTTGAAAAGTTCCGAGCACACTCCCATTACAGTTTATAGAATTTGTCAGGCTTCTTGTGGGAGGGATATTTAGTGTGAGGCACAACATTACAGGGTAAAATTAAATTAAAATTAATGTAGATTCAGTTACTTTTAAGTAGAATGACCCATTTGCTAAATAAATGAGATGACTAGCTTTGTATGATTCTTAGAGATAAACAATGTTACGTGCATAACAGCTGAATCTAACAATTTGGTACAATAGAGGGTCCTGGCAAAATATGTGTTCTGGATTCACACTGATTTCGACTCTTGTAAGCTCTATGAAGCTCCAGCTCCATTTTATGCCACTGCAATTTCAGACTCATATTAGTAGTGTATTTAGATCCAAGGCACATAAGGAAAAATATTGCAGCAAAATTTATTTTCCTCCATTGTTTGCATTTATATTCAGATCAATGGCTAGAACTTATGGTTATGTGCAGTTAAATATCAAGTGCAGGTGAAACATTGAAATGTCACAAATGTTTTATTGTTTCACAGGAGACATCATAAGATACCAATGTCTGCCAGGATTCACACTGATCGGTAGTGAAATTGTCACTTGCCGGCTTGGAGAACGTTTGCAAATGGATGGAGCTCCTCCGTCTTGTCAAGGTCTGTGCATCAAGTTAATGAACGAAAATAAGCAGTTACATTTTGATGCATTTCTAAATTGATCGTCTACAAGTATAAATGTTGAGTGATTTCCGTCCATTTCATTGGGAGCTGACCATTTTGCTGCCATCAAAGTATCATCTATCAGATTATTTTTGCACTTTGTAGAATGGAGGGGGCAAAGAGGGAGTTATCTGTTTCAAACAGCATGATAGCTGTATCGTTTTAATTCTGTTGAATTACAATGTTGAAAATGTCAGTGAAAAATACAAAGTAAGTGTGTGAAGTCTTTTCCAGGAAACTAAAGCTTATCTGAAATTGAATATTGAACTTTTTTTTTAAATGATGAAGAAAATAATCAATGTATTCATTCATAAAGATTCGTATTGCTCTGTTTAAGCAGTTTAATGTTTTTAAACATCTTTCTGTTCTCCTGCTGTGTTCCTTATTAATTCAATGAAACACATGCTTTCTTTTGTATAACATGAAGAATAAGGACTGTGATGCTTTAAAGAGACAGTTCCATCACCACTTTCTCAAAGCTACTAAGGATGGGCACTGAGTACTAGCTCTGCCAGTAAAGCACACACAACCTGAGATGTGTTAAAAACGACTAATAAAGAGAAGCCCACACATTAAACATTATTTTACTGAGCTGATACAAACTAGAAATGGAACTGATTTCAGAAAATAAGACACTGAGCGTATTACTCAGAACTGCTAAATTAAGATGAATTCCCAGATTGAATTTAATTGGTATCCTATGAATTGCTGTTGAAATGCCATACTCCATGCCAACACAAGTGGCGCTGAAATCTTCACGGCACGGTCGAAAAGAAAGGTCTTCAGGGTTGATCTAAAAACAAAGGAGGGGACAAGGTGGAGGGGTTGAGGGAGCATTCAAAATTCCAAAATTTTGGGACATGGTGGCTGAAAGCAAGACCACCGATGGTGGAGTGGAGGGGATAAGGGACAAACAGGAGGCCACAGCAAGACGAGTGGAAGCGGGGGTTAGTGGAGTGAGGTATTAGCTGCTCACAGAGGTAGGGAAGTGCCATGGCATGAAGTGATTTGTAGACGAGCGTGAGGATCTTGAAGTTGATCCATTCTGTGAGAGGAAGCGAGTGGATATTACCAAGGGCTGATGTAATAGAGGTACAGAATTTAGTGTGGATGAGTAAACGGGTGGCAGAGATTTGAATGAATTGGATTTATGGATAATGGAGCTGGAGAGACTGGTGAAGAGGGCATTAGAATAATCAAAGAGGGAGGTGTTGAAAGCATGGATGGATTTGGCTGCATTGGTTGTGAGGTACAGTCCGAGGCAGGCAATGTGAAGAAGTGGAGATAAGCGGTCCTTGTTAGGGACCGGATGTGGGGGAGGAAACACATCTGGAGATGAATCTGATACCTAAGTTATGCACAGGTTTATTAAGTCTGAGGGATAGGCAGAGGAGTTTGAAGAGTCAGACACCCAGGAGATTTGCATGTCGTCCACATATATGTTGAAGCTAACCCCATGTCTGTGGTTAACATCGCTGAGAGGGAATGTGCAAATAAGGAAAAGAATGGGGCCAAGGATGGAGACTGGGGTATGCCACAGGTGACTGGATGGGGGTGGGAGGAAAAATAATGTGGGAGAGATCCAAAAACTGAGAAATTAGGCTGCAAAAACACACAAAGAAAAGTATGTGCAGATAGTGTGAGCAATTGATGATGCCCAATTTTGTTTTGCAGCACAAATTGTTCCTCCTGTGAAAATATTGGGTGAGATCCGTTACATCATTAAAACGGCACAGGCACCCATCAGAGCAGCTCCAGGCACAAAACTCATGAAAGTGAAGGAGAATGTTAGACAGCCCTGACTCATTGTTTTATGTTTTATTGGTAAACCACTGGAGACTGGTCCTGTATCTCCTTTATGACATGTATTAGGTTGTTGAGATGAATTTTGAGAGCATTTTTAAAGGCACTTCGGGAATGAAATTGCTCCAGCCGCTGCATGCAGCTGCTTTGACTATGTGCCCTTGGAGTCAGGAATTTTCCATTATAACATACGCTGCAGCATGAAGAATTTGTGTTTGCTCCATTTCCTCTATCATGTACTTACGAGAACCCAAAGAAGGGTCTCACAGACTCTCATGTTTTGTAAAACATCAAACAAAACAGCACAGGAACAAAAATAGACAACTGCTCTCCTGTACGTACGTGCCGGTTGAATATGTAAAATAAATCGGGGCATGATAATTCTGTTTGATATTTGTGAAAATAGCTGCTAGATACAACCTAAGTTATAAATGTTAATAAGAACCAATTCTTGGGGACCTCAGAGTGTGAGTAATGGAAATACTGAGTTGGCTGAGCCACCATAATAAGTAGATTGAAATGGTCTTAAAAATGCTCATGAAATATTTTGTGTTCATTTTCAGTGCTGTGTCCAGCCAATGAAGTCCGAACTGACTCAACAGGTGTCATCCTGAGCCCTGGCTATCCAGAGAGCTACCCTAACTTCCAGACCTGTGCTTGGAGCATCATTGTAGAAAAGGGTTACAGCATTACCTTATTGTTTGAGTTCTTCCAGACAGAAAAAGAGTATGATGAACTGGAGGTTTTTGATGGTAACTTAAATCTGGCACAAAACAACATTCAACTTACAAACTAGATCGTGTTCTTTTAGATTTACCTCTACATATCTCTGTGTCATCATCCCATTTGAATTGTTCATTCAATAACCAAATAGTCACGTGAAATTCCTTAACTCAACGTTAGGGGGCAGAATAAGAGGTCAGATTCAAGGTTGCAAAGAGCAATTTCAGTACAAACACAAAATAAGTATTTATTTATTAAGAAGGTAATTAGTGAGTGGAAGTGGTTACCAGGAAAGATTGTTGAGCATAGGACATTTAAGAATGTGTTGTATTCTGATCACTCAGAAATGCTAAGAATAAAAGGAAATCCAGGCACAAGTGCAATTTCTTCTGCATAGTCTGTCACACCAAGACAGCATATTTTTGAACTGCGGTAAACTTAGAATATGAGTATTGAAGAATGAAAACTTAAATTTCACCTCGAACAAACCAAATCTAATGCTAGTAAGTAAAAATTTTGCCCAGAGTTATTGTGGGGAGAGAAACAGTAATATAAAGAAATCAACATACCACTAGGTTATAGAGAAGTACCACCAAGGAATGTATCCACCTCAACAACTCTCAAGGTGAATTGGTTTTCTGGGGCTTCTATTATTGTAATCTTTGATCTTTAGCAAATATTAAATTCTCCACTGAATGATTACACCCACAATTTTCCCAAAACATGAACTGTTGAAACTTGCAACTGAGAAACCTGTTTCCTGAGATACTCTTCACAGATAGCTTAAACCCTCTTCATTGATAAAGAAAGCTTACTGCAATTGGTGTAACTGCCAGCTAAAGCTCATGAAAGCATTGTTTGGGATTTAAAGGTTCTGCAGCTCGTCCAACATCACATTGGCTCAATCATTTAATTCCAAAAGTACTACTTATCCCATCATTGAGGAAAGCAATCGGTCAACAAATAACATGTTAACTGACCTCAGATGTGCTTGAGATGAACCCTCATCACATTTCACAGTGTTTGCCCATTCAACTCTGGTGAACCATCCACCAAACAAATTAGATCAAGAGCATGTTCAAAGGCAACACAGAGCAGCTCCATTGCAACAATAAGTGACTTTGTCTTAATCATTGATCAAAATGTGGGAGGTGAAATTAAACAATAGTCTGTTATCAATTGATACATCACCAGGAAGAAAATGTCCAATGATGTGATAATTATCATCAGTGATAATTACCACCATTGATTGTTATAATGTAACTTCAGCAAATCAGGTTGCTGAATATTTTGGATGCCTTGGTGTAATATATGAAAGATGGAATTCTGGCTAGTCATAGCTTGTAAGCAGTAAAATGTAATATTGCACACACACATGGATTTTTTAATGACCAGCTGATTAAAACTGTATTTAAGAATATTATTCAATTCTGCACAATCTTGCACTTTAAGAAAAAAGGTCTTGCAGCCAAGGCTGGGTGGAATATTGAGCCTTTGGACTATCTTGTTTAGAGCAAGGGGTGAAAAGTATGATGGTCAAATGACTACTTCAGTTCATTCATTCACAACTTGGCACATGCCCAAAATGTAAAAATGAGTACTTAAAAATTATATAATAAAAGATTATGACAGAGGTTTCCTTCACATGAAAGGAAACAATGACAAATCGACTCTCATGCAGTAATAACAGGTAACAAGATAAAATGCTTACATTAGCTGGAATTTGACTTTCAGTGCATCCTGATATAGACATAACAAATATGTCTCTTCTGGCACTAATGCCATTACTCAGCTTTGCTCAAAGTTCTGTTTCTTGATTTACCACATCCTCACAATATGCATTAGAATATACAGCACCAAAATAGGCCATTCAGCCCAACTGGTCTGTGCCGGTGTTTATACTCCACATGAGCCTCCTCCTGCCCTTCCTCAACTAAGTCTTCTAGCATAACCTTCTATTTCTTTCTCCCTCATGTACCTATCTAGCTTTCCCTTAAATACATCTCTGCTATTTGCCTCAAAAACCTCTTGTGTTAGCATGTTCCACATTCCCATTACTCTCTGCATGAAGAAATTTCTTCTAACTTCCCTATTTGATCTATTTGTGACTATTTTATATTGATGGCCCTGGTTTTGGTCTCCCCCACAAGTGAAAGCATATTCCCTATGTCTACCCTATCAAAACGTTTCATCATTTTAAAGACCTCTATCAGGTCACCTCTAATCCTCCTATTTTCAAGAGAAAAGAGTCCAAGCATGTTCAGCCTTTCCTAATAGGCATAACTCTCAGTTCTGGGATCATCCTTGTGAATCTCCTTTGCACCCTCCAGTGCCTCTATAGCATCCCTTCTATAATGTGGAGACCAGAACTGCGTACAATATTCAGCTGCATGTCAAAATTCCAGACTGTAACTGGAGGGAATCAACTTTTCACAGAACAGCACAAAGACTGAGACCATTTGCTCTCCAGACTCTAAATGGATCTTTGACCATGGATCATTCAAGCTTATCTTCAGAGGATCCAAGTTTTTGACCATTCGTATCCAAATTATGAATCTTATGAATATGCTTGAACATTAATCTAACTGATGCCATTTACTTAGATGAATGCAACTGTAACCTCACTTTAGTTATTTGAGCACACACTGACACTCACAGTTGGTACTTGGGTATTAGAGTAGAGACTTAACATGTAGTTGTATATCAAAGAAGGCTGTCTTATTTATCCCTTGGGTTAAATCTTCAAATTATAATTTGCTTTAAGATCTGAGGGAACAATGGATCTGGCTGTTGCTGTTGTTTTTGTTTGTGTTAAATGTGTATCGCCTAGCATTGTCATTGTTTGAAATCTATTTTCTTTGTTTTCCCTTTTGTAATTACATGTGAATCATGTATCATAAACTAGATGATTGCTGAATTATTTAAAACAGGCCTTTTTGGGTATTTAATTTAGGGGCAGGATAAACTTAGACTTTTTAAAAAACATCCAGATTTCATCGAGGGAAATGTTTTGCATCAAAGTTGTTTGAATATAAATAAAGGAGATGCTTCAAGCAAAATAAATGCAATTTAAATGCTGATTGCAAACATGCCTCTGCACTGGCAGGGCCATTTTGTTTATGGAATACATAACCAAAAAGGCAGACTCAGTGGATAGATTCATAATTTTGATCCTGGTAAGAAACAAAATCCTATTGTATATTAATTTTTCAGACACACATTAAGCATGGGTTGGTTCTGACTTGTTGCACTATACTGGAAATTTTCAGTTTGTATGAGTTTCCATCCACATTCAGAGCTTTACAAAGTTTGCGTAGCGATGGGTTGCCATTGGTGTTGGACGCTTGACTGATCAAAACAAAATGATGCAAGTTGTAGTAACATAGAACCAACTTCTTATATGATACAGAAATCATACTCCAGTTGCACAGCGTTCCGCCCAGACCACACCTGGAGTACTGTGTACATTTCTGTTTATAAGGGAGTGGCTCATTTCCTGGAGGCAGTTCAGAATAGCAACAAGGATAAATCATAGTATTAGAGGAATGAGCTCTGTGCAATGGATAAGACAAGCTAATCAGGTTTCAAAGAAGACATCTCAGAAGAGATCTTATGGAATATATGTCATTTTAAATGGGATTGAACAAATGAATCCAGAACAATACTTTCGGATGCGCAAAGGCAGCAGAACAAGAGGACATGTTTAAAGTTGCTCAGGGAAAATTCAGAGCAGACACTTGGAAATATTTATTTACCTAGGGGATAATTAATGATAAATAAATTACCAGAAAGAATGGTTTTGGCCATGACTGGCCTCATTCACAAAATAGCTCAGGGGTGTGATAGGAGGAGGAGGTATTCTAGAAACTATCGGTTGATTAGAACCATATTTCAACATTGATAATGAACGTCACACTTTTCATTCTCATACCCTAAAATGAATTTACAGGAGGAAAAACCTAGTGAGAGGTGCAACAGTAGGAATTATAAGAAGTTGTAGGTAACGATAATGTAGAAATCTATTGACAAAGTGGTGGTGGGGGAGTGGGTGAGATACAGCAGGTTATTCTTCCAGTTACCAAAAGGAGTCTTTGCTTAAGACTCAGAATTATTATTGCTGCCTTGGGTTATAAACTGCTGCCTTTTAAATGCCATTAGATAAGACAATGCATCATTGTCTTACTGACCATTATGTAATTATGTAATTTCTCTCATTTACCACATTTTTTTTACACGTAGTCCAAGGGAAATGGACACTTTAACATTTGTAATATAATTTCCACCAATATCAGGATATGGATTTTTTTAAAAAAACTTGATTCACGCTTTGTGCTCCACATTGCTTAGCACTGGAACAAAATAGCATGTTATCTCAGAGCACAACACAGCACATGTACAGAACTACGAATGTTGTTAAAAAGCTAGTCAGGTGATTATGAACTAAATTATCCCACAATGACAACTGACATTTCTCAGTTAAAAAGACTGGGGGATATGATTTACATACCTTATACTATTTTTATAGCATATCATTTATTTTTGGGGCAAAATGTAGCACTAAGACTATTAGTAAAATTTTACAAGAAAAAATCTTGTTTGAAGCAATAATTTGTCATAACAGGTCCTGAGCATAGTAAAATAGGGTAATAAATAATAGCACAATTCTTCAACTTTCAATTGTTGACTTGCTTGAAGCTGTGTGATTCATAGTAAATGCTTGAAATGCAACAATATTAGTCTCAGATTGTAATTTACTTGCCTCTAGTTTTATTAGTGTTGAAAGCGTTTTTTCCCTTTGATTGCAGATTACATTGTGTACCTCATTTATTCATCATTATAATGCACTGTTTTTTTTTCTCATTTTAATTAAGGGCACAGTCTATTACAGCTCTATTTTGGTTCTCTAAACTAATCAATCTGTTTCTATCAAGGTCCAAACAGCCATAGCTCCCTGATGAGCTCCCTTAGTGGTGACTACCCTTTCCCCTTCAACATAACCAGTAACAGCCATCAACTTTTTCTCCGATGGTCAGCTGATCATGGCACCAACAAGAAAGGCTTCCGTATCAGATATGTTGGTAAGTTGTCAACTTTGTCTGCTCTCTCGTAACTTAGCCTAACTGAATTTGGAAAGATGCTTTGCTGAATATGAAATATTTTGCTCCCAGCTCTTTACTGCAGCACTCCAGAGTCCCCTCCCCATGGCTTAATTCTCAGCCAGACAGGTGGACATCTGAACAGCGCAGTTCGCTGGGCTTGTGAACGCGGTTACCGACTTATCGGGAAGAGCACCGCAACATGCAGGAAAACACAATATGGATTTTACACGTGGGATGAGCCTGTGCCAGCGTGTCAAGGTAAATATAGCTCAATGTGTGAAATTGAATGGCAAAACCAATGAGATCTTTAGCTAAACAATAAATTACATTTGTATAGTGCCTTTCACATCAGGAGGATGTCCCAAGGTGCTGTATCCGCTTACGCTATAAAAGTGAATTTGCTAGTGGTTATGGTATCCTATGCATGTTTTACAACGAGAGTTGATGATGAAATATATCGAGCAGGTATCACAGTTCTTTAATGATAATAATTATAATAATAATCATAATATTGATAATCCTTGCACTCGCTATAGCTTCTTATCACATTGGAAGGTCATCTCAAATCATTTTACAGGAATTACTGTGAATACCTAGTTCGAGAGTGTTAGACACAGGTTAGTAAGAGCCAAGTCTTGGAGACCTCAGAGTGTGCGTAATGGAAATGCTGAGTTCAACCATGGAAAACTGCATAGTTTGCCATTAAAAACACTCTACCAAGCTACCCACTGCTTTCATCTAGAACCATCATATTCGCTAGGACTTTGGCTAGGAGAGTAAACAGTAGCTGAAGGGAAGAATCCCTTTTCTTAATGAATGGTCTGCCCCTACAAATCTTGCCTATGAGCTAGGCTAGCAGATCTGTTATCAGCAGTGCCTTGTAGTACTACACCTCCATCTTGCTCAGGAACTGGACTACAGAGACCACCACAAGGATTAACTTGATACCGACATTCCTTTATCAAGCACATCACTTTGAAGCTAAGTGCAGCTGTGCTGTCAACTCCTGGCGATGGTTTAGGCTGTTGTTCAATAAGGATTACCACAAAATGTGCTCCTTTATTTACTAATGAAATTATTAGAAGGAAAAAGACATATGACTGTTCTACATTTCCCTCTCTTTCCAAACAATAACAGATTTCCCAAACATTTTCTTTTCTTGAGTGCACTGCCTCTTTAATAAAACAATTAAAGATTATAGATATGTATCAGTCATAATGTAAGTTCTTTTTCTTTCCAGCAATATCGTGCGGTGCTCCTAAAGCACCAATGAATGGAGGAGTGTTTGCAACAGATTATTCAGTAAACACACGTGTCAACTACTTTTGCAACGATGGCTATAGACTTTTATCAAAAGAGCATGGCAGTGCTGTGTGCCAACAGGATGGTATATGGAGCAATCATAACAGACCACCACGATGTGTGGGTAAGTTGCTTTGGCTATTCATGGTGAGTTTGCCTGTATACTACATTTGGATAAATGGAGATTTGTATTAAAAATAACCCTCATAAATATAGTAATCATCTTCTACCTGACAAGTTTAAAGTTGTGAAATTATAACAAATTAGAAGCTATTTCTACATACACTATCACTAGAGTTGATGCCAATCTACAAGTGACCTTCTGCATGCAGATTTCCTGCGGGAAGCAGGGAGATTGAAAGAAAGGTCGAAGAGGAGGGTCTTGAGGTGGGTCTTGAAGGTGGCAAGGAAGGGGACGAGATGGAGGGTCAGCGGGATGGAGTTCCAGAGGGTGGGTGCAGAGCGGGTGAAACCCCACCCGTCAATAGTGGGGCGAGCTAGGCGGGAGACGTGAAGCAGGCCGGAGTCCACTGAACGGAGGGAGTGAACAGGATGGTAAAGGGTTAGGAGGTCGGAGAGGTTGCGGAGAGCAAGACCAATAAGGGGCTTTGAAGGTGAGGTCCAGGATCTTGAACAGTATCCTCTGTGTGATGGGAAGCCAGTGGAGTTGGGCAAGGATGGGTGTGATAGGGTCGCAGAGCCTAGTACGGGGGGGACATAGGCTGCAGAGTTCTGGATGATCTGCAGCCTGTGGAGGGAGGAGTTGTGGAGTCTGATAAGCAGTGGAAGTTCCACTATGCATGTCTTTCTGATGTGTTTTATGTGCAGTAATTCTAAGAACAATTGCCCTTTAACCGCATCCATTCACGTAAGTACAAATGGTAGAAGTTTCTCTTTTAATCTGCAATAAGATACAAATTGGCAGAGGTCTGTTCATGTATAAATGTTTTTCTTCCAATAAAAAAAATCTTCCCTTCCCCCTTTTAAAAATTAAACCATTACAAAAGATTATGAATAATTCTCTTAATAATATTTGGACCGTAAATCAAGTTAAGGTTATTGAAGATATTGGCCAGGGAGATTTACTGAGGCAGATTGGTGCCACTGTCTTCAATTACTCATCTGAAACTGTTTGCAAATTCCCTTGTAATCCAGTTCCCTTGTAATCTAGTTGAGTAACTGAACCACTGCAGTTACTCCCATCTTCCTCTTCTGAAGACACTGAGATGAGCTGGAACCTATTTTTACAGCACCCCCTCAAATAGCCATTCATAATATATTATCCTACAGAGTAAGCATTAGGAGTGTTTCGATGATAAATGTCATCAAGGATATTGCATTGCCATCTGGTACAGCGACTTCAGTTTAATGTGAATTTTAGTTTTCCTAAGTAGTCAATTAAAATGATTGTTTTTTCTCTGTTAAAAGTGATAACATGCCGCAGCATTAGCTCTTTCACAATGGAGCATGGGAGCTGGCGAGTTGTGAATGGTTCACATTACGAATTTGGAACAAAGGTTATCTTCAGTTGTGATCCCGGATACTTTCGAGTTGGACCAACCACTATTAAATGTTTGGCTAATGGAACCTGGAGCTGGGAGAATGAGAGGCCACACTGTCAGAGTAAATATTGTTCCACAGTTCTTTTATATACCCAGTCTACAGTGAAGCACTTTGAGTCATTTCGACAAAACAACAAAGGACAATATTAAATGCAAGAATTATTATTCATTTTTATTATTATCACCTCTCTCCTATTCATTTTATATCTTGGTGTTCCTGGAACTGAAACCCTTGGCCCTTCACCCAGATTTCTCAATTAATACTGGTTACTGATATTTTAATAAAGCTTGCAAAACATTAACAACAACAAATCGCTTTTATATATCATCTTTCACATCGGGAGGACATCCCATTAATCCCTCTCCGAGCTGCTCACACCCAACTCCTCTAATCTGTATCCCAACCCTCTTCTCCAAAATTGACGACCGTGCTTTGAGCCTTGATGCCTCAAATCTCTGAAACGCCTTACCTCAATCTTTCCATCTTGCCCCCTCTTTGCCCATCTTCAAATCACATCCCAAGAATTTCCTCTTTGACTGTGCTTTTGTTCACATCCCTTCCCTTTCCAACTTGGAATCATGCCACACCACTGTTAAGCGCTCTGAGACGCAACCATCTTGAAGAGAGCTGTATAAATGCACATTGTTGCTGTTGTTAATTGGCATTCAACTAATATAGAAACATAATAATAATCCCTGCATTTGATGTAGCCTCGTATCACATCGCTGAGATGTCTTAATAGGATATACTATATGTATGCTTCATAGTATATACTGTAAAGTGTTTTGACTATGTGTTTTGTGGGCTAAAACAATATGCGTTTATACAGCATCCTTCACGTGGGTAGCACCCCAGAGAGCTTAACAGTGGTGTTTGTGTGGCTTGCTGCTGAGCCGAAAAGGGAGAGGCAATGATCGAAGACAACAACAACAACTTGCATTTAAATAGCACCTTTCACATGGGTTTAGCATCCCAGAGCACTTGACGGCGGTGGAGTCTGACCCCAAGACTGGGGAAGTGGGAGGGGGGAGGTGACTGTAAGCACGATTGAAAAGGAAGGCCTTCAGGTGGGATTTTAAACTGGGGAGGGAGGGGACAAGGATATAATCAAAGAGCAAAGTTTTCATATGTGATTTGAAGATGGACAAAAAGATGATGAGTTATTGATTGAGAGATGTACATTTTCTTCTTTTCCTTCTCTAGTCATTTCTTGTGGTGAACTGGGTCATCCTCCCAATGGAAGAAAGATTGGAACTCAAATAACGTATGGAGCAACAGCTATCTTGACCTGCGACTTGGGATACATACTGGTTGGTTCGACTGTCAGAGAATGCTTGGCATCTGGGCTCTGGAGTGGAAGTGAAACTAGATGTTTAGGTATGAGGGTACCTCTTCATATTGATGAAGAGAATAATATATTTACTATTTGTGACAAAATCAAACTTTACCTGTTAATATTGCCATATTAGTATGGTGTAAATTGTAAAGTGTTGAAAAAAGTAAAATGTTCAGTTAAAAATGTTGGAGGCATTTCTGGTCTTGAGACTCAAAATTGTTGCTTTGTCTTTTGTTTGTACTTTGAAGCTGGGCACTGTGGAGTTCCAGAGCCAATAGTCAATGGTCAGGTAGTGGGAGAGAATTATGGCTACCGAGACACAGTTGTTTACCAGTGCAATCCTGGATTCCGACTGATTGGTTCATCCGTACGGATATGCCAGCAAGACCATAACTGGTCTGGACAACTTCCAACCTGTGTGCGTAAGTATGCATGCTGAGCTACTACTAATTTCCTGAGGAACCATACAAAGAAAACATCTAAATAATATCCATTTTAGTCAGCAGTTGTCAAAATTTGACTGCAAAATATCAGTGGGAAGGGAGTTATAAAAAGACCTTGCTTTATTTTCTGACTGGTTTAATATTATTTTATGAGAGCTGTAGTCTTTGCCTACGCCACTGTGCACAAGATATTTCACTTCAACAAACTTTGGAGGAAAAAAAATTCAAAACATTAAACAGAAATAATTCTATGTTTAAATTCACTGCTTTGGACGTTTGACAGGTGATTGATGTCACAGGAGGTTACAAGCAGAGCTACACGTTTTCTGAACAGAGAGCCTGGAGATTTCATATTATTAATTGACATTGCTGATTGTTTATTGGTATTAATTATCAACAACAACAATTTGCATTTATCTAGTGCCCCTCATGCAGGGTGGGTTCCAGAGCATTTGACAGTGGTTGAGCATGACACCGGGGATGGGGGCGTTGACCATAGGCACAGGCGCAACCGGAAGATGAAGAAGAAAGGGGCAAGTTGAAGGGATATAGGAAGAGTGTTCCAGAGTCTCGGGGTGTAATGGCTGAAAGGGTAGCCACCAATAGTGAAATGGAGAACACGAGAGATATGCAGAAGGCCAAGGCCAGTCGAGCATAAGCAGCTGGTAGAGGGGTGGGTGGTAAGCAGGTCGAAGAGGTAGGGAGGTACTAGGGCATGAAGGTATTTGAAAATGAGTGTCAGGATCTTGAAATTGATCCGATCGACAATAGGGAGCCAGTGCAGCCTGGCTAGAAGTGGTGTGATGGGGGTTTTAAGTGCGGGTGAGTATGCGGCTGATGGAGTTTTAATTCATTTGTATTATTAGGGTTCATGTAATCAAGGTATTTGACAGGAGCATAAAAAATCCAGGTCATAAGATGAAGGACCCGCCTCCCCCCCCCCCACATGTACACACACCTGTAGACAATCAAGATTTCTCTGAACTAGCACCGTGTTGGAGAGACAGGTGCAACATTGCTACACAAAATGATTAATAGGTGAAGCTATCTCTAAGCCTTGATTTTTGGCAACCTGCATCTAAATATCCTGTGAAGCACTTTGGTATGTCTCAATGACATGATAAAGTGCTATATCATATGCAAGGATTATTATTATTTCATAATTATACTTCCCAAAATAACTACTTCTGTAGGAGGTGGACATTTTGTGCACCGGGTATCTTGTCAAGTCATTTCTGAATTGTCTTGTTAACCGTTCCAGTTGCACCAATGATTATATTATGACGCATGTGGCAGTACAAGACAAACATAGTTTGTCTTGTACTGCCACATGCGTCCACATTCAATTGTTCCTGATTTTCTCTAGTTCTGTATTTTGTATGTTGTTTTCACTTGGAATGGCCACATCAATGATACTGATGCATGTACAATCTAGATGTTTTTTAATGATGATATTTGATTTATTACGGATTAATGTTCTATCTGTATGCATTAGTGAGTCCCAGATTATTCCGATGTTACTTTTGCTGGTTGATGTTCATATCAGTTGGTTACTTCAATATCAGTGTTTACAGACCGGATATATTTGGATATATATTGATTCAGTTACTCAGCTAGGCCTGGACATGATGACAAAATGTGGTCTACTGTTCCTGGTGCTTGATGACATATTCAGCATTTCAGATCAATGTTTTTCATAATAATGGGTAGTAATAGCTTGATCTTATGCAGATATTATGAGAGCTTCTGTTTCGCCTCTAATCCCTATTAGTCAACCATATGCAGCTTTGATTATTAATAGGTTATTTTATTATTATTATATGTTCACTGACAGTTGATGAGTAACCAAAACATTGTGGACATATTATCAGTCCTGTGCAAAGTCCATGTTTACCTTGTGATTCTTGAACCAAGAACCAGAATGAGAAAAAACAGTTTATAAAAGGAAAGCAAATTGCATAGTTCTGGTTAAGAAAAGATTTGCAGCACAGGAAGGAGTTACATGATAGATAATATTTTACAAGGAATTACACTCTGTGAAGATTTCACCGTGTTCTGCTAATGTCATGTGCAGGAATAAATATGTGCCCCTGGGTCTACACTGAGCCATTTTCATTAAGAAGGAACACTTTTTTTGTGGGAAGTAAATAAGGCAAAAAGAAAAATGGTATGAGATTAGTACTTGAACATTAGCATTGACATTTATAGTCTACTGTGTTTATCCAGCTGTCTAAAAAATACCCTTCCTTATAAATCAATGCACAACTGGAGCCCATCAGGTCACATAATTAATGATGCTGAAAAAATCGTCTAATGTTGTGTGGCATCAGCTGTTTTCCACCTCTGTAAACAGTGAGTGTTGGCTGCAAAGAAAAGTTACTTACTGCAGGTCTCTGTGGAGGTCTCTGTGAATCAAATGTTAGCAAATTAACATAGAGCCATGATCTCGCTAAATTATTTCTAAAATAATTTATGAAATCCTTTTTCCTGACAGTAAGTGTTAAGATATTCAGGATACTGGTAACTGCTTCTCTCTCACTCATGGCCTTCTTACACCATTGTTTTTCATTGTGAGAATCTCACCGAAAATTCCATGTATCAATTGCTATAATCGCAAACCATTTGCAAAACAGATGGCAAGCCATTTGCTGTTTAACTGTGCAAAGTTTACAAAATATTGCAATTTCTGAAACTGGCCAAAGAGCTAAAAGGCTGAAGGCAATTCCTCCCCTCCTCCACTGTAAATTGGATATCAGTATTGTATGATCTAGAAATGATTAGCACTGAAGCTCACCCAATAAAGGACAATGATTCAGCAGGATATTGATTCAAGTCACTGTACATTAAATCAATTCTGCTTTGCTTGGAAACAGACTCTTAAAGCATTTAATGCAATGGACCACTCAATAACTTTCGGACCACTTTTAATCTTGTTAAAGAGATAATTAGGGCAGCTCCAATTGTGAATGGAAGTGGAGCTCACTGGTTGAATCCAGGTTTGTGGTCGCAGCTGGGGTGGCATGAAAGGACTAAATTAACCGTAGCCTTCCCAGGATTAAGGAGGGGGAAAAATAAACAGGCTGGGCAAAGGAGCTGTGGAAGGATTTAAAGGTCTTCTATTCATATACTGTGCACAAGTTGTTTTTTTGGTCCCATATGACCATCTTACATTTATATATATATAGCACCTTCAATGCAAAGAAAAAGTCACAGTGCTTTCCAGATTGAGATTCATGAGACATCCAGTGTATGTTAAATTGGTAAATGTGGCAGCTCATTTGCTTTCGCAGCGAGATGGAAGAGCCGATCAGGTGGAATCTAGGATGAGTTTGAATGAGGAGAGAACATAAGACAAGTTAAAACAGAAGGAAGAACTCCTTGTTTGTCTGAAATAGTGGCATGTGGCTGTCCTTTAACATCTGTCTGAATCACAATACAGGCAAGAGTATAAATTAATGACTTGTTCAAAAAACTTGAAATGAACGTATTTAATATAGAAAGCTTTACACAAACACATCAGTAGCATCCTGCTAGCAAAATGAGGTGAGATGAGCAGTCAATCGAATCAGAATTTTGGAGGAGATGAATTTGGATTGAGGGAGAGATATTGACGAAAATTCCAGCTTTGCAGTGACACTGCTATGAAGTGATGTGGTCCAACACATTTTGTCAGCAGCCCTCTGAGTCCAGAGCCCAGAGGGTAAAGCTCAGTAGAGCATTGGGAAAATGGGAATTTATTGACCGTGAAATTTGGATGTGGTGGAAGCAGTATGGTAAATGTGTCACAAACACTTATTTTCCCTTTATGTCATCCTCTCCATAGTCCAGCAGATGCTCCTTTCCACTTGCCAGTTCTGTGCATCTTCATATATCACAAAAAAAAATGGTACTTGCTCCTGGGAAACATCAGAGATCAGGCACCAGACACTTTTATAACGGAAGGTTACTTAAAAGGAAGGAAATTATAAATATATTATCCAGAAGTCACCTCTATTATTCCCCAGGAGACTAAGCAAGACAGCATTCTAATATATTCATAAACACTGTCTTCATCACTACTTTCTGCTGAGCTGCCAAACGTTATCACATGTGGGCTGATGGATTCAGTCTCTTGCCGCACTGGAATTTTTTTAGATGCAAGTGTCATAATAAAGAGCGCATCTAGACACAGGACTACCGGCCAGTTTGAAGGCCTGTCATCATAATAGCAGTTATGCATGAACACACATCACAGCTGACTACCTCACTTCTCACAACTGCTCTTAAATATTTTGCTATTCTGTATCAGCAGTGCCCAGCAAGCACAGGTTTCTACATTCTGTGATTGATTATGATGGAAACTTTCTATTAAGGACAGTTATTAGACTAGCATACTTTCCCTTTTTTGATCAGCTGAGTGTCTGACACATGCAGAAATCTATCACATGTTTAAGACTATCCAACCCAGAAAATCCATGTGTGTTATGCTACGTACACATAGAAATTTCCCTGTGTCTGGAATAGAATACATTCTTTCCCTAGAGGGATGCACCTAATTCTGGAGAGTAATTGCTGAATGCCAAGGCTTGGGAATCTCAGAGTTTAGGTTGGAGATTGCTGTAGTTTAACCAATTAAAACTACATAGCTTGCAATTGAGTGTACTGCCTGGTAAGCTTCCCATTGCTTGTCGAGGGCCATGCTACCCATCAGCGTTTTGGCTTGTAGAGTTAACAGGAGTCAAATGGAAGGATCCCTGCTCCAAGTGACAGTACTGCCTGTTCAAGCTTGTTGATAAGTCAGGCTGGCTGATCAGTCATCAGTAGTACCCTGGAGTAGTACAGATTCACTTGGTTCAAACTACCAAAACAAGATTGACTTGATTCTGATATTCCATTACCAAAGATGTCATCTTAGAGTCAGCTGAACTCCAAAGAGACCCTGCTCACCTCTCCCCCACCTCCACACACCCTCCAGAGGACAATCCTCATTAATGGTTAATTATCTTAGTATTTTACAAATTTCCAATCCCCAACAGATCAAATTCAAAGTGCTCATCCTAATGTTCAAATCTCTCATGACTTCAGCTCACCCTACCTCTGCGACCTCCTGCTATCCGAATGACCCAGCTTCACAGCAAAACTGGCCTGCTCATGTCCTTCACCTGATCAGTCCTACCATTGGTTGGTAAGCTTTTGATATGTCCTCTCCTGTACTATATCGTATTTCAGGTATCTTTGTCATATTTTTTCCTAGCGATCAGCTGTGGTCACCCGGGCAATCCAATCTATGGAAAAACCTCAGGAAATGGCTTCAATCTCAATGACATTGTATCGTTTTCTTGTAACACTGGATACGTAATGGAGGGAACATCCAGGGCTCAATGCCAGACAAACAGACAGTGGAGTAATTCTGCACCAATGTGCAGAGGTGAGTTCAGAGAACCATTGACTTTAATAATAATAATAATAATAATCCTTGCATTTGATATAGCGCTTTTCACGTCGGGAGGACGTCCCAAAGCGCTTCACAGAATAGACTGTAAAGTGAATTGACTGTATATTTGTGGGCGACGCGGCAGCCAATTGCGCACAGCAATGTCCCACAAACAATCGTAGATTGAAAATGACCAATTTATTATTGTTTTTGGTTTTGGAGGGATTATTATTAGGTGTGTGGAGTAAGGAAACTTGCCCAAGGTTTCGCCCTGCCTGGAATTGAACTCGGGTCTCTCGCTTGCAAAGCGAGTGCTCTAACCACTGAGCTACAGGACTCCACAGTCCTAGTACTAGTGACATTGAGGAATGTGGTGTTGTATGACCATAAGACAAAATGATAGATGATGGGGACAAGTACCTTATTGGATTCCACAATAGGTCAGACAAAAAGCATATGAGCAAACCCTTACGAAGTCCCACAGTATCTCCACCCTTTGTGAATTGATTATAAACAGTGGCTGTTGGGGCATGTGGAATTAATCTTTGTATCAAAAGATTGGTTTAGATAAAGAAAGCCCTTTGGCCCATTTGTTCTCATCCTTCAACAATATTCACCCTACCATCTTCCCATCAAAGCATCAAGTTGTATTTGAAATGAGTCCAGCATCCTGGTCTGAACTGACCTTCTTGACAACTTGTTCCAGTCGCCAATTATCCTCTGGGTAAAGAAATAGTTCTTGTTGTCTGTCATGAAATTGTCTGAAATTTCCAAAGTCTAAATTATGTCCTCTTGTTCTAATGTCGACGCATGCTTCTTGCACAGCCCCACTGTGTTCAGGAGAGAATAGAATAGAGAATAGAGAGAAAGTTGTATCCTGGACCTGTAAGAGTGTTGGTATTCCTTGGCCCATCTCCTATCACTTGAACTGTACTTGCCCCTGATTGACCAGTAATCTAACCTATCCTCACTCTTATTTGTCCTTGACTTGGATTAATGGGAGTGAAAATGCAATGTTTTAAAACAGATTTGATAATTATTGAATGTGCTGTCAAATCGGGTTAAAAAAATCACATTTGTCATCTCTGGCTATAGGATATGAATTATTTTCTTTGATTTTGCATTTTTGAAAAAAAAGAATGTAAATGTGGACCTTGTCAATCATTTTTAAAATATCCACTGAAGTGACTTCACTTTGAATTTGTTGACTAGTGGTGAACTGTTCGGATCCTGGAATTCCTGGAAATTCTATTCGGGAGAGTAAGATAGAGCACGGAAACTTCACCTACAACTCAATGGTGTTCTATGACTGCAACCCTGGGTATTTTCTGTTTGGATCTTCTGTGCTAACTTGCCAGTCCAATGGATACTGGGATAAACCGTTACCTGAGTGTACACGTAAGTGTGCGTTACTTATAATAAAACTCACTAAGATATTATGGTTAAATAAAAATGAACACTCATTATTTGACAAATATAGCGTAATATATGTAGTGTTTCTGTATTTATTTTATGAATAGGATTTGCATTTCAGTGTGTTAACCTGTTGTAACTACGAATAGTCATTGGTACTTTGGATATAAACATTGTTTGGGGCTCACAGTTTGAATTCTTTGTCTTTTTCTTCCTTTCAACAGTGGTTGACTGCAGCCACCCTGGCATTCCTCCAAATGTAATTTTATCTGGTGATAAATTCACATTTGGTGCAACTATTCATTACTCCTGTGTTGGCAAAAGATTGCTTATGGGCCCATCAATGCGTAGCTGCCAGATGAATGGACACTGGAGTGGTTCGATCCCTCACTGTTCTGGTAAGACAGCTGTATGTACTTACATAGAAGATGAATTACTGGGGTATTTTTGCTTGTATAAATACATATGTAATACAAGGGAATATTGTTGCCCTTAATTATGTGAATAACCACCAATGAAACATTAACATATGGTTTTAACAACTTGCAAAATGGACACCATGTTATCCCAACCTATTTTGCTATAAGTAATGAATTATTTAGAACTCAGGTTGCTCAATGAAGCTGACTACTCAAGCTTGTATATTTAATCACCATTCGTTATAAAGCCTATGGAAAGTGTCACTGAGTTTTCAGGGTCGGGTGATTAAATGTAGTGTAATAGTGGGCAACTCGTGTCCTGCGAGCCAAAACTGTCCCACCAAACATTCCCTCTAGTCTAGGTAAGTCTGTGTCAAATCAATATTTTGTTGCCAGTAGCTACTGAGTAGCGATATTTATGGTGTGGCCATAAATCAAGAAATATTCAATCAAGAATATTTGGTTGGCCGACCAAAAAAGTTGACCAACACTGTAGTGCCTCGAGAATTACAATTGCAATTTTTATTGCGCCTTTGATGTTGGAACAACATCTCAAAGTGCTTCATGAAGTCTTAGGACTACAGTTACTACAGTTGCCCACAAATTAACTACTTAAATCAGAAAGTGTTATGTCAGAAAAATATCTGCCGCTCTTTTCTGTAGTTCCTGTGAAGCGTCTTGAGAAGTTCTCCTGAAATGAAAGGTGCTATGTCAAATGCTTTTCCTTTTTATCAACTATCAGATTCTTTTTTTAAGGTAAACATTGAAGATAGTTTTGAAAAGCAAATTGGATATTTTTTTGACAGTGAAAGGGATTGAGGAAATATGTGACGGGGAGAGATAATATTTGGAAACGTGACAGGTCAGGTGGATTGCATTGGTCTTTGCTGGTCCTGCATATTCCTGTGTTGAATCACATATTCACTATCTGAGGGAGGAAAAAATATTGCAATCCACTTTGAACCTTGATACTTTCGATCTATTTCGTCTGGTTGGATACTCACATATTGAGTCAAATATTCTCTTTACATCAATATCAAATTCTCATTATGTAAAGATCCGCATCTTTTCTTCAAGGAAAGCAAGTCTCTGCTATGCTCTCCACAAGATTCCATGACTGGGTATAGATTACCAAAGAAAGGAATATTGCAATATTTCTTAACAGAATTGTAGGTTGAAACTCCACCTGAGTCTCATCTCACTCTTTCAATGTAGTATTTCAGAGCATCCAGAATTTGACAAATTTTAAAATTCAGTCCTTGCTTCAAAATTACAACAACTACTTGCACATATTAGTCATTTCAATCCACGACTATTTGTGGGACACTACTGTGCTCAATTAGTTGCCATGTTTCACCCACAAAATATAGTCAGTTCACTTCACAGTATATCTGTGAAGCTTTTTGAGATGTCTTGAAGATGTGATAAGGTTCTATATCAAACTCAAGAATTATTATTATTATTATATATGCTTCACCCAGGATAGTGTCTCAGAGCAATGAACGCTGAGGGGTTGGACGTTGAGCAAGAGAGAAGGGGGAATGGACGGGGAGGACCATAGGCTAGGGGTCTCTAACCCATCGATCGACTCCTGGGTGGCAGCTCACACATGCTCAATAAAAACAACAGGCAGGAGCGATATTTATTGCATTTTTAACAATAAAATGTATATGTTTATTTCCAGGTGCATGAAATACTTGATGCACCTGGCTTCATTTTCAACGTGACTCAATAACGACGCAATTCTGTTGCTTCGTCCGCTTGTCTTTTTGATCAAGTGCAACAGCATCACCTAGTGGTGATCAGCCAGTTGGCGACCCCTGCTGCCGCCAAGTTAAAGATAGAGAGGGGGTGGGGTGGAAAGATTGACGGAGGGAATTCCAGAGGTTAGGGTCATTTAAGAATTTGTCAAATTCTGAACATTGAAAAGCGACATGAATAGAGTAAACCAAGACCCAGTTTGGAATTTCTACCCCTTAATGTGTTAATTAACATATCAAATCTATTCAGAAAAATTAGGGTTTATAGTCATGTGAGGACCCCCCACCATTCTCAGTATGATCATTGGACCTAATGTCAGTCAGATTTCAGTACTGACTCTTAGCAGCATTTCATTCCCACCTCACAGGGTACTCACACTGTGGTTTTATTCACAAATAGATCTATCCATAATGTCATTTTTACTTTCCTGATTCTTCACATTGAATAAGTGCTGTAGCATATGATATATTAATCACTTCCCTTAATAGCAACACCTCAGGTCTGTGTTTCATTAATGACCTGCTTGGCAATGTGATTCATGCTGCATTTCATGCTATCTCTGAATCCATGTTTTGTAATAGTTTAGTCCATCGCTCTCGAGTTTGTTTAACATAACTGTAAGGAAGCATTTTAGGCATTTCACGTGAATCACGCTGTATTATTGAAATAGCTGTGTTGCTGCCGCCTGCGTGTTAATCTTTGCATTTGATATGGCATCTTTTCATGTCTTCAAGATGTTTAAAAGCACTTCTAAAACAGCCAATTGCGTCCAGCAGTGATTCATAAAGTTGTGGATTGAGTGACCAAATCTTTATTTTATTGTACTTTTTTTAAGGGTTTATTACCCTTGGAAAAGCAATCAACTGACAACCAGGTTCCTACTTACTGTTAGGTAAACAGAGGTGTGTGGAGTAAGGAAAGTTGCCTAACATTTTGCCCTGCCTGGGAATCGAACACAGGTCCTCTCGCTTGCAAGGCGAGTGCTCTAACCACTAAGCTACATTACTCCACGTCCTGTAGTGTATTTATTAGTGTTGCCTTGACATAAATTGATATCTTTGTTCTATTATCCTGTGACACAAGGGACGTTGTTATTTGAAAACCCCTGATTTCACATACCTTTCCAATATATTTGATATAGCTAGCATGTAAATTTCATCCAAATATCCATGCTTGCCTTTATTTCATTGCTTAACTGATCAGTCAGTATGATGAGGCACAGTAAGAGGCATAACATGTTTCAGATTTCATCAACAACTTGTCAAAAATAGACTGCTGGAGGTCTAATGAGTTCCTTTGAAATTGCTGTCAGATATTTTTGAAGGTGTAATCTATTGTATGTTATTCTAGGTTCAAGTTCAACATATGAGGAAATTGCTGATGTGTTCAGTGACCTTTTTTCAGACTATCACCAGTTTGGGGATTTTTTAAATTATGAGAATAAATTACTGTGTTCACAAGCTTGAAAGCATAATTAAAATAAATACAATCTGTGACTATTGACAAATTAACAAAGAAAACAGATGAAAATTGAATAAATGTGTTATCTGCTTTCTGGCCTGTGTTGTAACAAAATAGGTTGACTCAATACCTAGTTACTATATATAAAAGGTGACCTGCAAGATGCTGTATAAATGTAATTTGTTGTTGTTGTATAGTCACATGTAGTTTCCAGCCCCAGAACTGCATTCAATTTAAATTGCATTATTTAGCACAGTGATGTAACATAATAAAAACAGAATTGCAGCAATGGAGTTTGTTCATGAAGTACAGTGAAATTGCTTTGAAAAGTTACCAACCATGTTCACATTCTTAAATGCAACCTCCCAGTGAGCAAATTCAGATTAATATACCTCTCGACAAACCAGCAGCCCCAATAATTCAATGGCTAGTCCTGTGACACACAATGTCACAGTGTTTTAATGACCGGATACAGTCATTGTCTGCACTGAAGTAAGCTCCGTCTAAACAGAAAAAAAATCACAAACTGACCAAGCCCAGTGTTCAAACCTCTTCATATAAATGGAACCAATTTCCTGGTGGTAATTGAGTCCGAGACTTCAGATGATGGTTATAATTTGTTTCATTCTCACAGTTCATGATGTGTGAGTCCTTTGATTAGATTAGAGCTTGTAATGCTCCCAGGTGTTTCCATTCTCTCTGACATAATTGAGGTGATATTTCCAGTAAACAGTAAAATCAGATGATTAGACCTTTTCAGAAATCACACAATTGTAAATGTGCATGTCGTCCAGCCTGCTGATTACATCATCCCATGTTACTTTCACCTGTGGGTTAGTTAAACATCTGTTCAACTAAAAACAGTTAAAGGAATAATTTAAACATTGCATTTAAAACCATGTTTGCATACTTTATATCAATATGAAAGCATTAGGGAGTTGAACTGAGTAATCTAATTTGTAGGCTGAGTAGAAAATTCATGAGCTCCACCCTCGTGTGTCTGGTTTGACCAGAACTTCTTGCTATGTCATGACTCCAAACAAAGTATCTAGAACTCTATATATTTTTTTCTTGGTAAGTCAAAGACTTCTAATCGTACTACAAATTATTATTATTTGAATGTTATTCCTCCTATTGACAGGGAAGCCTTCAGGTACTTTATTCCCTTCCTCCCAAAATCCCACCACCTGCCTGAAGACCTACTTCTTTCACTGGGGTTTTGGCCAGCTCCCTCACAGTTTGGCTCAGTCTTAACTTGACTCTAACCCCCTCTGGGCCCAGCTCTGAAACTAAAATTGGTACTGCTGCCACCAGCTGTACCAATTTTTGAACACAATTTTAGTCAATGTGATAACTCATCATAATAAACTTGTATTTGATTCAGCACCTTATCACGTCGTTGAAATGTCTCAAAGCATTTCACAGGCTTCACTGTAAGGTACAGTGACTGTATATTTGTAGGTGAACACCAGCCATCTTATTCACATCACATTGCTTTGTGCTTTGTAATCCTGTGTGCAGGATACTGTTTCTTTATTTGGACCTGATGATGAACTCTTGTTTCTGTGTTGCAGGAGATGCAGCGGGGATGTGTGGGGACCCGGGACCACCTGCCCATGGTTTCAGGAATGAGAGTGATTTCAGGATTAAGAGTGCTGTGCACTTTACATGCCCAACTGGCTATATCTTGCACGGCTCTGTCAAAAGAACTTGCCTCCCAAATAGTACCTGGTCGGGAAGGCAACCAGAATGTAAGGGTAAGTGGTGCTACAACATGCTCATTTTGATGCTCTGTTAAATTTGTTGATATGATATTTTACTACTTTCTACCTATTTTGAGTACTTCAGGGTAAGAGTAATGCAAACCAATTGCCAAGCGTCAAACTATGAGAATGACATAATATAAACCTGTGCTAAGATAATCTAAAATTATCTGATGAATCAACTGCAAAATTTAAATCATTTGCAGTAAAATAGAGTAAAATTTGCAGTAAATTGAAACCATTCCTTTGGATAAACAAGAAGTAGTATTAACACTTGCATTTCATATAAAGTTTTTTAGAGTGAAAAGATTTGTGAAAATGCTTCATAAGATCTATTGCATAATGACTTTATATATTGTAGGTAAATGCAGCAGCCAATTCTGTACAAAGCAATATCCCACAATCAGCTATAAAATGAATGACCAATTTTATCTGTGATATTGTTAGCCAGTACAGTAGGAGAAACTCCATTCCCTTTTCGAGTAATACCATGGGATGGTTAACATTCAGCTAAACAGGCAGACAGGAACTTGGTTTAATGTCTCATTTGAAGCATTTCTGGCATTGCAGTGCTCCATCTGCACTGTACTGGGATGTATTTTAAGGAGTCGAGCCTTCAATCTCACCAACTTGATTACAAAAACGTGTTTTGACCAAGGAGAGCGCAGACTTTTGACCCTCCATGGCAGATTCCTCCATTTCACCTACAAAAAACACAAGTCACTACACTTTATAGTAAATCCTGTGAAGCGCTTTGAGCTGTCCTCCTGATGTGAAACGCGCTTTAGTGAATGCAAGGTTGATTATTATTGTCAAAATTAGGAGAACAATGTGTAGGACCTAACATTTAAAACCTAAATTTAAGATCTAAAACTAGCAGCCGGTGCTAGGATCTGAAGATGAACAAACCCCTTAGATGGAGAGGGTGCACTGCTTGTTGATAACTATCAAACAATACATATTTAACACATTAAGTTTTAAATCAATTGTAAAATTTTACTTCAATAGCTTGCTTACACATTGAGATATAATCATCAAATTTTGAAACAATGTAAGAAACCCTCTCACACAACCATATAATGTTACAACACAGAAAAAAAGGCTTTTATCCTATCACAAGTCCACTCTGGTAGCTTTTAACCCCCACTGAAAACAATTTGCCTTATCCCATTTTCCAGCTCCCTTCCCATACCATTGAATATTCATCTCTTTGCTATCTTCTTTGTAAAACACTGTCGACTCTTGTTCAACAGGAGTTTGTGGTGGTGAGAATGTAGACTCATTACCAGAAGCCAATATTGATGTGGGAAGCATCAATGCATTTAAGAGGAAAATTGATTCCTACCTGAGGGAGAAGGGACATAGAGGGGTATGCGTGAGTGGAAATGGAGGCTTTTGTGGAGTGTAATCACCAGCACAACTGACTGGATCGCATACTCACCCGCACTAAACTCCCTAATCCCATCACATTAGTTCTAACCAGGCTCTACTGGCTCCTTATCACTGAACCAATTAATTTCAATATCCTCACACTGATTTTCAAATCCCTTCATGCCCTGGCACCTCCTTACATCTCCGACCTGCTTAGCCCCCAACCTGCAGTGTCTGCTCGATTGGATCTGGCCTTCTGCATGTCCCTTGTGGCCTCCGTTCCACCATTGGTGGCCCTGCTTTCAGCCACTACATCCTGAAACACTCTTCCTCTATCCCTCCATCTTGCCGCTTGTCGTCTTCGACCGTGCCTACATTCACCTCCTCCTGCTCGCAGCTCGACTTCGTGCTCAGCCACTGTCAAGCTCTGGGATGCTACCCTGCGTGAGGGGCGCTATATGTTGTATGTTGTTGGTCTGATTGACCTGTTTCCATGCTGCAGTGTTCTCTAATTCTACATAACACAATGATTCCAACTCAAATTTGAACTGCAGTAGGTAGAGTTGATTGTGTTGACTGTTTGTCAACAATATGATTCCTAAGTTTCTATTGCGACCTATACTTTCACTTTAACTAATGTGAAGCATTTAATACACTTCACCCTTCCACCACTGAAGAAGTAAGATTGATATCCTGCAAAATCAAGGAATAACACACCAAAAGTAACCGCATGTTTCAAACTATGGCCATAAACTATTGCTCCAAGGCCTAGAGAAATGACCTTTCAATATGCCATATTTTAACGCAGACTTGGTTACTTCAGTAACCCAAGAGGACAGGAGTTTACCAATTATATATGAAAACTGCTGTCAGTATTTTGTTATTGCACCTTTGGTATCCATAATTTATAATATGTGAATGTTTTCACCAACGTTGAGCTCCAGAAAGTGTGTGATTTGTGACGTTAGTCCGTGATTGATTCTCTTTATCCTACTGACAATATTCAGTGGTGTCTGTTATGAATTGACAATTAGCAAGCAACAATAGAAATGGAGTGTTCATGGTGATGCTGATCTGACATTCCCAGTTACTCTTTCCTTTCAATAACCTTGCTATTCCCCTGCTGTGTGTGAAGTTAGTTTGTGCTAGGACTACTCTGTCACATGACGAGCCCCACTGAAGTGTCTACCTCACTGTGCCATTAGCACAAGTAGTGTACCATGAAAAGTAGGATTCAATTAAATCTACTATAAATAGACTGAATGCAAATTGTGATAACTTCATGGATGTTTGTGAGATATTGCTGTGTGCAAATTAGCTGCCACATTTGCCCACACAACAGACAGTCACTGCATAACCTGTCAAGTATTTTGGGATGGCCTCTCGTCATGTAAGGCCCGATATCAAATATAAGAATTTTTATTATAACTTACTCGGTATTTCTTCCTTGTTTTATTTTAGTTTATGCTTGTATTTCTGACAGGAATCATTGTTTATTATAGTCTATTTTTGCTTCAATATTAGTTTAATTGTTTTAGTTGCGATTAGATTACAGAATAGTTTATCAACAACAGACACTGAGGGAACCACTTAATAGAATAAATTACAGTATAATCCTTAGAATTTAGTGATGAAGGATCAAAGCAGGCTCCAAGCAGCCTGTGCCACTCACAGGGTTAAGGATGCTAACTGAAATGACTTTTGATATTCCTCTTATCTTTATAACTCAATAAAATTGGACCATTCTCAACACACAATAAAAACTATAACTGAGATAAACAAAAATGTCAGAAATAAATTTGAGCTTTCAAACTAATGATCGGTTCATGATAGATAGTGGGAAATAACTATAACGACGTGGTGTATAAGGTGCACAAAACTAAAATTAAATGATTTTTCTTGTTGTGGGAACATGATAGAAGGAAGAACAGACAATGTTCATTCTTGGACTTTTCTCTCAGAAGATATCAAATACACCTTTAGCTGTAGAATTGAAATGTTAAAGGAATAAATGTAATAGATTGATATCTGATAAATTATGTGAAATATTCTCAGCATAAATGCTGCATCTGTTAGGTTTTAACCACTTCCAAGGTGTCAGCCTGGCCCAGGAAGTAGCACTCTTGCCTCTGAGTCAAAACACTGTGATTCAAGTTCCATGATGCTGACACTCTAATACAATGTTGGGCAACGGCTTCATTGTCAAAGGTGCAGTCTGTCAGATGAGTCATTAAACTGAGGTCTCATTTGTCTGTTCAAATCAGTCTTTAAAGATTGTTTTGCACTGTTCAAAAAGAGAATACAGCTCCTTCTGGTGCCCTATCCAATTATCCCCGAATTGGTCATTCGCTTCTTGGCTGTTATGAAAGTCTGACATGTTCTTGAGTTGAGAGATTATCTGCTAAATCACTGTGAGGTACTCTACTTTGTGCAAATTGGCTGCTACTTTTGCTGACAAAATACAGACACTACACTTTGTAGTAAATCCCTTGAAATGCTTTGTGATGCCTTCCTGATGTGAAAAATGGAAGAATTTTAGTTTTTTTTAGTGTAAACATTATCCATCACAAATCTGTATTGTTGGGCATTGTCATTTAATAGTTCACCTGCAAGTAAGTAGTGTTCACTTTACAGTAAATCCTGTGAAGTGCTTTGAGATGTTTTGATGGCGTAAATGAGTCCAATATCAAATACAAGGATTATTAATGGGGGGAAAATTGTACTATGTGATGATTATCACCAGTGATGATTATCATAGGATATTTGGATGAGTTCTTCAGTCATGAGGTTGTCTCCTGAGTCAGCATAATGCAGGAGATACCGTTTGCCCCCAAATGTGTTTTGATCAGTGACAAGATGCTAGTACTGCTATCACTTTCATAAGGTGTGTGAATGACAGGTTGGGACTCAGCTATTTTGATAAGGTCAAGGGAGTTGATCGCACCTTTGACCAACAGTGTAGAATTTTCTGTGAACACTGTGGTTTTGAGGCACACATTAAATTATTGCTTACCCTGGTAGCGCTGTTTAACTCATTATATTATGTAGTCAGACTAAAACATACCTCTCGTCACATTGCTGAGTCAAGCTTATACAAGTAAAAAAAGCCTTGTCTGTGATTTTTATGTTACACTCAAAATAATTTTCTCTTCAATTGTGCTGTTGACACTCTTGTTTACCAAGACAAAGGCCTCAGCAGTAGTGTTTTCTCTTATCATTTAATTTGTCATGCCCTCACAAGCAGTATTTAATTGAGTAATACACTCTCTGAAGAATGTCAGAAAATCAATTTTGCTGTTTTAGTGGAAAAGAGATTTCTCCATGTTAGTTAAAAAATGAAAGGTTATTTTTCTTTTGTTATCAGATTGTTTCCTTTATTCCTCTCTCAGTAAATTGAACTTCACTAACCACTAATACTTGAACAAATTTCCAGTGAATCTGCAGGTAATATAATTCAAATCAACTTAGACCCAAATTATATACCTTGTGCAGAATAGTTTAATAACAACGTTCTTTGAGATTTGTTCACTATATTGCTATAAATGTGATATATATATATGTTACAGTGAAGTTGTGAAACCAGGGATTTTGCAAAATCCCTGAACTGTACAGTAAAATTATGAACCATGAAATCACTGAAATTAGGAATCAGAGGTACTGTGAAAAATATATTCCAGCAGTGAACAAGGAAGAGGGATTCCCAGGAACATCCTTGGTGTCATCATTAATAGAGATTTATTCACTGATCAGTATAGGTTAGCAGTGAAGGCCAGCATCCTGAGAGGGTTACTATTCCAGGAACCAATTTGACTTTTGCCCACGATTGTCAACAGAGAAATGCTTCAACCAGGAGAAGTCAGTGTCACTCCATGAAGCTGTCATTGCACAGTCTGTTTGAAATGCTGTACACTGGCCAGCGCCTTGGGACATCCTCCCGATGTGAAAGGTGCAATATAAGTGTAATCTTGTTGTTGTTTGTGGTGGACAAGGCTTTACGAAGTATAACTGTGGTCAGAGGAAATATTAGCATGGAACTCTCACTTGTGTTAACAAATGAATGTTTGACTCATCAGAGAATGAAATATCATATGAAGTTTATGGTGAATAAAATATTAATTTTCATAATGTTTTATTTATTTGTTAATAACACAAGGCAAGGTTATCAATATGATGTAATGATCACTTTTTCATGAAAACCCTGACCCCTAATTTCAGTGATTTCATGATTGCACAATTTTACTGAAAATTTCAGGGATTTCACGAAATTCCTGATTTCACAACTTTACTGCAACTTATATATAACTATGTCAAATTACAGTATTCATTTTACTCGGGTTGATCCTTGACTGAGAAGTCTGATTTTATTCCAGGAAATTTATCACCATCTCTTTCAGTCCATTTTATTTTTCAATATGATATTTTTAATTGCTTATTTTCTTCCTCTAGACTTATATTTGTCATGTTGGTTTGATGCATTCTGTAAGTCAGAACCAAGTATTAACTAACTAAGCATGAAAGGTGTGCGTGCATATTTGCTGCAGGGAAATTGAGACATGGATGGATAACTGATAAATTATGCCAAAGATTAAATTCATCAATCTTGCAATCTAGCCTTAGATCTATCTTGCAAGATAACATGTATGTGTGTGTGTGTGCATCCATGGACTTTGTTTATATTTCATTTCTAGATTAAAATGGTAAACCATCATAGGAAGACAAATTTTCAATTTCATTTTCAATCTACGACTGTTTGTGGGACATTGCTGTGAGCAATTGGCTGCCGCGTTTGCCCACAAATATACAGTCAATTCACTTTACAGTATGTCCTGTGAAGCGCTTTGGGACGTCCTCCTGACGTGAAAAGCGCTATATCAAATGCAAGGATTATTATTATTATTATTATAAATTTCACCTTGGAGTAGATTCACTTTATTTATGGAGCATTTTTAGAGATTTCAGAATTTAGCATATTATTGAATTTGGTCTTACCGTCGAAGTTGGTTTTCTGTAGATCTTAAAAATATATTACAGAAGAGTGGCTTCAAAATTAAGACTATGTATGAGAATTTGCCAAATTCTGCACAATTTAGAATGCCGTATTAATAAAGTAAATTAGGTGGTAATTGTGCCATTAAACATACTTTCTTCCTTGCTTGGTGATCCTGCATCATTTTAGTGGAGCATTTTGAGATGTCAATCCCACATGACTGCCCTCTAGAAGGGCAAGTTGTTATTCCGTTCAGACCTTTTCACACAATGTAAGGTAACCTCTGTTATTAAGATGACCCCATTGAGGAAATCTTCCAGCCGATTAGATTTCATCGGTCGCGTAATTCGTGATTACAAATTAGTGTTAATTAATCCAAACTGAGGACAATTAGGTTCTTGGAAAAAGCTTTTAATCCCCAATTTGTACAGTGCAGATCATTGCTAAGGCTGAAGTATAAATCAGGTTTAAAACTCATCAATTCCACTCCTCCAACATCAGCAGGAGGTACTATCTGAATGAAATCAATGCCATCAATTGAGGTATAAAGGAGTTGCAGTGCAGCCGACTCCAGAAATACTTTTAATCTCACAGAACTAATGTTCAATGTTTATGTTACTTACCTATAGAGCTCACTATAGCTCCAGAATGCTCAATATTGGGAACCATATATCCTGCTTATCTTCTGCATCACTGTTCTTGAAAGGGCTCACAAATTGCCTAAACAGAAATTGGGCATTAACCAACATTTTTAAAGGAACTGATATAAAAATATGAATTGTATCCAAGTTTTTTGATTTTTAAAAACATTACATATTGACATTCTTGCTTCTCTCAATTTTAGCAGATGAAATGAGTGACCATGATTCTGGAATAGTGTAAAAGTGGGGAGATGGTTTCTCCAGAATATCTGGAGGATAGTTAGTGTTTAACTGCAGTAAATCTGATGAGTGAAGAAGACCATATAACTCTGAAATGACAAAATCACAAGCAATGAAATGTGGATCCTGTAGCTCAGTGGTTAGAGCACACGCTTTGCAAGCGAGAGACCTGAGTTCAATTCCCAGCAGGGTGAAACCTTGGGCAAGTTTCCTTACTCCACTCGCCTGATAATAATCCCTCAAAAACACAATAATAAATTGGTCATTTCAATTCACAACTGTTTGTGGGACACTGCTGTGCACAATTGGCTGCCACGTTTCGCCCACAAAATATGCAGTAAATTCACTTTACAGTCTATTCTGTGAAGCCCTTTGAGACGTCTAGAAGACGTGAAAAGCGCTATACCAAATGCAAGGATTATTATTTAACATGTTAAAGAGTTTGAAAGAATTATTCACTAAACTTTATTGATGGATTTCTCAACTCTTCCCTCCACAAACTGCAGACCACCCAGAATTCTTCGGCTCATGTCCTCTTCTGCACTGGGCTCCACAAGCTTACTAACCCATCCTTTCCTGGCTTCACTGGCTCCCTCTCCCCCACAGAATTGAGTTCATTCAAGATCCTCATCCTCACTTTTAAATCCCTCCACTGTCTTGCCCCATGCTACTAATGTGACCTTCTTAAACCCCAAAACCCGCCACTCCCTCCACTCAACAGATACTGGCTTCATGTCTCCCACACTGCCCACCCCACCATCAGCAATTGTGCTTTTAGCTTATCCGACCCCACTCTCTGGAACTCCATCACAGAGTCCTTTCACCTTGCCCCTCTCCTCGGCTCCTTCAAGGTCTGTCTCAAAACCTTCCTCTTTCACCACACCTTTGATCATATTTCCCTTCACCCACCGCCATCCCCCTTGATCACACCTCTCTCAAATCCAACTCTCATCTTGGATTTGCTTCATGTCATCTTGAGTACAGACCTTTGACTATCCAGCACCTTGGGACTTCCACCCTACATGAAAGGTGCTATATAAATTCTGCTGTTGTAGGTGATTTGAGGACAAGAGGACATGAATTTGAGATTGTGACTAGAGGAGTGAAAGAATGGTTCAGATGAACTTCTTTTCCCTGAGGGTTGTCAGGGTATGAACGAACGATTTGCCAGGGGTGGCTGTTAGAGCAGAATTGACTGGGATGTTTAAAAGAGACAAATGCATGCAGACCAAAGGTATTAGAGGGTATGGACAAAGAGTAGAAAATTGGGATTAGGATGCCGTGGCTTCTCAGAGGAGGAAATACTCAGGTGAAAAAATTGGCCGAATGGTCTCCTACCTTGTCACACTTTTCTAAAGTCTTCTTCATAATAGGAAGATAAACAGTGGTATTCCATCATTGCCCAATAGGTATTCTATTTATGCTATGAATTCAAAGTAAAGCTGAATGTGGCTTGGACATTGAAAAACTATTTCTTTCCACTTGTCGGTGAATTCAGAACAAGGTGGCATAAATGTAATATAGCTAGTAATAGATATAGATCCAATTGGAAGTTTAGGAGGAACTTCTTCATGCAGAGGGTGGTGAGTATGTGAAACTCACTGCTGAAAACTGTGGTTAAGTAAGTATGTCTGGCAATCTGTTCCGCTGCTTGTCCAGCTTGGACAACCCAAGCCATTAGGGTTTTGGTTTGCAGGGTTAACAGGAGCCAAGTGGGAGGATTCCCTGCCCTCAGTGACTGGTCTGAGTCCTGCTGATGAGCCAGGCTGACTGTGCTGTCATCAGCATTGCCCTGGAATACTACCTTTCCCAAGCAGTGCATTGGAGTGCCACCTTAGACTATGTGAGTGTAAGTTTCAATGTAGGGCTTGAACACACAACCTCTGACTTGAAGGCATGATATTGTTGCTTCAAATTATCCAGAATTTGGCAAAATTTTAAATACAGCTTTTAATTTTGTATCAGGTTTTCTATAAGTTTCTTTAAGAAAAATAACTTAAAAGTTGAGACTGAATTCAACCATTTGCCAAATTATGAATGCTTTTAAATAGAATGAATATAAACCCAGGTAGAATGTCTCTCCATAGATTGTTTACCCTAAATATGAGAGGGGAGGGATTAAAGACTGATTATAAAACTGTGTGATGCTTTCTGTAACACAAAATGCAATGTATTCAACACTTATTGATTGTAATGGGGGTTGAGTTTTGAGATTGGACAGTGGATTCTGCAGGTTTATATAGTATATTTGAATTGTGACTGACATTCTCTGCATACTTTGAATCAATGTTTCTATTGCTTCAATTAATGTCCTTGTGCAACTATTAAATGTTTTTAGCTGTGAATTGTGGCAACCCAGGGACAGCAGCTAATGGGAGAGTGTTTCGCATTGATGGAACAACATACTCCAACTCTGTAACATATTCATGTCTGGAAGGATACTTGCTGACTGGCTCAGCTACACGGCAATGTACAGTCAATGGAACATGGTCTGGCAATCTACCTAACTGCACAAGTAAGTCAACAAATGTTAAAGTTTCCTGGCAAGTAGAAAAAAACATAATTCTACTGTAAATCAGTTAGCTTATATGTTGAGTTTGCAATTACTAAGGGAATTGTCTAATTTCTGAGTCACAATATGCACGGTGTCTCTCAGAGCTTCCACAGTTTCACTTGTACTGTGTAATAATGTAATTACTTGGGCACCGCATTGCCAATTCACTATATGGCATAAAAGAGTGAAAAGTTGCAGTGAGGTCCAATCATTGCTACATAGAGTTTGATAATTGTGGAGTAAATTGGCAGCTTTTCAAATCACGGTTCAATGTAATAATTAACACATTGAACGCATACTCCAGGACACTTCCGATGACAACTAGCCAGCTTTGCTTATCGGCAGGACTTAGACATCAGCCACTGAGAGCAGGGAGCAGATTCTTCCCACTCAGCTCCTGTTAACTGTGCAAGCTAAAGCCCTAATTAGAAGGATGGTCCTTGTTGCACAAACAGCAGAAAGCTTGCCAGACAGTGGCAATGGCAAGCTATGTGATCTGTATCCCAACACACACTCTATCCCAACACATATTCTAGGTTCCCCAAGCCTTGGCTCTCGCCAATCTGCAATTAATACTCTCAGGAATTAGGTAAGCAGGGCGCAGTCTGTATCAGATAGAGGGAAATTTCTAAGTGTAGGTGGCATACATAGGTGGCACTATATCTGTGATGATACTCTTAAGATTGGAGATGGGTTTCCACATGCTGACCAAAAAAGCGTTTTATGAAATGCCAGTATTTTCACTCCCTTATCATAAGAGAACAATCAACTTTCACCTGATAGCTCTTCACAACCGATCCTCAAGTTTATATAAATGTCTTAACCATGTGCAAATTTAAAGGGAGTTTGTCCAAATACATCATCACTGCCTTGGTGATTGTTCTATTACGTAATAAGCACTTTATTTTAATTGATGATTTCATTATGAATAAAACAAACCTTTTTTTAGTTGCTTAACTTCTGTTTTGATTCCACATGCAAATTATAATAGAAAATCTTATTTTGTTTAGTAATCAGCTGCGGAGATCCTGGTGTGCCAGCGAGTGGGATGAGGCTGGGGGATAAATTTACAGTGGGACAAAATGTCACTTATTTGTGCCAGCCAGGATACACAATGGACTCCAAGGGTTCCAAGATCCGCACTTGCACTGGCAATGGCACCTGGACTGGATCAATGCCATTTTGTAAAGGTAACAGTAGTATATGTTAGCAGTAACGTGCTGGGGGTGGGGTTTTCATTAACAAAGATTTCATCATTTAGATGAGATATTAAACCAAGATCCCATCTATCTGTTCAGATGGGTGTTAAAGATCCCATGGCACTATTCGAAAAGAGAAGGGAGTTTCTCCCGTTGTCCTGACCCACAATCCCTCTTCCAAAATTGGTCACTCACTCTATGGCTGTTTGTGGGACACAGTCCGCTTTACAATATATGCTGTGAAGCACTTCCAGACATCTCAACAATGTGACAAGATGCTATATTAGATGCAAGGATTATTGCTATTATTATAACGTCATCAAACCAAATTAGCTTTGTGGCAACTAAGTTTTCATAGCAACATTCCTTTTTGATCCCTCAATGTCGGCTTTTCCTTTCATTGTGAAGAAGAATTTACCAACTAATTCACCCACTAATAAGGATTGTGAACTGGGTTTAGACTGTCGTAAGACAGGTTAGTTTTATCCTATTGATGATGATAATATAATAATAATTCTTGCATTATTTTAGGCATGGTGTCAGCTGTTCATACCAAGACAATTAATGGAGTACCTATGAGACATGTTTACAAATCAAAGGAAATTCAGCTGTATTAGCGGACCAGGTGTGCTGCGTTTGTAATAAACTGATACTATTAACAAATTGACACATGGCTAATCTTATTGCAGGAGTTATATGCTCATCTCCACCTCAGATTTCAAATGGAAAAATGGAAGGAACAAACTTTGACTGGGGTTCAAGCATCAGCTACAGCTGTTCTCCAGGATATGAGCTGTCGTTCCCCGCTATCCTCACCTGTGTGGGGAATGGAACTTGGAAAGGAGAAGTACCACAGTGCTTGCGTGAGTAAATGTTGAGATTTTCAGCATGATGACAGGGCCAATAGATATGAAATAGTCTGTCGTGTGAGAATGTTTTAGTTTCAAAATCATATTCAAGTAATTATGCTACAAAAGTTTAAAAGGGAAAAATTAGCAGCTTTCCTACCAGGCAGGGTGAAACGTTGGGCAAGTTTCCTTTCTCCACACACCTCTGTTTACCTAGCAGTAAGTAGGAACTCAGTTATTAGTTGATTGGCAGATCGATTTTCTGGGGGTTATAATCCTTCAAAAAAAATAATAATTTGGTCACTCAATCCACGACTAGTTGTGGGACACTGCTGTACGCACTTGGCTACCGCATTTCACCGACAAAATATACAGTCAATTCACTTTCCAGTATATTCTGTGAATCACTTTGAGACGTCTCAAAGACGTGATCAGGCGTTATTTCAAATGCAAGGATTATTATTGTTATGTTTTATTTAAAACTGATGATCTTTTAAGATTTTGCTTAATAAATTTTGATGAAAAGTGCTATCTGTGATGGAATAAGGATAATAATCTTTCCATTTATTTATTGCCGTGGAATCTTTAAAATCCACAAGGAGGCAGATGGGAGCTCAGATTAACATCTTATCCAAAGGATGTCACTTATGACAATGCAGTGCTCCCTCAGCAACAATATTGATGTATAATTATAATAAACTCTATAAATTAACATATTGTTGAAATTCTGCCCTGATGACAGTTAAGCATCAATCAGTGTGTGGATGAGAGCTCCCTACTCCCAAACTCTGTCACAACGGATGAGCCCAAAGCCAACTTGTAGCACACACTTGAGAATCTTCAATGATGTGATAATTAAGACTGTTTAATGCAGCTCTTCATCCGAGGAAAGAAACATGGTATTCAGATATATGTTAAAGGATTAATGCTTCAGTATTAATCCTTACATGTGATATTTCATATTTTACATAATCATTTTTGTCCAGTGTTCAGAATGTGACCTACATTAGTTGATAAATGACAGCGCCTAAAATGTTAACATCATTCTCTTTCAAATGCTGATTGACCTGCAGTTTATTTACAACAAAAGACAGGAAAAAGATATCAGCTTGTCTCAGATGGCTGGCTCACTCTTGAAGTTTATGAATTCAAGCCCCATGTCAGGACTTTGAAGTAATTATCTTGGCTGACAGCCCATTGGAGGTGCTGCCCTTTACATGGGACGTTAAACAGAGGTTGCATATGCCTGTTCAGATGGACATTAGAAATCCCATAGCACTTTTTAAAAAGAGAAGTGGCTTTCTCCCAGTCTCATGACAAACAACCCCCCAGATAAAATTGATCATTCACTTCATGGCTAGTTGTGGGATATTGTATGTGCGTAAATTGGCTCCCACATTTGCCTACCCAATACACAGTCACTACACTTTACAGCAAAATCCTGTGAAGTACTTTGAAAGATTTCAATGTTGTGATTAAGTGCTATATCAAATGTAAGGATTTTATTATAATAACATATATTACAATCAACTTAAACTAGTGTGACCATTCAACCACTTAATACCATCATTCCCAAGAATTTAGACCAGCCTTGGAGATTTAATCAGCACATCAAGCTCCAAAAGAAGTCACTAGTAAGAGAGTGATGATTCGATTTTTTAAGGGACTGTCGCTAAATAAAACCAACCAGCCATCAGTCTGATTTAATCGGTAGCTCTCTTACTTCTGAAAAAGCACTTTGTAGGCTTGAGCCTCAGGTCATTCTAGGCAAACTTTAGGCTGGGAATCTGTTTCAGTGTTGAGAGACTGCTGCATTGTTGGATGGGCTGTACCTCAGATGAGGTTTTAAAATTAAAGTCTTACCTGCTTCTTCTGACAAGTCAGAATACCCATTTCAACACTTCAAAGAGCAGAGCTCTCAAATATTCCTCCCTCAACTACATTCATTAAAACATGTTGTTCATTACTGTTTGTGGAATCATAGTGGCGCAGACAGCTGGCAATTGTAACTGCGTAACAACAGTTTTGTAAAGTAATCTTTGTTGTCTGTAGGGAATCCCCTGTACATCATATAAAACAATAGAGGACAAATGAACATTAATAAATACCATTTGGATGTGCTGTTTTACTGAGGTGCTGTTGGCTTGTCTTCACGTGGATGTTACCCACCCCCACAACATAATTTGAAAAGAAAATATTTTTTCCTGATATCCCGGCTGACAATCTTCCAGATGAATCAGTCATTAACCTAATAGCTACTTGTGAGATATTGCTTTGTATAAAATGACTGCTATTTTTGCCTACAAAACAATGTCACATCACAAGACAATAACTGTTGTAAACAGACATTTTGACAAATGTTTTGACATTTTGACATATACGATGCTTTAAAAATGGCAAATTTTTCTATTATTTTAAATATGGATGTATGCTGGTAACACTCTCACCACTGAGTCAGAAGGTTGAAGGTTTTGGATCATTGAGATTTTGAACTCAATCTAGGCTGACACCCCAGGGCAGTGCTGGGGGTGTGCTGTATTGTGGGAGAATAAAACATTAAGCCAAAGTACCGGCTGCCTGTTCAGGTGGACGTTGAAGTTCCCATGGCACTATTTGAAAAGAAAAGGGAATTTCTCTTCCAAATAAAATTTTTCAAGACTGTTTGTGGAATATTACTGTGCACAAAATTGACTGTTATGTTCGCTACAAAATACAATTTACCATAAATCCTGTGCAGCACTTTGAGATTTCCCAATGTGAAAGACACTAAATAAAATGCAAGGTTTATTTTAATTGCATTCAATGTAAGTTCTTTTTCTAACCTGCCTTTCCTTATATTGTACAGCAAAATTCTGTGGGGATCCTGGGGTACCAGCACAAGGAAGAAGAGAAGGAAAGAGCTTCATCTACCAATCAGAGGTCTCATTTAGGTGCAACTCTCCCTTTGTTCTGGTGGGTTCAAGTACCAGGATTTGCCAGGCAGATGGAACCTGGAGTGGCTCACAACCACGTTGCATAGGTACATAAATATGTCAAATTCCAGGAATTAGTTATTTCGTTCTTTCTGTAGCCCAGGTCTTTTAGAATTTGCAGACCTTTATAAAATGCTCAATTGGATTGAGAAAGTAAACTGAGAACAGTTCTTTCAGATAACTTAAAGCAGCAGGATAAGAGGACATGGGTTGTAAAGGGGAATTTTAGGAGAGATACCAAGAAAAAAGGTAATTAATGGTTGGACAGATGAGCAGCAACAGTGGTTGAGGCTAGAATATTGGACTCTTTTAAGAAACGGCTTGATGCTGTATTCTGGAAGGATTCGATCCTTTCAATGTTTGGAGTTGGATTTGATCCAATTAACTGAAGGGCCTTCTCTATCTCTATCTCTCTTTTGTAATCTTCTGATTAGAATTGAGCTTGGGCACCTCCTATAGCTCAGTTGGTAAAACCACTACTTGTGAAATGGAAACAAACAAGAACAGGTTCAGTGTCTAAGACTGAGGGGGCTGGGGTGGGGGAGCAAATCAGCTCAGATTCCTGCTCCTGTTTGTTGTGCAGTCACTCCTGCTGGTAGATATGAATGATGATTGAGGACAGGGTCAGGCTCAGCTGTTGAAACTCTTGTCAGGATTCACTGGCTTGGCTCAGCCATGAACAATGACCATTTGATATCAAAGGGTTGCAAGGCTTATAGAACCACACAATTTCTTTAGTCAGCACCTCTGGGATCAGAAGAGAAAAAAGGGGATAAAACATAAAGATATAAAAATTTCCTTCAGGAGAGAGGAAGATTGGTGCATTACTTTCTGGAAAGTTACAAAGCAATAATTTGTTGATTTGAAAAGAATTACCAGATTTCAATTAAAATTAGAATTTTGTACTTAAACCAGAAAAAAATGAACCAACTAATATTTCTTCTTTTCCCCTCTTTTAGAACCTACACACACAACGTGTGTAAATCCAGGAATGCCGCGACATGGGACACAGAATAATACATTTGGCTACCAAGTGAGTAAACAACATGTGATTTTACATGAACATTTGGTGTCTGTTACCTACATCTATATGCACTATGTTTCACATTAAAAGTCTCAGAAGTTCCAGACAAAATGTAATGATGCATCCACTGAACCACAAAATAAGAGATAAAAAGATGTTAACTAAAGGCACAGTTGAAGATGAATGTTTTGAGGAGGTTTTTGAAGGTAGAGCAGTAGCTAGGCAGAGTAGTTTGGGAGGAGTGTTGAAAGGACAAAAGCAAAAACAGAAGTTGTTGGGAACACTCAGCAGGTCAGGCAGCATCTACGGAAACTTGTTTTCAGATCCCTTTATGCCCTGACGCCTCCCTAGCTCTCCCACCTGCTTACCCCCCGAGCCTCTGCTCGACTGGCTCCAGACATCTGCATGTCCCTCATGCCCTCCGTTCCACGATTGGTGACCGGGCTTTCAGTCACGAGACCCCGAAACTCTGGAACACTATTCCTCTATGCCTCTGCCTTTCTCCTTCCTTCCCCATCTTCAGGTTGCACCTGAAGACCTTCCTATTCGATCATGCCTAAGGTCACCTCCCCTTCCCCTGGCTCAGTGTCGTGCTCCGCACCGTCAAGCGCTCTGGGATGCTACCCTGCATGAGGGGCACTATATAATAATAATAATAATCCTTGCATTTGATATAGCGCTTTTCACGTCGGGAGGACGTCCCAAAGCGCTTCACAGAACACACTGTAAAGTGAATTGACTGTATATTTGTGGGCGAACGCGGCAGCCAATTGCGCACAGCAATGTCCCACAAACAGTCGTGGATTGAAAATGACCAATTTATTATTGTTTTTGGTTTTGGAGGGATTATTATTAGGCTCTGTGTGGAGTAAGGAAACTTGCCCAAGGTTTCGCCCTCTGCCTGGAACTGAACTCAGGTCTCTCGCTCGCAAAGCGAGTGCTCTAACCACTGAGCTACAGGACTCCACATATAAATGCAAGTTGTTGTTATATAGTGGCTTTTACATGGAATAAAGTACTTTTCAGGAACAGTGTGGAAACCCAAAATGAGCAAAGTTAGAAGTAAAGACATAGAAAGGAGGTTGGAGGGTTAATGTTGCCAGTGGAACTGTAGGAGAGTAGGGAGCAATCATAGTAGTTCATGTAGGGTCTGGACATCAAATAATGAAAACACTGATGATGTTATAATACTACAACACTTTGCATTTATATAGCATTGAAAGTGGTAGTATATACTTATGCATTATATCATGTACCAGAACTCCATGTAAATATAATTATGTATCAGGTGCAATTCTATTTATTTTTTCTATTTAAGAGGTCTCACTTTTCAAGTCACTGGTTTCTGGCAAAAAAAAATGTTGCCATTATGTATTTGCACTTATTAGGTCAGATAACTCCAGTCATTACTTGGAGTTTGGAAAGTGAATGTAGAGGTACTAATGCAATGCTTAAAGTATAATGGAGCACATCTAGGTTAGGCTGAGATCATCTCAGTGCTGGCTGAACCTCAAGCATTTGGAAGAAAAATGTCAGCAAAATATCACCAATTTAAAGATTTATTCTGTCAGAAGGAATCGCTTTAACCATATTGGATACAGCAAAGATCAGAGCATTGCAGGAAAGCAAAGCCCCGAAAGGTGTGAATTCCTATTTTGCAGAGTCCTTTGAAAAAGCCTTGAAATAGTGTTTTATATTCAAACCTCGTGCTTAAAAGGGACAATAATCTTTCTAATTGGAATGAATTAGAAGTCACAACCAGTTCTACATTTTCTAATTTAGTTGAGACAGCAGTCTGAGGACATAACACTGTCATTCAAAGCTTGGCCTACAACTAAGCTACATGTAAAATTCTCCATATATTATTTCAATTCAGCAATTTCATTATAGCTTTGGATTTAGAAACTGTTCAGAGATTTTGCCGAAGTGCTTAAGGAATAATTTGTCCCTGGTTCTTTAGACTACTTTCACTCCAGGATGAGTGTGAAGGGGTCCTTGTGGATTACAGTCATTAGAAAATTTCACGTATATCAGCAAATTTTAAGATTCATTTTGTAGAAAGGATTAAAGCATTATCTGGAAAATCAAGGAATTACATGAAAGGGCACCAGTCTCAGATGAATTTTGCCTCAGTCCAATCATTCTCCTTTCAGAATCGGAGAAATCAGCAGTTGTTGCTTATGATTAAGGGCTAAAGTACAGCTAATCCATTCTGCAGGTCTTCATGTTCTTGAATTTAAACATTGTGCATCCCCAAAAATGTCACTGATTTTTTTTTTCTCTCTCCTTTTATCCCTGCCTCTGAAAGTTGTTACATATAATGTGCATTGAAAAATAATTCTCCGGCTTAGCTGTCTTCACTGGGGCTCTCGCCAGAGAGATGGGAAATTAGAAAGTTGTAGGTTCAAGCCCCATAGCAGGACTTCACAAGATCACAAGAGGAAGAAGGCTCTTCAGCACAATTGAACTCGTCCTTCCAGATACCCTGGCCAACTGTCCTCCCATCACAGCATCAAACTTTTTTTCAATGAGTCCGATGTCCTGGTGTCAACCACCCTTCCTGGCAACCTGTCCCAGTCATTAATTATCCTTCTGTCTGTTATAAGATTACTCTTTACAATTTTAATATATTGAGCTGCTAATTTAGATTGACATTCAAGTTCAATATTAAGGTAACATTAGATATCCGATGGCCTATTATCATCAAGCTACTGAATGAAATTTGTATGTGTGGCATGGAGTCCATCTATGAAACCCCATTGAAAACCACCATGCTTTGGACCTCTGTATATGGAGACCTTCATTTGAAGTTCCGGGACTCACACACATGGGGAGACAAGTATACCTTGTTCTTCCGAGCAAGATTCACAAGTCTTGGCATTCAGTTTTTCCGGAAAGCACTAAATAGTATTGCTAATATGCTCTTTCAGTTTCTATTGTTTTCTTCATGACAGAGAAGCCAATATCTTGTATCAGATGTTTTCGGGAGAAGAAAGGATTTATCAAGGGTCATTGCTTTGATGTCTCAAACTTAGAATAGCACATGAGATGGAATATTAAAATGTACCCAATAACATTTCGTTAATGAGATGTAACAGCAATTTAAAATCAACATTTAGAAAGCGTAGGTCGTGACTGTCTATTTCCCAATCACATTGTAATGGAAGTAGTCATTTGTTCTGTGCAACATAATTTGGTCAGTAGCTTTTATTTTGATTTGCTTATTTGTTTGTCAAATACAATTACATCAAAAGCAAAACTGGAAACAATTAAGAGGTCCCTACACCTCTCAGTGACCAGTAAACCAGACAATCTAATACTTGGTGATGTTTGCACTCCAGCCAGTAACCGACACCTTACTGTATTCTCATTATATTTCCATTCATGGAAATGGCAGCGCAGGATTTGGTGAAGCCTTAAATTCTACCTAGTTTCAATCCGTAAAACAATTAAAAGTTAAGATGGTCCAGGATTGTAGAACATTCTTAAATTCAGTCTTAGTTTGGAAGTTTTTTTAAAAAAAAAACAGCTTCCAAGTTGAGAATGATTTTTCTTTCAAAATTTCATACGATCTTAAATTTTAAGACAAAATGTTCTTAGACTATGTAAGTTTTCAGACCTCTAGAAAGATAAGGTTTTTCTCACTCAATATACCATTGACAACTAAGAAAAGATCTTCAGCCCTTAATGAAAGGAGAAAGCTGAGATTTAAAAAAAGAACGGCATAGGTCTGCCAGGAATATGTCGAGATAAAAACTAAAACGGTTTTGGCAACATGTGGTTTTCAAAACATAGCCTTGAATTGGGATCATTATCTTCCTGCTGAGTGTGAGGCTGAGGTCTGGAAATGGAATGTTACATTGGAGAGCCTCGCCTGTTAAAATCAAGGCTGAAATAAAACACGAATTGCAAGTGATATTGCTGAGATCTTGCTACCGGATCAAGAGCCTTGGAACATAAGCTGTGTTTCCTGCACAGATCTCCCGCGCCCCCCCACCATGTACATCACCTTGATTCATGTGACCTCAGCTTCGAGTTGATCTCATGTTGGAGTTAAGGTGTCTCTCAATTCATTCCAAACTGTTTTGTGATGAACCTCAAACTGTGCAGGGACCTGAGATTGAGAAAAGTAACCTCCTACATCCGTATCTAAACCTCACAAGTGATGACCACATTTTCATTTGGGTTAACCATTACTGCTTTATAATTTTTGTCCTTTTTAAAAAAAACTGAAATGGTACGTCTCTACGGGCTAATTTTTTCAACTTTCCTCCATTCTGTGTAGCATTACAGGTTACATTTGTAAACCATCCCTTTGGCTCTGTATCTCGCTCTCTCTCTCTCCTCTTTCCCAGGATTTGGATCACTTGATAGGAATCACACAGAAATCTGCCCCACTGCATGTTCTAATAATTGTATACTTTCGGTGTCCGAATGACTTGTTTTCCTCGAGCTGTTTACATTCACAGAAGTTGGCTCCTAATTAGGACAAGGAGTTGCTGGTTGCTCTCCTTGTAATCGATAAATAGGGAATCAGGGGCCTTAGAGAGTACAATTAATTCATCCAGCTGGCAGCTTCGGAGTTTGGAGTTGATAAGTGGAGAGATAAGAATTTAGAATTCCCTCAGCCATAAGTGTAAATGGTTGTGGATGATCATTAATTGTTTCATCCTCAGTCATGGATTAAACCTAATCCTTTTTACACTGGCCAGAAAGAGCCAGTCTCTCTCACTGAAAAGACGTCCAAAAGATTCGGACTCTTGTCGAAGCATAAGTACAGGAAGGCAGAATATTTTGGAGAACACAAGTGACATTTCTGATGTCCTTGTGCACACTTTATGTCCAAGCGTGATCTGGGATTGAGCTTTGAAGGGGCAAAATTATATTTGATCTTTTATCATCTCTCTTCAACCAAAGTGGGGTACCAATTCAAGTTAGATTTACACACATATTGTCTTCAAACAAGTTTCCTTCATAGACTGATATTCCTAGAAATATAATGTAATGTTTTCCTGGGGCTTCCCTCCATGTGTGAGATTCAGGACTGAGCTACCAACTGGATTTGCTGCGATGAGAAAGAAACAAAAAGTGCCTCTAGGGTTTCTTTCTCCTTTAATTTGTGCTTAAATCGAAAATAAATTGTGCAGCACGCAGTCAATCATGAATTATTGGCAAAAAGGAACAGAGCTGGACCAAATTGAAAAGATGAGCCATACATTGATGACTTTATTTGTGGAGTCCTATGGCTCAGTGGTTAGAGCACTCGCCTTGAAAAGAGAGACCTGGGTTCGATTGCTGGCAGGGTGAAACCTTGGGCACGTTTCCTCACTCCACATGCTTGATAATAATCCCTCAAGAAAAAAAAATCCATGACTGTTTGTGGGACACTGTTGTGCACAATTAGCTGCAATGTTTTGCCCACAAATATACAGTCAATTCACTTTGCAGTATAATCTGTGAAGCGCTTTGAGATGTCTAGAAGATGTGAAAAGCACTATATCAAATGCAAGAAATAGTATTATTATTATATAATAATAATAATCCTGCATTTGATAAAGTGCCTATTCACGTCGTTGAGATGTCCTAAAGCATTTCATAGAAGAGATTGTAAAGTGGATTCACTGTATTTTGTGGGTGAAAATGCCACTGCCAATTGCACACAGCAGTCTCCCACAAACGATTGTGGATTGAGTGAATCAAATTTATTTATTTTTTTGGAGGGATTATTACCCACAGAAACCAGTCCGCCAATCGACTAACACCAGAGTTCCTACTTATTGCTTGGTAAATAGAGGCATGTGGAGTAAGGAAACTTGCCAAAGGTTTTGTCCCACTTGGGAATTGAACTCGAACCCGGGTTCTCTCGCTTGTGAGGCGAGCTCGCTAACCACGAAGCTACGGGACTCCGGGACTTCATTTTCAATGTATTGATCTGTATATTTTATAGGTAGGAAGTGTGGTCCAATTTCACTGTAAGAAGGGACATTTGCTACAAGGATCTACCACTCGGATTTGCCTTCCTGATCTCACCTGGAGCGGCATTCAGCCAGACTGTATACGTAAGTAAATCAATTCAGAAGAATTCAGCGATAATAATAATAATCCATGTCTCAAAATGCTTCACACGATTATCTATAAAGTGGAGTAACTGTATTTTATAGGTGAACATTGTATCAAATGCAAGGACTATTTATTGTACATTTGCATTTACAATTGGTCATCAAAGGTTTTATACAGGTTAATGAGAAGATGGTAGTATCTTTCACATCAGGAATATGTTTTTAAAGTGCTTTGTACAGCTGTCTGGAGCTGAAACTGGGAGTAGATGGCCGGTAAAAGAAAGATGACTGAAATCACAGTCCAAAAGATAGGTCTTATGGTGGACTTTCAAGGTAGGAAGTTACAATGAACCAAAGATGTCTTAGTTAAAATGAGAGTTGTAAAAATAGTATTTTCAAACAGGAAGCTGCTACCATTGTAGAGACTGAATGAAATGGGTTTGAAAGCTTTTCTTGTGGAAGAAGAGAGAAACAGGCAGCCTTCATTCCTGGCAGCGAGAGAAAATTATTAATTGTCAAGCATGTAATATTTATTTTCAGAGAAGGGGGTAAGCAAGCAGCCCACAGTTTTTGAAGTTTTCTTTTTTTAATTAAAATTTTAATCTGGTTTTAATGAAACGAGTTTGCAGTGCTACCCCTCCAGTCCTGTCTAAATACTCTCAAAGTCATGGGTGGAGGGGTGAGGTGGGGGCCTCACTCCCTAAACTGTCATTGGGGCAGGTGTTTTATGGACTTGTATAAACTGGGTTTGGGGGCATATAATATTACTGGTGATAATTATCACATCACATACCGCATTCTCCCCACTTTTTTCCATCAGTAATGTTAAGCTGCAGGCATTCTTTCTCACACATGCCAAAGCTTGCTCCCCACGTGCTGTTCCTGAACAATAGCTCTCTCGCTTGGGCAGAGGGACTGTCGAAACTCACTGTCACCAAAGAGATGTATGTTTTGGTTTTGAATTTTTTTTAAAACGCTTTTGTAAAGGTCAGCCTGCTGAGACTTATGCACAGTCGTGAATTAAACAAAAAGCCATTACTGTCAGTGATGATTTTAATCTTATCTTATCTCTTTTGGGTATTCTCCATGTTCTTTACCTTGCTTCTTCCTGAGATGAGTACAGTTACCTCACCGAGAAGCAAGATAACAGCCAGTTGCTTGGCCTTTACCCATGCTGTCTTCAGCTAACTGCTCAAAGGAGCAGAGGAATAGTCAAAGGCAACTCTCATGATGTTACGCCAACCCCTTTGAAGTTTTGTTTAGTTCCTTCCTCATTGGTAGAACTGGGAACAGGCCCATTATTTTGTGTTGCCCAGACTTTCCTCACATTTTGTCATTTTACAGAAATCCCATTGGCTCTTTTGCAAATGTCACACATTCAACTTCATTGGCATCCATTTATTGTTCAGAAATTTATAATTCAATGAAGAGATCAATCTTATAATAATAATCCTTTTGATACATGGCTTCTAATGTTGAAATGTTTCAAAGTGCTTTCCAGTAATTACTCTGAAGTGTCGTGACTGTGTACTTGTAGGCGAGCATGCCAGACAATCTGTACAGGGCAATGTCCCACTTTTAACAGCCACAAAAACAAATGACTAATTTTATTTGGGAAATGTTGGCCAGGAGACCTCAGGAGAAACAGGAATCTACACAATAATTAATCATTTTCTTCTGTACGCATGTTGAAATACTTTAAACTCCAGGGTATGGCAGATTTGGTGAGGAAATGAGACCAACTGAAAAGAAAATGTACTGCTTTTATTTTCTGCAAGTTGTTATTTATTTATTTTCACTAACTGGTACAAATGTTATCACTACAGCTCACAGCTGCAAACAGCCAGAGACACCTGTCCATGCTGATGTGGTTGGCATGGACCTACCTTCATTGGGCTACATCCTCCTGTACACCTGCCAACCTGACTTCTTCTTGGCAGGAGGATCAGAACATAGAGTGTGCAGGTCTGATGGGACATGGACAGGGAAGGCACCAGTCTGTCATGGTAAGAATTAACCCAGTTCACAAAAGACGCAGATTATAGGTAATCTCTGCATTGGTCAAAAGCAAGGAATCAGACCTCTTTCCACATACATCCTAATTGCACTAACTGCAAATAATTGTAGCTTTCTGTTATGCATGTATCATTCTCCATTCCCAAAACTGCCATAAAAGATAAATGGAAGCTTTGCAGAATTAGCTTGCTGAGCACTAAATAACTCGTAACATGTACAGCAACAGTGAAAATATGGTCAGTGTACGAAGTATGTGAAATATTAGCTAATATTTGTATTATTATTGTTTTCTAGTATAATTCTGAAAAGCCTATGAAATTGTTTAATATGTACAGCTACTTTATTGCCCTAATATTAACCTCTATAAATCTAAAGTGACTTTTATGTTTGCTATGTTATCAGCCACTCACTGAGTTGAATTCAACCTTATTTTGTGCCGTAAAGGAATGTACGCCCATGGAGTAGAACGACAACAACTTGCATTTATATAGCTCCCTTCGCACAGGGTAGCTTTTCGGAGCGCTTAACAGTGACGGAGCTTGACGCCAAGCCGGCAGAGGTGACCATTGTCACAGCTGAAGGGGAAAGTCTTAAGGCAGTATCTGAAAATGGGGAATGAGGGGCAAGGCAGAGGAATTGAGGGAGAGAATTCTGGGGTGTAGTGGTTGAAAGTATGGCCGCCATCAGAGAGGTCTAGGGACATGCAGGAGGCCAGAGCCAGTAGTCCAGTGGTGTGAAAGGTGGAAGATGAACTAGATGGACCTTGGTCCTTTTTCATCCAGCATTTCTTATGTTCTTATGTTCTTATGGTTAAAATGTCTTTAAAGACAGGTTTGGAACTGAACTCTCTCCCTCTCTTGCCCCAAACTTCTAAGGAATGGTTTCTCCTCTCAATTTCAAAATTTTAAATGCTGACGTTTTTCAAAGATTGAGAGAGTCATGAAGGATTTTAACGTTATCAAATGTTGCACTTCAACATTTAATTTTAGATTTCAATTGTAATTGTTAGAAGTGGAAATGATTTGCTGCTCCCATGATTATGAATATTTCCAGCCTCCCAATCTTCCGTAACTTTATAAAAATGGCATTGATTATGGGGGGGAGGTGGTTATCGCAATCACCTACAAATGCACAGTCAATCTTGGGAAGCATTTTGAGAGTTTTCAATGATGTGAGTAAATGATGCATCAAATGCAAGGAGTTTGTTATTATTATTAGAAGCCTGCAGTTATTCCTGGCCTGGATACAGTAATTCAAACTCTGTCTGAAAATTAAGATTAAAAGATAAAATTAAGACACTGTCCTGTAATAAGTCCTTTGTGATCCTCACTGACAAAATGAAATTGACATTTTGGAGTTTGAAAATGTTTGAGGATGGAAATGTGGAACAATTTAACTTTTTTTGGTTATTATCGAATGCCTAATTTTTCCACTAAGAAATTGATTTCTATTGACACTTCTCTGTACCATGTTTGTGAATGAGTTTTAAAATGAATGGTGACTGTCATATAAAGTAGCTGATGGTTAGCTCAGTGAACACCATTATTGAACCATGCCTGTACAGGAATATTGTATCGAAATTGGAGCTGAAAAATGTCTTTTTTATTTTAATAGCTGGTTCAAAGAGATCAGAGAAAAGCAGCAGACCTTCAATTGGAACACCAAGCCCAAAACTGAATGGTGAGTGTATTTCATCAACATAAGAACATACATAAGAACATAAGAAAAAAGACCAAGGTCCATCTAGTTCGCCTTCCACCTTCCTGGCACATATGTCCCATGCACATATGTCCCAAACTACCTATGTACAATATCCCATAATGTTATTTTCTAAAAGAAAATTATCTAATATGTGTTTGAAAGAATCAACACTTCCTGCTTCAACCGTCTCCCTTGGGAGCTGTTCCACTGATTCACCATTCCCTCACTGAAGTAGTGTTTGCATAGATTCATTCTGAATTTACCCCTCTTCAATTGTATGCCGTGTCCTCTGGTTCTACTATTTTGGATAAGTTGAAACAGCCTGTCATGATCTATATTGTCTTGTTCCTTTAAAATCTTAAAGACAGCAATTATGTCACCTCTCACTCTTCTCTTTTCCAGCATAAACATGCCCAATTTACTTACTCGCTCTGCATAGTCCAGTCCTTCCATTCGCTCAATCATTTTGGTTGCCCACCTCTGTATCTTCTCGATTTCTCTAATATCTTTTTTGTACTACAGCGACCAGAACTGTTGAGCTTCAATTTATTGTCAATCAGGACTTCCAGGTCCTTTTCAATTTCCATACATATTATTTTCCTTCTGTTTAAATAATAGTCCCTTCCTGGATTTTTTGTCCCCATGTGAAGTACTTTACATTTCTCCTCATTGAATTTCATCTGCCACTGCCCAATTCCCAAGAATATTCAAAATCTCCATAGATTTCTTCTCGTCATTGTCTGGATACTGATGTTACCATTTGTGTATTTATCAGTACATTTACACTTGTTTTGTGTTAACACAAAAGCCAATCAGGAACCTCGGCGATCTGTTCAACCCTGAGCTGTCCTTTCTTCCTCATATCCACGCCACAACTGGCACCGCCTTCCATCACCCCGAAACATCGCCAGACTACGGCACTACCTCACCCCTCACGCTGCTGAAACACTGGTCCAAGCCTTTATCACCTCAAGGCTGGACTATGGGAACTCTCTCTTCGCCGGCCTTCCCGGCACCTCCCTCCACAAGCTGCAGGTCATTCAGAACTCTGCAGCTCGTGTACTGTCCCGCACCAGGCTTCGGGACCACACCACTCCCACCCTCGCTCGCCTCCACTGGCTCCCCATCCCCCAGAGGATCGAATACAAGATCCTCATCCTCATCTACAAGGCCATTCACAGCCTTGCTCCCTCCTACCTCTCCGACCTACTATCCCCCTACTTACATGCCCGTACCCTCCGTTCCTCTGGCTCCGGTCTGCTCCACATCCCCCGCCCCAACCGCCCTACCCTCGGTGGTCGGGCCTTCAGACTCTCAGACTCTAGGCTCTGGAACTCTATCCCCCAGTGCCTTCGCCTTGCCTCCTCCCTTTCCTCCTTCAAAGCCGGTCTCAAGAGCTTTCTTTTTGACCGTGCCTTCAGCTCCCCTCTCAACTCTCTACCCACTCCTTGCTCCCTCCCTTCCCTCCCCTCACCCTGACCATTTACCCCCCTGCTTGGGTCCTGACCCAACTGTCCAGCGCCTTGGGACGTCCTCCCGATGTGAAAGGCGCCCTATAAATGAAATCTTGTTGTTGTTGTTGTTTTTGATTTTTGAGACAGAATAGTAAAATATTAACTGCAAACACATAAAAGAGCACAGGAAGGCATAACAAATAAATATTGTGGCAATATTTCAATGAGTCATTCAGCTCATCATTTCCAGTTTTATCTGAGGGATAATTGACAGACAGCTATGTAAATGTTGGGGACTGAAGTTTCTCTTCTCAGTATTTTTGAAGATCAAGCCATTGGACCCTGGCTTAACTCAGTCATCAAACATTGACTCTGAGTTGGTAAAAATGTACTTGTGTGCCATATTTTTTGTGCCAGTATTAAAGATAGCATCCAAATAATTTTCAAAAACGCTCCTGCAGAGGAAACCATCGTGCTAAAGTTACGGGGTGTGGAGAATGAGTCAGACTTCAAATGAGTCAATAATGGTACGACGACACAATTTGCTATCATGTTGCAAATTCCTCCTCCTTGTGTTTAAAATCCTCTGTTGTAATGCTTCTTTGGTAAGTCAAAATATCTTAATGTTGCACTAATATTTCATGGAGTTGCACTTTAGTTCTTTATAGTTCATTGCTAACACTTCTGCTCGTTCTGTACAGTTCCAGATGATGTCTTTGCCCCACTTTACATTTGGAAAGGATCTTACAATTACAAAGGACAGAAGCAGCCGATGACATTGAAAGTCACCAGCTACAACATATCGACAGGCAGAGTAAATGCAACACTGACAAACAGCAACATGGAACTTCAGCTTTCAGGTACATTTCTGTCAAATGATATCTCTGAATGAATCTCCTCAGAGCAATAAATATGTAGATCCCATTCTGATTCAAATAAAATGGATAGGGTTTAAAACAAATAATCCCCAAGATAACACTGATTTTCACTTCATGGCAACACAACAAATTGCATTTAGTTTAACTGCATTGCATGGCAGTTTTTGAAACTGATTGAATTGACTGCCGTGATCACTTACAAAAGTATATAGTTCCTACACTAAACAGTAAATCCTGTTAAGCGCTTTTAGATATCTTCTCGATGTAACCACAGTACAATTAGATTTATATAGCTTTGTACACATCGGACAGATGTCTAAAAGTGCTTGACACTGCTATGTGAGCATCCGGGTCGTTTTGGGAGCCAAAGATGGTGAGGCGGGAAAGATGAATGAAAGCGCACTCAAACAGAAGCTGACCTTGAACAAGATGAGGGAAAGAGAGAGTTCCAGAGAATGGGAGCATAATGGCTGAAAGCCTGTCCACTGATGGTGGTTGTGGGGAATATGAAGCAAGTCTGTGCTCACTAATTGAAGAATTATTAGATTTGTGGCCCATTGCTGTGTTCAAATTCACTACCACGTTCAACTCCATACACTTGAATACACAGTCACTACACTTTATAGTAAATCCTATGAAGTGAAGTGCATTAAATGCAATGATTAGTAGGTATTTGAACATAGAAAGCTTGCTAAGCATTTTCCTGAAGGGCAAATAGGGGAGCATGAGAGACATAATAACAATTATTGAGTTTGATGTGGTGAACAGTTTGTGAGAACATTCAGTTACCATACGTAAAGACAGTAAGACGTTAGCAAATATATGCCATGGAGGAGGATGCAAATGTCACTATTTTGGATCCATAGCAAAAAGCCTAAAGCAAGAATTTGAAAATCCTGGGAATAAAAAATATATTTCAGAAATGATTCATTATTTATCAGATGTTATAAAGTACATTTTTCATCAATTTTTAATATCTGTCTGTGGGTGGGAACACCCCTCTCACATTAATTCCTGACTTCAGAACAATGATTCTTAAAAATACAAAGCTGCACAGGTTGAACAAACTGCTCTGGTGTATTTGGACATCAATACATTTGTAAACAATATTTGTTTCTCTCACATATTAGGTATCTACAAAAGTCAGGAAGCGCGACTTATGCTTTTGATGTATAAAGTGAAAACCGCAGGTCAAGCTTCTGCAAGCAAGATTAAAGACAAGTGGGCTATGGATGGTTATGTAAGTGTCCTGCCACAAACTCCTCAGTTGGCTTAGGTAGCTGACTAATTTCTTACTGAATGTCTATCTCATTTCTCAGCAATACCTACAAGCTAGTCAAGTATAAAATGCTAAAGATGTCACCATCACAAACAAGACCATCCCCAATATACAATAATAGAACTATTGTTTCATTCAACCTTAATGGATTGAATAGTTCTCAATAATAATTCTTGCATATTTGATATTCAATGCCAGGAAAGCATCTCTAGACACGAAGAACTTCTCCCAGAAGTAACCTCATGGACTGATCAATAGGAGCTCATCTCAGAGCTGAGGTTGCCTTGGAGCTTAGTTCTGGAGGGTTTGATAATACCTAGGGTTCTCTGGAGGAGATGTACTTCAGGAGTATCAATGGACTATTCAACTGTGGAGTTCATTTCAGCTGAATCAAAGATCACAAGATTCTAAAATTGGTTTAGATAAGGGAGGCACTTCATCTCATCAGATCTCATCCTTCCAGAATACCAATCCTGCTATTTTCCCATCACTGTAGCAAGCTGTGTTTTTTTAAATGAGCTCAGCATCCTGACTTCAACCACCCATCCTGGTAACTTGTTTCAGTCCATAATTATATTCTGGGTAAAGAGATACTTGCTGGAGTCTGTTCTACAGTTGCTCTTTGAAATCCTAAAGCTGTGGGCCTGTTTTTCTACTGTCTTGAGTTTTCAATCCCATCAAGTTGAGCACAGTAAGTCTTCAAAGGAGACATCTCAATTCCATTTAAAATATCATATGCCTCCATAAGGTCCCTTCTGAGATGTCTCATTTCAAGATAGAATGTGCTCAACCTGACAAGTGTTCACACGCATCAATAATGATTGGTTGTGATCAGAAACAGGCTATTTTTGTTTCCTCTTCCCCCATTGCTTGCCCGGGGTCTGTGAGATCAATTGTAGAGTCCCTAGATGTGCTCCAACTGAGACAAGTTACATCAGTATAGATCGGGGGAAACAAACCTGAACCTTCTGTGTCTATATGGCTTAATATCACATTGGGTGATGGCTTTAGTAACTCAGCCATCAGGGGAGCTGGATGTATTTCTAATCAGAGTTGCATCAGCTCACCAGCTGCTATCTATTGATGTGCGTATGTTCTTAAATAGCAAGAAGGCAAAACCATTCATGAGCTGCTGTAAATAATTTAAATCCATGTTAAATCACTGCACACATCTCTGAATAACAGCAACAACAAAAAGGAGGAAAAGAGGAAAGAAGCCAGAGGCTGTATGTCTCTTACCTGCCCATAATCCTCTATGTACATCCTATAGGACTCTCCTGCAAATCAGTTTCAGGTATCGCTCAACACTAAAATGCACAGTACCAAGAATATAAAGCCCAGTGGGTCTATTTTCAGTGACTTTTGCTTCCAACTGTCATGCTGTAACAGTGCAGATCTTGTCTCCTGTGTGGTGCAGCAAACTAACATGGATTTACATTATTAATACCAGCAGCTGATAAAAGGCTTTCCATTATTTCTGTTTAGGATGAGAATGTCATTTGCCAGGTATTTCAATGCATAGCAGCTGGTGGCCTAACTTCAAGCTGTCATTACAAAAGATTTTGCAATTGGTTCCGTTGCAGTTGACAGCAGCTTTGTGGTGTGGGGGATATTTTAACTGCAAAATTAATTTCATGTTTGCTCCTAACAGAGTTGGGCATTAAGCTAGATGGCCAGCTAGTGAGTTGACTGATTGTTATTCTCTACAGTAGACAGAAGCTGTTTCATGTGGGCCATTTCCATTAATGTCAAGATCACGAAAATGTTAAATTCAGTTCTTGAGATCTAATTTGTATAATTATCAGATTTCTAAAACATTGAAAATGCTGATGAATGCATCCTAAAATATCAAATGTACATTTTTCAGCACACTCGTGGGTAGAATTTTCACTTTTACTCAAATAAAATAACATTTTGAAGTCAGATTTTTGTAGGTTTCTTTTAAGAAGCTACAGAAAACTGAATTCCACAATTTGACCAATTCTGCACACTCTGAAATATCATGTTAGTGGAGTCATTCTGAATCCACGTGGAATTCCTACCCATTCATCAAATGTTTCAGTAATTCAATAATTACGCATTTCATATTACGACAACTGTTAAGAAATAGTGCAGATTAATTCCACTATGAATACTAACATTAATTTATTTCCACTAGGTTTCTGCTGAACCTGACGGGGCCACATATGTTTTTCAAGGATTTATACAGGGTGAAGATTATGGGCAGTTTGGATTGCAGAGATTAGGTAAATCCTGCTCTTTGAATATACCAAATTCATAGTTATGCACATTTTTAATTAAGCAATGATGTTACAGGTAATACGAGCTGTACAGTTGTTCAGTGATTATTATTATTAAGAATAATACAGTACCTTTCACATCAGGAGGATGCCTCAAAGCAGTTCAAAGGATTCATTGTAAAGTGTAGTGGCTTTATATTTTCGAAGGTAAAACACGGCAGCCAAGTTATGCACAGCAATGTTCCCACAAACAATCATGGTCAGTAAAAGACCAATATCATCTGGGAAATTGTTGGCCAGGACATTGGGAGAAACTCCCTTCACTTTTTGAATATGTAAATGCAGCATCGAATTTGCATACAGTAATTCATGTTCTACAAACAGCCATGAAGTGAATGACCAATTTTATATTGCTGTATAGTTTGTGTGGTGGTGATTACACCAAGGTGGCATTAGTATGCTTTTCAAACAGGACTTGTCTCCAGCTAAATGCCCGAGCTATGAGCAAGAAACACTTGCTATCAGTCTGTGCCTTAGGATACTATTGCATAAATGTATGTATGGTGGTACTGAACTGGTCTTCTAACTGTTTTGTTTTTCAAATATAAAATAATTTTTGAGAAAATGAATTGAATTGCATTTTTAAAAACTGTCAGCATCAGAATCATTACCAGTCTCACAGGCCTCCCTTGTGGAGAGCTTTTTGTTCTTCCTCTCATTTGCCACACGCTGTCTCTTGGTGAGTGAGTGGACAGGTGACCTACTCTTTGGTGATCAGTTTGGTGATCTGTTGCTTGACCTATAAATTCACCTACAAATACACAATCACTGTACTTTACTGTAAAATACTGTGAAGCTATTTGAGAGGTGATAAGGCACTATATCAAATGCAAGGATTACTGATATTATTGACCTTCACTGAATGACATTGTGGAACTTGAGCTCATCCTCTGGGCAAGCATGAATCTCACAACCCAACACTTTGTGGGATCACATACCTGCTCCATTAACTGCCCCATTCCAGGACAACTAATTTGAAGAAAGTATGTGTTTGTATCATGAATTAAGACATGATTTTCCTATAGATACTAGTGATCCAACTCTATTTTACGTCCAGACATTTATGGTATCATAGAATACATGCATTGGCGGCATTGGATAATGCTGTAACTCTTTTCTACTGTAACAGAATAGTAAATCTCAGGCCAAGCTTCCATCATATTACTCTCACATTATAAAGCATGAAATCCAAAGAATTTCTCTTGCAGGAGAATTTACAATCATTTTAAAATGGCTTATCGAGTTTTGTCCAAGGAAAAAAAAGTATTAATTATGATTAAGATGGCATTCTAATTAGTGTATTTGCATAGCCATCATTCCTTTTCAGTAACTGATTAATCATTCACATTAAAGACTTGGGTCCTGTCCAATTCCTGTCCAAGATACTGCTGTAACATGTAGTTCACAAGATTTCAGGAACTAATTGTGGTTGAAGTGCTCATATAATGCATTTCTCAACTCTGTAGTGGACAGTAAATGCAGAGCACCCAGCACTCACGCTTATTTAACCTGAAGGTACAAGCACATTCATTCAGCGACTTGAGTTCAAAACAAGTGACAAGGATGAGCAGGAATTCTAAAGCCTAGATTCCTCTCACCAGAGCAGTTGTCGGTCAAACATTGGAGTGCAGCAGATGAAACCTTTTTGAGTCTGTTAAGAGTTTGCAATAAGATCTATCGATACAAAACAATACAATATCAAAAACTGCAAATGCTGAATTGATTCATTTGCTATTTCTGAGTCTGGCAAACAACCAAAAAAAGGTTCTAATTGATGTTAGCCTCTCGATTGCATGAAGAAAGCGAGGTAGAAACAACTTTGTCTGCTCAGGTCACTTTTTGTACTTTCTGGTTGCCTCAAATTTTAATTCAGTCCTTCTTGCATTTGAATTGCTCAAGTTGTTTTCAAGGAAACTCTACATGTTAACAGTGGAAAATGTGCAAAAGTTCATCTTAGATTTGATGTGACATTACATTAAAAATGTGATGAACTGTTTCAGTTTTTAACCCAAGTGGTGGTAAAATCGTGGAGTCCTGTAGCTCAGTGGTTAGAGCTCTCGATTTGCAAGTAAGAGACCTGAGTTCAATTCCAGGCAGGGCGAAACCTTGGGCAAGTTTCCTTACTCCACACGCCTAATAATAATCCCTCCAAAAACCAAAAACAATAATTAAATGGGTCATTTTCGATCTACATGCTTAGAAACATATAAATTTAAAGCACAGGAGGCCTTTTTTTTGGCCAGCCGGGTGTCAGTTACATGCATGGTGATGGGTTTCTGCATGTGTCAGACACCCGGCCAACCATAAAACCATCTATCCAAACTAGATTGAGAGTTCTAGTGGCCAGAAGGAGGCTATTTGGCCCATCAGGTTGGAATTGGTCAGGCGAAACCAAGGGAAACTCACTTCTTTTTCCTAATGCAATCACTTACCTCAACGATCAATCAAATTGTGAGTTATGGGATACTGACCATTTTGCGCACAAGGTTGCACAAGCACTTATGAGTTTAAAGATCAACCTATTTGGAGGATTGCTGGTCAAGACACCAGGTGAACCTCCATTGAGTTCACACTGGCTCACAGAGTAAGGAGATCACTTCAATCCCACCAACCATACTCAACAACAACAACAACAACAACAAGATTCCATTTATAGAGCGCCTTTCACGTCAGGAGGACGTCCCAAGGCGCTGCACAGTTGGGTCATGACCCGAGCAGGGGGGAAATGGTCAGGGTGAGGGGAGGGAAGGGAGGGAGAGGGGGGGGAATGGTCACGGTGAGGGGAGGGAAGGGAGGGAGCGAGGAGGAGGAAGAGAGTCGAGAGGGGAGCTGAAGGCACGGTCAAAGAGAAAGGATACTCCTTCAAGCCCCTCTCTTTCATATGGCATTCCTTTTGATGCGGTAGGTATGATTATCAAAAGCAAAGTAATATTATTAATTACAGTTTAAAGTGATGTCAACCGTGACAATAATAATAAAGTTGCCTAATAGAACAAGTCATTGTTGTATTTCTCTGTATCGTGGTGAGTGCTATCTGTAGCAGATTATTTGTTCCAATAATAGAAAAAAGAATAGATCAAAACATTAGTTACGGTTAACTGCTTTTATTACCTTGATATGCCTTATTCCAGAAAGAAGTTGTTGGAGATGTGATTAATAGATACACAGTAATTAAATTTCATGCTCATGTTAGCTCTTATTTTACGATGGATGATTTTCAATGATTATCTACTTAAAATTGTGGAAAATAAAGTATGAATATTGACAAGCCAATGTATATATATATATGGTTCACCAAACCCATCCCCTTAGCTATATATGTAATATAAGCAACATTATTTTTAATATTGTTTCTGGTATCAAAATGTAAAGGCAAAAGGGTGGCGTCTACTACATTGTGTACTTCAAGCCCCATGATGGGATATTGAGCTCATAGTTTTCACTGGTAATTCATTGCTGTGAGACTGCTGCATTGTCAGAGTTGCTGTCCGTTGGATGAGATGGTAAAAGAGGATTCTGTCTACCTGTTTTGGTGGATATTAAAGATCCCATAGCACTATTCAAAAAAAAAAGGGAGTTGTCCTGGTATCTGTTATCTCAGATACAATTGGTCATTCACTTCACGGCTGTATTTGGGGCATTGCTGTGTGCAAATTCGCTGCTGTGATTACCTGCAAATATAGTGACGACATTGTACAATAATTTCTAAAAATATGGTCACTACACTTTACAGTAAAATCCTATGATGTGTGATGCGCTTTGAGATGTTTCGACAATGTGATGAGAAGGCTAATGCTGCTGATTATTATTATGTAGGTAATACATTTTTAGTAATGTAGATATGTTGCCTAATGCATTTTGCAACATGTTTGTAACAGATAGCTGTTTTGCTGTATCTCACACTTGTATTATTCTTTCCACTGCAGGTTTGAACTCATCTCACAATTCAAATTCTCCCAACCAACCACACGGTACAAATAGCAGTTCTGTGGCCATCGCCATCCTTGTGCCTTTTTTTGCTCTTATCTTTGCAGGATTCGGGTTTTATCTTTACAAACAAAGGTTGGTGCCTTCCAGTATTCCAGCAAGTAATATGACAGTACAGTCAATTCACTTTACAGTATATTCTGTGAAGGGCTTTGAGACGTCTCAAAGACTTGATAAGGCGCTATATCAAAAGCAAGGATTATTATTAAAACTGCTCAGGTGTCAGGGAATATTTAAAACACGGCAAGATCCAAAGATTTTAAACCTTCAATTCTATTTGATCTATTAACCCTTCCTCTCTCATCTCTCTTGCTCCCATTGTTTTTTTCCTATTATTTTAATTTCTGTCATATATTACTCTATCCAATTCAATGATGTAAAAAAATAGCCATGTGCACACATCTTAATGCTCTGTAGAATATCAATCCCAATATGATTTCTTTATTTACTTGTTTTACCTACTTGAATTGATTATCAAATCCCAAAATTATTGTATTATCATTATTTAGATGTTGTCCTGGCTCAATTGATATCATTTAGTAGGACTTTTGTGAGTCCAAGGCCCATAGGACCTTAGACTCAATTGAAGATGATGCTGCAGTGTATTGCAACTGCAATATACTGTTTCAAAGTATCTAAACCAGAATTGTGCTTAGCTATGATATTGTAGTATGCAATATCCACTGGTTGTAATACCATAACAAAGCAGAACTTTAGTGTTGATTCTTTTACTCAGTTTCATTTTGAGCAGTAGATTAATCAACTAAGCCATCAGCTGAGCTGCGCTTTGTTTGGTTATTTTAAAAATGAGAATTTAAATCATTGAATACAAGGAAAAGCTCAAACAGCACAATATAGGAACTATGGAATCACACAGAAAATAAATGCTTAATTAAGATCATTAAGTTCTGTGTTTTAGAGCATAGGCTAACTTCATTTTAGCATTTAATAATAACATCTAGGCTGATTTAGGCTTAGTCATGAAGAATATTTAATTACCTCAGTCACACCTCAATTAACAAAAATTCTAAGTGCACTGCATAAAATCTACAGATTTGTTAAATGAGACTAATTCACAAGCTTTTTTGTGTTTGTCTTGGAGTTGCAAAAAGCAAGACGAAGGTGCATAAAACAGAATTGATCGATTTTTGTTATAAATTTCAGTGACTGACAAGAGGCATCAATTGTAGGTCATTTTACAGAATCGTGATGGTGGACAGGAGGTATCTTTTTATGGTGCAATCAGGTTTTAAAACACACAGTGACATTTCTGCAAATATTCTATGTTAACGTGCTCTGCACTTAGATTTGATGCAATAAATTTTCCCATTTTCTTTACAGGACTGCTCCCAAGACACAATACACAGGCTGTTCTGTACACGAGAACAACAATGGTCAAGCAGCTTTTGAAAATCCAATGTATGACACAAATGCAAAGTCTGCAGAAGGCAAAGCGGTTCGGTTTGACCCCAACCTTAACACAGTCTGTACAATGGTATAAGGCAGGAATATTGTTTGACTCCATAGCCTGATACACATCTAGCGCTTTGCATCCTCGGAACATCCAGAATTTGACTAAAACCCACTTATGTACAATGCACATTTGGTCCACTGCTACTTAAAGCACACTTTTCAGGAATTCAATGTGTCAGATTAATCTGAAGAATCGGAAAAGAACAGATTTTCGTGGCTCATCCAGTTTGGAACAGATTTGCTCTTCGTGCTTGTGCTGGAGACCTTTCCAGCAACCTTAGCTGCACTCCAAGAGTGCTTAGCCAGAATTTTTTCAAAAAAGATAAATCCTAATAACTTCTCAGAAGAGTACCGCAGATACTGAAAGAGCGTTCGACCTCTGTTTCCAACATCACAATACAACTGGAGCTAGGAATTTGGCATGAAAGTTGGAACACTGAAAATGTAACAAAGACCATGAAGTACTGTATATTCACAATTGTCACAGGTTTTGCTTTCTCGTGTGTAAAAAAAAATAATCTTTATAAGGAACAACTGCAAAACTAATTTTAAATACCTGAACTGTAATGCAGCCAACAATGTACTCACTCAGCAGATTTCCAGAGAACATGAATGACCAGTCCTTTTTGATTGCCCAGGAAACCTCTTCATCTGTTTAATTTTTTTCATGTTTTTGATTTGAATTTGTATTCTTTGTACAAAATGTTGAAGTAGTGCCACAGAATAAAATGAGAAATATTTATACTATATATTCATATTTTCAAGTAACACATATGCATGATATGTCGCATGTTTCTTTATTATTTGATTGCTCAATTGTGTTTTTTTTACACACATGCAGCAAATCATTTTATTTATTGTCCAATAATGTATGTTTACTACCGTTGGGTCAGGATGCTTTCAACATAATGTGACCTATGATGTGCATGTCATGCGTTTTGCACTATCGAGGCCCATGATATTACAGGTGTGCCCATTATATCAAGCACATTGAGTTTTATTTGAAACTGATTGAGGTTTGTCAGGTGGAAAATTATATGTGCAGACTGCGACTGCAGAGGGTATCACCAGAGCTGGCAGCTTTTTGTGCCCAATTCTCTCATTTTCAAACACACATACTTTTTCCCATTGCATATCTATGCTTTGAACATTTTGTGCGTAGCAAGTGTGTCTGCTGGTATGAGCTGCATTTCTTGTATGAAGTGAGTGATTGTGATTTGTCTGAGAGCTCAGATGTTTAATTTGCTGTGCTACCTGCAGTCTTGCTCCACACAATTACTGCAATTTCTATCGGTCACCTTTTTAACATTTGCCTTAAAGAGTAGAGGCGGGACGCACTAAACATTGCAGTAGCAACAAGTCTCTACCTTCTGTCTCTACTCGACATTGTTCACGTTCATAACTCATCTGAATGCACACAAAAAAGGGTGTTTTGTCTCTGTCAGAGAAAGATTGGCATAAAAGCATTAAAACGGAGAAACAATCAAAATAAAGTAGTCTGTTTCATTTTATGAAAAAATCATAGATGGAGATAGTATTATTGTTGTAACTGTAATGTGTGCCTACCAAAAATGAACTGAATTTAAGGTTGTTACTGCTAGATTATAAATCCTATGGGTGTTATTCCTTTTTTTCAGGCAAAAACTTAGTACTGGGCTTTAAGAACCCCATCCTCCCTTCACCTTGAATCCACAAAAGTCAAATACATTCAAATTAAGAATTTCGCAATGCATCTGAATCTGCATCAAAATTAATGGCAATTGTTTTTTCTTAAATTGTCTTATGTACTTTCCTGCTTGCCCAGGTTTGTATTCTTTAAATGATTGCAATAAACAAAGTATGTCCACTGAAATTAGAACAAACCTTAAATTGTACCTGAAACAAATTTCACGTACATCTCTTTACTCCTCTGTATCATGTTTATTATAATTAGATGCATAAAAATTTCTTTTGTAAAGAAATATATTTTTATGAAAAAAATTTGTAAAATGTATGGATCTATGATGTAAATTTTCAATACATTGTAAAAAAAATAAATGGCTAAATGCTTTGGTATATTTTGTTTATTTAGAGTACTCTCTACAGGGTCCTTTCCAGTACCAGGCTACATGAGTCCGTCACCCTTATCCTTGCTTGGGCACCAGTGGATCAAATTCAAAGTCCTCGTTCCTACGAGTCCACTCCTTCAACTCAGCAAATACCAGCTTGCTTCATGTCACTCCCTCCCTCCCACCCCCCATCTGAGCTTTCAGCTATTCTGACCCCACTCTCTGGAATTCCATCCTGCAGTCCATCAGCTTCATCCTTTCCTGCTTTAAAATAAACTCACCTTTAAATCTATATTTTAGACCATGCCTTTGGCCACCTTTACCCTCTGCTCCGCCTCCCCAAAGCTTGGGTTCCCAGTGTGAAATGTTTTGAGGCATCTTCTCAACATGAAAAGCGCTGTATAAATATAAATTGTATTGTGTATTCTGCTTATCCTGGAAACTTGTATACTGTTGATCTGGTCTTTTTATTTAAAGTTTTTTTTCTCTTGATATGTTACAGATAGAATGAAGTGGGTCGATTAATAGATCAGAGCATTTGCTTTTTCTTTGTAATGAGAAAGATAAAAACTACAGCTTTACCCTAATGATTCTGTAATCACCAGGATGAACATTGAAACCTGCAATTGTTAATTAGCAGTGGTGACAATTATCACACTGTTAATAAATGCAGCCTTTCAAGCCACTCAATGAAAGACACTCAATAACAAAAGACTACTGTTCCCGCACTCCCCTTGCATCATAATTTACTTGATTAGGATTGATTTGGTCAGCTGAGTGTCTGACACATGCGGAAACCCATCACCATGCTTAAGAGTATTAAACATTCCAAATTTATTCAAAATAAATAAAAATAATTTGGCACTCAATCCATGACTGTTTGTGGGCCACTGCTGTGCGCAATTGGCTGTCACATTTCGCCCACAAAATATACAGTCAATTCACTTTACAGTATCTTCCGTGAAGCACTTTGAGACGTCTCAAAAATGTGATAAGGTGCTATATCAAATGCAAGGATTATAAGAGTATCCAAACCAGAGTTGCATGGAAATTTCCCTGTGTCTTTAATGGAATGTGCACACTTTATCTGAACATAAAATTACATAGGACAGTGGTCAGCCAACAAAATCAATTTTCTTGATTAAATATTTATTTATGCCATAAACATAATGATACAGCATGGAAATTGGCCATTTGGCCTGCTTATAATATTATTTCGTCATACGCATCTAACCTGTTAAAGACTTGACCTCTTTGACTGTGTTTTCTGTCATTTTTCCCATCCTCACCTCCCTCGACTCCCACCCATATCTTGGGTGCCCATCCAGCACCATGAATGTACTATGGGATATCCTCCCTATATAAAGGCAGGGCAGTAACCCCCTGGTTTGCTGGACTTCTGGCATCTGGAATTCATACCTAGCCAAACCGAGCCCCAAATGGAAATTTGAAAAAAATCTGTCTCACACACATGTAGACTCCCATCACCCACTCCCCTACCTTGCCAGATGGGACCTCCCACCCCACCCCCCAAATATGTCTAGGTAGCCAATGTTTCACTGTGGATCAATGCTAATTGTATAGTTGTGTGGTATTGGATGTGTATTGACTGTGTATTTTGTAGACAAATAAGTCAGCCAATTTGCAATTCCTTACATACCTGTAATCTCACCCTCCAGCCACCAATCTAGACACTCTCAAACTTTGGACCCAGGCCCCATGGCTCCCTGGTTCCCAAGGCTAAGGACCTCTATCCTGCAGCCCAGAGATATAGAGAGAAACATTTAGGCCATGCTCAGACCTTTAAGGCAACATGGGCTTCGCCCCTCAAACCTTCACCCCTGAGATCCTCGCAATATAATAATAATCCTTGTATTTGATACAGTGTCTTTCACATTGGTTTCGCATTCCAAGCGCTTCACAGGATTTTAGATGGGTATAGGTGAGGTTATAGGAGGGTTTGGGTTTGTGTAGAGCAGGGGTCTGATGATATCTTGCATGTGCTCAATAAAAACAAGATGCAGAAGCAATATTTACTACAGTTTAAAGTTTATACTTTTTGCATCTGGATCCATTTTCAATTGGACTCAATAATGTGCAGTTCTATCGTTCCTTCCCCTTTTTGAACATTCACGAGACTGCCACCTAGCAATGATCAACCTAGTGCAGAGTATAATCACCAGCATGGACTAGAAGGGCTGAATGGCATGTTTCCATGTGGTATTACTCTATATAATTATGTGTAGTGATTGTGTATTTATTTGTAGACAAACACTGAATGCTGAAAACAATGCATTGTAACCACACAAAGGCACAACATTTTCATTTATTGCAAGATTATGCAGTTTTTAAACATCTGACCGTGAGTACTGCTGTGAACCTCAACAAAACACTTCAGAGAAGATGCAACATGATAACTTTTTAAAAAGCTTGTGAAATAATGTATTAAGGCATGTTCAGGAGTTTTTGACACATTAGCTGCTCCTATTTGTACAATAATGGAATCCTGTAGCTCAGTGGTTAGAGCACTCGCTTTGCAAGTGAGAGACCTGAGTTTAATTCCAGGCAGGGCGAAACCTTGGGCAAGTTTCCTTACTCCACACGCCTAATAATAATTCCTCCAAAACCAAAAACAATGATAAATTGGTCATTTTCAATCTACGACTGTTTGTGGGACATTGCTGTGTGCAATTGGCTGCCACGTTCGCCCACAAATATACAGTCAATTCACTTTACAGTGTGTTCTGTGAAGCGCTTTGGGACATCTTCCCGACGTGAAAAGCACTATATCAAATGCAAGGATTATTATTATTATTATTAATAATTTCCTGTGGAAAGATATCATTTCATTGCAGTAGTAAATGCAGGCTATTTGTCCCACAAAAGATATATGTGACTGCAGGACATTATTGACACCTTTGGGATCAATCAGGAAACTGTGATGAAACCATTTAGAATCTGTCACAGAAATGAATATCTTTTTTTCTGCAATGAATGCTATCAATGGGGCAAAGTGGATAAATAATTGTATTTTAGTCTTTGAAACAACAAAACAAAATCAATGCCATTTCATAACATAGTCTATGTGATAATTTCCATAAACAGCTACAAATTTCATCCCACATATGTTTTGTGGC